GAGTGCTAGGTCGGCGGGTGCTAGGTCGGCGGGTGCTAGGTCGGCGGGTGCTAGGTCGGCGGGTGCTAGGTCGGCGGGTGCCAGGTCGGCGGGTGCTAGGTCGGCGGGTGCTAGGTCGGCGGGTGCTAGGTCGGCGGATGCCAGGTCGGCGGGTGCTAGGTCGGCGGGTGCTAGGTCGGCGGGTGCTAGGTCGTCGGGGACTAGGTCGGCGGGTGCCAGGTCGGCGGGTGCCAGGCCGGCGGGTGCTAGGTCGGCGGCGAGTGCTATGTTGGCGGGTGCCAGGTCGGCGGGTGCTAGGTCGGCGGGTGCTAGGTCGGCGGGTGCTAGGTCGGTGGGTGCCAGGTCGGCGGGTGCTAGGTCGGCGGGTGCTTGGTCGGCGGGTGCTAGGTCGGCGGGTGCTAGGTCGGTGGGTGCCAGGTCGGCGGGTGCTAGGTCGGTGGGTGCTAGGTCGGTGGGTGCTAGGTCGGTGGGTGCCAGGTCGGCGGGTGCTAGGTCGGCGGGTGCCAGGTCGGCGGGTGCTAGGTCGGCGGGTGCTAGGTCGGTGGGTGCTAGGTCGGCGGGTGCTAGGTCGGTGGCGAGTGCTAGACGGTGGTTGCTAGGTCGGCGGGTGCTTGGTCGGTGGGTGCCAGGTCGGCGGGTGCTTGGTCGGCAGGTGCTAGGTCGGCGGGTGCCAGGTCGGCGGGTGCCAGGTCGGCGGGTGCTAGGTCGGCAGGTGCTAGGTCGGCGGGTGCTAGGTCAGCGGCGAGTGCTATGTTGGCGGGTGCCAGGTCGGCGGGTGCTAGGTCGGCGGGTGCTAGGTCGGCGGGTGCCAGGTCGGCGGGTGCTAGGTCGGCGGGTGCTAGGTCTGTGGGTGCTAGGTCGGCGGGTGCTAGGTCGGCGGGTGTCAGGTCGGCGGGTGCCAGGTCGGCGGGTGTCAGGTCGGCGGGTGCTTGGTCGGCGGGTGCTAGGTCGGCGGGTGCTAGGTCGGTGGGTGCCAGGTCGGCGGGTGCTAGGTCGGTGGGTGCTAGGTCGGTGGGTGCTAGGTCGGTAGGTGCCAGGTCGGCGGGTGCTAGGTCGGCGGGTGCCAGGTCGGCGGGTGCTAGGTCGGCGGGTGCTAGGTCGGTGGGTGCTAGGTCGGCGGGTGCTAGGTCGGTGGCGAGTGCTAGACGGTGGTTGCTAGGTCGGCGGGTGCTTGGTCGGTGGGTGCCAGGTCGGCGGGTGCTTGGTCGGCAGGTGCTAGGTCGGCGGGTGCCAGGTCGGCGGGTGCCAGGTCGGCGGGTGCTAGGTCGGCAGGTGCTAGGTCGGCGGGTGCTAGGTCAGCGGCGAGTGCTATGTTGGCGGGTGCCAGGTCGGCGGGTGCTAGGTCGGCGGGTGCTAGGTCGGCGGGTGCCAGGTCGGCGGGTGCTAGGTCGGCGGGTGCTAGGTCTGTGGGTGCTAGGTCGGCGGGTGCTAGGTCGGCGGGTGTCAGGTCGGCGGGTGCCAGGTCGGCGGGTGTCAGGTCGGTGGGTGCCAGGTCGGCGGGTGCTAGGTCGGCGGGTGCTAGGTCGGCGGGTGCTAGGTCGGTGGCGAGTGCTAGACGGTGGTTGCTAGGTCGGCGGGTGCTTGGTCGGTGGGTGCCAGGTCGGCGGGTGCTTGGTCGGCAGGTGCTAGGTCGGCGGGTGCCAGGTCGGCGGGTGCCAGGTCGGCGGGTGCTAGGTCGGCAGGTGCTAGGTCGGCGGGTGCTAGGTCAGCGGCGAGTGCTATGTTGGCGGGTGCTAGGTCGGCGGGTGCTAGGTCGGCGGGTGCCAGGTCGGCGGGTGCTAGGTCGGCGGGTGCTAGGTCGGTGGGTGCTAGGTCGGCGGGTGCTAGGTCGGTGGCGAGTGCTAGACGGTGGTTGCTAGGTCGGCGGGTGCTTGGTCGGTGGGTGCCAGGTCGGCGGGTGCTTGGTCGGCAGGTGCTAGGTCGGCGGGTGCCAGGTCGGCGGGTGCCAGGTCGGCGGGTGCTAGGTCGGCAGGTGCTAGGTCGGCGGGTGCTAGGTCAGCGGCGAGTGCTATGTTGGCGGGTGCTAGGTCGGCGGGTGCTAGGTCGGCGGGTGCCAGGTCGGCGGGTGCTAGGTCGGCGGGTGCTAGGTCTGTGGGTGCTAGGTCGGCGGGTGCTAGGTCGGCGGGTGTCAGGTCGGCGGGTGCCAGGTCGGCGGGTGTCAGGTCGGTGGGTGCCAGGTCGGCGGGTGCTAGGTCGGCGGGTGCTAGGTCGGTGGGTGCTAGGTCGGCGGGTGCTAGGTCGGCGGGTGCCAGGTCGGCGGGTGCTAGGTCGTCGGATGCCAGGTCGGCGGGTGCTAGGTCGGCGGGTGCTAGGTCGGCGGGTGTCAGGTCGGCGGGTGCCAGGTCGGCGGGTGTCAGGTCGGTGGGTGCCAGGTCGGCGGGTGCTAGGTCGGCGGGTGCTAGGTCGGCGGGTGCTAGGTCGGCGGGTGCTAGGTCGGCGGGTGCCAGGTCGGCGGGTGCCAGGTCGGCGGGTGTCAGGTCGGCGGGTGGTAGGTCGGCGGGTGCTAGGTCGGCGGGTGCTAGGTCGGCGGGTGCTAGGTCGGTGGGTGCCAGGTCGGCGGGTGATAGGTCGGTGGGTGCTAGGTCGGTGGGTGCTAGGTCGGTAGGTGCCAGGTCGGCGGGTGCTAGGTCGGCGGGTGCCAGGTCGGCGGGTGCTAGGTCGGCGGGTGCTAGGTCGGTGGGTGCTAGGTCGGCGGGTGCTAGGTCGGTGGCGAGTGCTAGACGGTGGTTGCTAGGTCGGCGGGTGCTTGGTCGGTGGGTGCCAGGTCGGCGGGTGCTTGGTCGGCAGGTGCTGGGTCGGCGGGTGCCAGGTCGGCGGGTGCCAGGTCGGCGGGTGCTAGGTCGGCAGGTGCTAGGTCGGCGGGTGCTAGGTCAGCGGCGAGTGCTATGTTGGCGGGTGCTAGGTCGGTGGGTGCTAGGTCGGTGGGTGCTAGGTCGTCAGGTGCCAGGTCGGCGGGTGCTAGGTCGGCGGGTGCCAGGTCGGCGGGTGCTAGGTCGGCGGGTGCTTGGTCGGCGGGTGCTAGGTCGGCGGGTGCTAGGTCGGCGGGTGCTTGGTCGGCGGGTGCTAGGTCGGCGGGTGCTAGGTCGGTGGGTGCCAGGTCGGCGGGTGCTAGGTCGGTGGGTGCTAGGTCGGTGGGTGCTAGGTCGGTAGGTGCCAGGTCGGCGGGTGCTAGGTCGGCGGGTGCCAGGTCGGCGGGTGCTAGGTCGGCGGGTGCTAGGTCGGTGGGTGCTAGGTCGGCGGGTGCTAGGTCGGTGGCGAGTGCTAGACGGTGGTTGCTAGGTCGGCGGGTGCTTGGTCGGTGGGTGCCAGGTCGGCGGGTGCTTGGTCGGCAGGTGCTAGGTCGGCGGGTGCCAGGTCGGCGGGTGCCAGGTCGGCGCGTGCTAGGTCGGCAGGTGCTAGGTCGGCGGGTGCTAGGTCAGCGGCGAGTGCTATGTTGGCGGGTGCCAGGTCGGCGGGTGCTAGGTCGGCGGGTGCTAGGTCGGCGGGTGCCAGGTCGGCGGGTGCTAGGTCGGCGGGTGCTAGGTCTGTGGGTGCTAGGTCGTCGGGTGCTAGGTCGGCGGGTGCTAGGTCGGCGGGTGCTAGGTCGGTGGGTGCCAGGTCGGCGGGTGCTAGGTCGGCGGGTGCTAGGTCGGCGGGTGCAAGGTCGGCGGGTGTCAGGTCGGCGGGTGCTAGGTCGGCGGGTGCTAGGTCGGCGGATGCCAGGTCGGCGGGTGCTAGGTCGGCGGGTGCTAGGTCGGCGGGTGCTTGGTCGGCGGGTGCTAGGTCGGCGGGTGCTAGGTCGGTGGGTGCCAGGTCGGCGGGAGCTAGGTCGGTGGGTGCCAGGTCTGTGGGTGCTAGGTCGGTAGGTGCCAGGTCGGCGGGTGCTAGGTCGGCGGGTGCTAGGTCGGCGGGTGCTAGGTCGGCGGGTGCTAGGTCGGTGGGTGCTAGGTCGGCGGGTGCTAGGTCGGTGGCGGGTGCTAGGTCGGCGGGTGCTAGGTCGGCGGGTGCTAGGTCGGCGGGTGCCAGGTCGGCGGGTGCCAGGTCGGCGGGTGCCAGGTCGGCGGGTGCCAGGTCGGCGGGTGTCAGGTCGGCGGGTGCTAGGTCGGCGGGTGCTAGGTCGGTGGGTGCCAGGTCGGCGGGTGCTAGGTCGGTGGGTGCCAGGTCTGTGGGTGCTAGGTCGGTAGGTGCCAGGTCGGCGGGTGCTAGGTCGGCGGGTGCTAGGTCGGCGGGTGCTAGGTCGGCGGGTGCTAGGTCGGTGGGTGCTAGGTCGGCGGGTGCTAGGTCGGCGGCGAGTGCTAGGTCGGCGGGTGCTAGGTCGGCGGGTGCTAGGTCGGTGGCGAATGCTAGGTCGGCGGGTGGTAGGTCGGCGGGTGCTAGGTCGGCGGGTGGTAGGTCGGGTATTGAGGTGGCAGGGGCGAGGGTTTTGAGGTGGCAGGGACGAGGGTATTGAGGTGGCAGGGGCGAGGGTATTGAGGAGGCAGGGGCGAGGGTTCTGAGGTAGCAGGGGCGAGGGTTCTGGAGTGGCAGGGGCGAGGGTTCTGAGGTGACAGGGGCGAGGGTTCTGAGGTGGCAGAGGCGAGGGTTCTGAGGTGGCAGGGGCAAGGGTATTGAGGTGGCAGGGGCGAGGGTTCTGAGGTGGCAGGGGCGAGGGTATTGAGGTGGCAGAGGCGATGGTAATGGCTATAGGCCTGTTCCATAATCCATGATCCGGGCCGAATTAGAGTGTCCCGAAGCCGTAGCGGTTGAGGAAGAAAGGTCCAAGCACTAGTAGAGATGTACAGACCTTCGCGCTCGCTATTGGTACCCCGGTAAGACCTGTTTGGTACCCCGGTAAAACCTGTAAGCCCATGTCTCAGTTGTAGTAATCTTACGCGGGTTGCATACGTAAGAAGTAATGCAGGTCGCGCTTGCCAAGCTACCAACTACCGAACTTCGACTGAATCCGAAGAGTACGGCAGGATCCACGTGCTCGGACGCCTACGGGGTCGATCACGCGCGCGGCTACGAGAGTGTATGTTTGGCGTCTATTTATATTGTGCTCTCTAACGCTCCTCTACAAATTGCTCTTTTAAGGCTGTGCCAATTACAAGCCCGTGTCCAGGTCCTGATAACCTTTGAAGTTTGACAGCAGAGAGAAACACGTGGAGATGGTGTTGCTTTTGGTCACGCATGTGGTGGAAGTCCCTTCCTCACGAGTTCCACTGTCCGTCATTATCCTAAACGACGCAATTAAACGGAAATCACTTCCTCCTAACCTGAAATGCCGCTTCGTAAGTATACGATTATGATCTGTGATCTTTGGCTCTTATTCCTGCTCTTGCTATGAAGGTGTTGCTTTCCATTCAGGTAATTCCTTCTGCCGGGAACTATTCAGCGTCCATCTGGGACGCCAGCAGCATCGAGGACCTGCAGCAGTGGATTGACACAAACCTGATGGACGGCGTGGCTCATATAGCTGAGGCAAGTCTGCAGGCAACTTTGCCTTGCCGGTCATGCCGACAGCCTCTTTTCAGCTCAGGGTTTCTACCCTGGCGAAGCGACACGGAAGTCCCTTCGGGAGGCGGAGGACTTTGCCGTGCATGCCACGTTTGCACTCTCCATACAATACCAGTCTCCCTCCTGCCGCCAATGCTGACACCTCCCACCTAAACTGTCATACTTCCCTGGTTTAGGTCCCGGAGGAGTTCACCTACGGATTGGCGCTCGAGCTGACAACCTCTCGGGCGGCAGATAAGGTGTGTTTATGGCGTGCGTAATGAAATTTCACGCCAAAAGTACCTTTTGCCACAGCGCCCTCTCACCTACATGCCCCCCACCGTACATCCCGAATGCCCAAGATACAGGTCGCCACAAGCAGCAAAAACACGATCGAGCGGCTTAACAGCACCGGAGTCAAGGTGATGGAGAGCGTGGCGGAGAAAGTGTCCACCGGGGTGAGTCCCATCCGCGCATCATCTCCCTCAACCAGTTGGGCGTCCCGCTATGTATCAAATTTGAAGCAGCTCCCTGTATCAAATGGGCAGCATCTCCCTTTATATCAGTTGGGCAGCATCTCCCTGTATGACTCGGCTGCAGGCACCAGCCCTTGATTGAGGGCAACGCTGTCAAGGAATGCATGCTGCTGAGGGGGATTAGATAAACTGAGCCGCGGAAACACTGACCCTGACCGTAGTTTACCGGGGGAAGCTTGATGGCGTTCTAGATGAGGGGACAACATCGGTTGGGCGCCCTTCAACACTTCACCCTAATCCGTAACATTTCCGTTCGCCTGTTAAGCAGCCCTGCTCGCACCGCTCCTCGCCCTTCCTCTTCCCCTTTCACACGGTCAGTTAGTTCTCGTTTTCTCTTTTCCGCCTTCCTCTTTCCCCTCTCCCTCCCGCTGCCAGCTCGACCGGCTAGACGCCCGCACGAACCTCATCAGCGCCACCCGTGAAGCCACCTCGGCGGCCGTGGTCAAGGTCAAGCAGGCGACTGATCGAGCGCTGGAGAGTGAGGGCGTGCAGAAGTCGCTGGCATCCCTCAGCACCTCGTTGCAAAACGCAAGGTCAGCACGTGGGGAAGTCCGAGTCTGTCCTCTAACCTTGCGCTGTAGACTAGCAGTTAATTGTAATTGGACTTAGCTTGACACGCGGTCAAGCAGCCTATGCATGAGGCTGACCCAGATCAGCCCTTTTCCCTAATCAAGCTGTCCACCACATGCCTCCACAACGCCCACGCTAAGCCTCATGTTGATCGCCGCCATCAACAACCCCCTCACCACACAAAACCAGCACCCCACCCTGTCTAATGCGGGCGGGGCAGCTCGGGCTGGCTCACACGTTGCAAACCATGATCACACGGTCAGTTACTTGTTTCCGCTTTACCCCCACCCTGTCTGTGCAACCCTCGCAGCAACCGCATGAACAAGGCGTTCTCCTGGGTCGGCTCCAAGGTGAAGGAGAACTTCCCAGCTGCTGCTGCTGCTGCTGGCGGCCCCGGTCAGCCCTACAACGCTTTCGCTTCGGAGGATGCCGCCGCTCCACCTCCTGCCTACGACGCAGCCGTGTACTCCTCGCCCGCCTACATGCCCGTTAGTACCAACCCGTTGGGGCGGGCGTCGCAGGACGAGGCGGAGGCTGGTAACAGCGGGGCGCCGGCGGTGTGGGGCTCGGTTGCTGGGGCGCCGACGGAGAACGCTGCACCCGTGCCGCACTTCACGTAGGTACAGGTACCGGATATAGAGGCCTCGTTGCTCCAAAATTGCTTGGGTGCTGCTGCTAGATGTATGTGTCCTACAAGCGACGGCGTCGGGCGCTTGCCGCTCAGCTGCGTCTACCTGCTCAGGGCACACCCCTCTTGTACGGTCATGCGAACATAGAACATACAGACATCCATTCTGAAGGTCCGACCAGGCACCCCCTGCTATGCGGCCCTACACGTTGCCTGGTCGCCACCCCCCACCACCCACCACACCCAAGGCTTTTCCCTAGGAGACTTTCCCCCCTTCGCGCAGTCAGCTCTTCCTGTTTACCCACGACTCTTCCCCTTCCCTGTCATATCAATGCATGCAGGTTGCATGACGAGGGGTTCGGAAGCCCCCAACTGACGCCCAGCACGCTACCAGAGCTCGGCGGCAACGCAGCGGAGTCAGAGCGCGAGGGCCTGCCGCTGATCCAGGCACCGCTGGAGGGCCATCGGGCCGGCGGTGTTGGGGAGGCCAACCCTTGATCCTTGGGCTCGCCGGCGACGGCGACGGCGGCTGACCCCGTGCGCTGAGCGCTTGAAGGTGTTGGGTGTTCGTAGTCCGTAGTCCGTAGATGACGGTCGGCTCGTACAGTATAGCTTTCGGCGTGGTTTGTTGCGGCTTGCAGGAGAGGGGCGGATTGAGCAGGGGGTGGTAACGGATCCTGCGTGTGTGACGGGTTTAGGCGACTTCTTCGGAGTTTGCAGGTGACACCGTAGGTCTGCAACATGCTGCAGGTGTGCCCGGCGGGGGATTCGTCTGGTGCGATGATGCCAGACGCATCCCCCATCCCATCTTTCATAGCAGGTAGTGTGATTCATAGCAGGCAGTGTGAACAAGGTGTGCATAGGGGTAGTCAGGGTTCGGCCGTACAGCTTTGGCGAATGGGAGGATTTAGGTTTGGTAGCACTTGGTGAAATGACAGCAGCGCACGAGATGAAAGCCCCTTGAGGCTTAAGCAGGCTGTGATGCAGAGACTTCAACGAAAATAATCGGGCGTGGTCCCGCTGGTGGAATTGGTTGCCCGACGCTGGCCCGCTTGCCTGATGTCCCTTGCGGGCCGACAGGCAGCTTTGTGGTATTCTTTTCGTTTCCCTACACGAGGATTGTACAGATGGTGCTTCGCTCCCGCGTCCTGGGAGTGCTCTCGAGAGAGCTTAGGGTGTGTACATACTGTTAGAGTCGACTGCTAGAATCGAGTGCTCGCAGCAAGGAAAGGATTTGGCGACACATCGGCGCCCTGCCTGGCTCTCGTAGCGCACCTGCTTGGCCATTTTGTGGTGTCGACAACTGTAAAGCGACGTGCGTACGGCAGAGCAAGTAGCATAGTATGCTGCTGCTGCAACGGAATCGACCGTTAACGTGTATCTTCTAGCTGCAATCCCATGACGTCAGCACATGACATGTCTACATCCGCCTACCTCCGCAACGACCCCCGACACCCTTAGCTCCAGCCCACACGGAGCTGGGCCCCCACGTCGCATTTCTCCTCCACACGGCCTTTATAGGAAAACCTGTCAACCCCATCTCTAGCCAGGATCAATCCTAACAACCAACACCCAACAGCCGCAACAGTAGCACATTACCCCCTTCCACAAGCCTTCGGAAGCCTTCACAACCCTACTCCTCGCAGCCCCTAGCTATCGGCCGCCGCCTGCACCGCAGCTGGCGCCGGCTCCTGTCGTTCGGCGACCGCACCCGAACCCGAACTCGCAACCCCGTCAACATCCATGGCGGCTTCTGCGGCCGTCTTGCCCTCCCCCGCCGCCGCCGCCGCTTTCCCGGCCGCCGCCGCCGCCGCCGCTTTCCCGGCCGCCGCCGCCGCCGCTTCAGCCGCCGCCTTCTCTTCCTGGGCTTCAAGCTCCCGGGCGAAGGCCTCCAGCCTAGCCTGCTCCTCCTCCGCAGTTTCCTTGGGCTGTGGGGACGGCGCGTTGAGGGGATGGGGAACAATGCCGTCAAGAGCCTCAAGCGTCTGGAAACTGGTGATGAGAAGCACGATTCGCATGTAGTGCGTGCAACCGACACATTCCTGGACGCAGTCCCACTCACCTTGACATTATAGTTGGTGAAGCCGTCCCACATGAACGCCTCCAGCCGCCGACCGCCAAAATACCTCCCATGCATGAGCGCCACGCACTGCTGCGCCGCCTCTGCGGTACGGAAACGCACCGTCACAATGCCCTGCGGGTTGTGTTTGAAGATGCGGACCTTCTCGATGCCCCCCAGCTTGGCGCACTCGGACCGCACGTCCTGCTCCAGCTCCTCTGAGTGGTGGTGGTGGTGGGGGGGGTGGGTGCGGGGGGGTGGGTGCGGGGGGGTCAGGTGCGTGGGGGGGGGGGAAAGAAGAATACCCAATGTGTCGAATGAGTGAATGGCGAAGAAGAGGACAAGCTGGGGGCGGGGGGTTCGTGGGGCAGTGAGCGGGCCAGAAGCATGGGGGAGGGGGGAGAATACCCAATGTGTAGACAAGAATGGCGAACAAGACGGAGGGAAAACAACCAAACGTGCCGAATAAACACCGTTAATCAGGGCAAGACAATAAGGAAAGGAACTGGAATTGGAACTGAACCCTACAAACCGAAACCCAACAACCCCCAAACCCCCAACAGCGCACCCGCAAGCAACATGTTCTCCAGGAAATCGTCGGGCGCAAACATGTTCGACAGCACCGCCGTGCTCTTCTCGGGGGGCGCCTTGTCGTCGAAGCCGCCCCAACCCAGCGCCCGCTGCTCTAGCTGGGCCAGCTGCTTCTTCTTTTCCTTCTTATTTGTGCTCTTGGCCTGGTAGGTCTCGCCCTTCATCTCAAACTTGGCCGGCTCAACGGTCATGCACGTGCCCATGTTGGCCCTGGGTAGGGCATGACATGGTTTGTTAAGGGCATGTTACATGGCGGAACGTTCGGGGACAGCAAGGGTGCGGAACGATCGGGGGTAACAACGGGATCCAAGGGGGGCAGAGAGGGTACAGCGCTGAAAGCGACAATTGGGGCAGTAATTTGGGAACCGCGGTGTGCATACGAGGCGGAGGGAAAGGCGCTGAGGGTACAGCATGACATGGCATGGCATGGTTTGTTGAGGGCATTGCTTGGGCGGAGCGTGTACGGGCAATGCGCTGGCTGGCATGGGGATGGCAAGAGGAAACAAGGAACTAATTGATGGCGAGAGGAGGAAACGGCAAGCAGAAAGAGCTGCCCTCCTGCAACCGTACCTGAAGTAGGAGTGGTGCAGGAAGCGACATGCCAGGTCGACAGAGGGCTCCTGAGGTTTGGGAATGTTTAGTAAGAACGGGAAGCAGCAAAGCAGCCGCGCAGCAGAAGGGCTGTTAGCATGTCGCTGAATGTTAGCATGTCAAACTCAAACAACTGAGGACTGCGTCCGGCGAGAGAGGGCACCTAGCCGCGGCGCCAATATAGCTTCGCAAAACGTCTACGTCGTAGTGGTTTCACCCAACCCCCCAACCATGTCCCAACACAATGCATGCAAGAAGGCCCCCACAATCCTGGAGAGCATGTGCATGCACTCTGCATCCAGAGTAGCAGCGCCTGTAAAAAGGAGACCCAAGAGACCCATGGGTCAACCCACCTTGAGATACGATACGAGCGCGTCGCCCTTCAGCATTCCGGTGGCCTTGTCCCTGCAGCAGGGGGGGGAGACGTTCAATTGATAAGGGTGTACACATGCTTCTCCAATTTTGCCCTTAGCACCAACATACACGGCGATGAATCACGGCAGCACAAATGAATTATTGCGTCTTAGGTGGTCCTAGACTCCTAGCCACTAGTGCGTGCGAAGGAACGGAAGTAGCGCTCCAGAACGCTCCAGAAACCTTGCCAACCACGCGTCATGCCACATGCTAGTACCGGTAAAACAAGCACGCATCTTGTCGCGTTGCCAATCCAACCATGCGTAGGCTGTGGCTGTATCACAACGACTAAAGGATAGTCCCCGTTTCCACCCCCCGGGTTCGTACGTCCTCCCCCTCCCTTGGCCCCTTACGCCCCCCTCTTTCCCCTCTTCCCCCGCTCCTAACAGCCCCTCCTGCCAGCTTCCCTCTGACAGATCCTCTTTGATCCTCTTTGACAGATCCCCTCTGACAGATCCTCTAACAGCTACCCTCCATTAGCTCCCACCTGTACAGCTTGATTCTGGGTTGCCCCTTCTCGTCCACCTTGATGATGCCGCACTTGCCGAACACCTCGTTCACCTCCTGGATGGTGGTGTCCAGCGGTAGTCCCGTGACGTAGACGTTGGTGTTGATCTGACCCACGGGTGACCCACGGGTCACACCGGGCAGGGTAGGGGAAAGGAGGTTTGTGCATGTTAGTACCGTATATATACGGATGCGGTCAGACCGCTCGGACGGTGTACTTGTGTTGCAAAGATCACTACCGGTATGATGACGATGATGGTGATGATTATGATGCCAATCAAGCAGGTGTTGCAGAGATCATGACGATGATGATGATGATAAACATGTTGCCCGTGAAGCCATATTGATGCCATGCTAGACACTAGGAGAAGCATACATAGAGAGCAACCCCACGCCTCCGCCCGTGGCCGCGTTTCTCACTCTCCACGTTCCCATCCGCAGAGTCGCTTACCTTCAGATCAAACCAATTCGCCGGCTGCTCCTCCTTCTTCCCCTTCCCAGGCCTCCCCCTCTTCCCTCTCTGCTGCGCGCCTTCCTCGCCCTCCGCACCCTCCGCCGCCGCTCCTCCGCCTGCCTCCGCAGCCGCACCCTCCACCAGCTGCTGCTTCCCCTCCGCGACCTTCCCCTTTGCGCCCGCTGCAGCATCGCCCGCAGCGCCGGCCGCAGCAGCGCCAGCAGCCTTCTGGACGGCCCCAGCCTTGCCGGCTGCATGGGCGTTATTAGCACCACCCGCTGCTGCTGCGGGGTCCTTGAGGTCTGGTTTGGCAGCACCGCTGCTGCTTGCCGCCTGCCCTGTTTTCTGGAGTGGGGGTGTGAGGGTGCATGCATGGGTGTATGAAGGTATGGACAGGGAGACGGGGTAATGAGTGGTGGTCGGTTGGGGTGGTTGGGGAGGTTGGGGTGGTCGTGGTAGGTTGCCGTACCAGAGGAAGGTGGCCACCGGCTGAGATTGTCAAGCATGCGACGGGGGACTTACCCTGCGGTCCCGCTTCTGCGTCTCCTCCGCCTCCGCCGCCGCAGCTGCCTCGGCTTCCGCCGCCTTTGCTTGAGCCAGCGTGGGAATGACCTCATCCTCAGGCTGTAACAGGGGGGTTTCAGAGATCCAGAGCGCCAAATCAAGTGGTACCGCAAATTAGGGCAAAGCAATAATAGGGATAGGAGGCACATGAAAGGCAAGCAAGCAAGTAAGCGGTACGGCAACCGTACGGCAGCAAGGATTCAAACCCTGGCTGATTCTAGCTACACCTACACCACCTCAGCACATCCTCTGATGCCTCATTATAACGCAGGCAGAGGGCGTAAGGAGCAGCTGGTGAGGAGTTGGGGTGACAGGCGACAACAACGGCAGCAGCGGCGGCGATGCATGGGGTGGCCATGTGACTCCAAAGCTCCACACCCATCGCAGGCCCATGAAATGAGAACAAAAAGGGAACTGTACATAAGGGGATTCATACATTTATTATTATTACTAGTATCCCATGCGCCACACACCGCGCGCGTCTCCGTACACACCTGGTACGTCATGGCATCGATGTCGTACCCGAGCTCGTCCATTCCGGCCTTGCCCTCCGGCCCCTCCCCGTCCTCTTTCGGCATGTATTTCCGCAGTCTAGGGGGGCGGCGAAGGGGGAAGGGCGGGGCGTATGCAAGGAGGCGTTATACGCAAGGCGGAGTTATATGCACAGATTGAGCACAACAGGCAGGAGCTTGCCTCTCCAAAGCTCTGCCCGTCGTCTTGGTTAACCCCCCACACACACACTTTGTCGCTATGTCGTACCTTCGGTCCCAGACATACACCGTGCCGTCGTCGTCCTCAAACTCCAGCTCCTCCGGCGTGGCGGGACCATCGCCCGGCCGCATGTCCTCACCGTCGCCGTCACCACCCGCCGCAGCCGCAGCAGCTGCTGCTGCTGCCGCCTGCGCAGGACGTAGTGTGATGCGTGTGTTACAAATATGACCCAGGTAGCGGGAAAACACACTGGCCGGGTTGTAAAAGCGACTCCAAGGGCGGATGCATATGTATGCGCCCTGACCCAAATTTCTGACACATGCTGTCGTTACAGTCAACCGTAAGCCAACCACCCAACTAACCTTCTCAGCCTTCATGGCTTCCAGCTCAGCATCCAGCGTGGCCAGCTCCGACACGTCACGCCTGCAACGTCGACAACAAACACCACAACAACAACGGGGGAAAGTTTATGACAGCATGGGTGGTACCGTTGTTTTCAAAACACCAAGGCGGCGCCCATGCAGCCCCACGACTCTCCATAATCCAGTTCCGGTTCCCCATGAATGCTGTCCCACCCACCCCGCCACCCCGCCTGGCATGAGGCCTGATCATGTGTCATACATGCCGTACAGCATTCATGTGCCGTACCCTGCTTCCCTGTTCCTACCCCATCCCAGGCCTCTCCGCCCCATCTGGGTTGGATCCCCCCGCACCCCCCTGCACCCTTGCCCGCTGAGCCTCCCAGACATGACATGACCAGACCCCGCGGGGCAGCTGGGTATCGGCAGCGTCGTGTACCTGCTGCGCTTAGGCCTGCCTCCAGCCCCGTCGCCCTCCTCTGTGAGGTACTTCAGGTCTTCTGTTTCCCGCAGCTTCTTCCATTCCGTCCGCCCCTCGCACCAGACGTGCGAGTCCGCCGTTAGGAACCCATCGTCCAACAGGCCTGTGAGGGTGTTAGGATGTGTGGGGGTTGACATGAAGTGGTGGCATGGTGGTATGGGGGCCCAAGGTCAGCGTCCGTGCGGCACGAAGGACGCGTACAGCGTTTGGGACAGGGGCATGAGCAAGTGTGGCCGGTGGGAATGGTCGTGAGGCTTAAGGCAAGGTGGTAGGTTTGGCAGGGGCACAATGGAGTGTTATTGTAAAGGATGCAGCGGCTGAACAGCGTGGGGGTTGCGTTCTGGGCTTGGCGGTGTGGTGAGCGGGTATCAGGAGGCAAGGGAGTATTGCGAGTGGGGATTTGCAGGAGTGATGCAAGCCATGATGGGATAGATTGTCGCAGGGGCCATGGAATTATCGCGACGCTTTGGAAAGGTCAGCGGTGTGAGGTGCGAGGAGGTTGTCGCCGCAGGCATTGCTGTTATGTTTTAGACGCATATAACTCATTCGGTGCATACCTTTTAGCGCTGGCTCACTGTAAGGTCCTGCCGGTGCTCCACCAGCAGGATTGGCAACCCACCATCCACTGCTCATGCTAACGAGTGGAGGTCCTTAACTATGCAGATCAGTATGTGTATATACTATATTCCATACCTATGAATGAACAACTTCAAGTGTTGCGGACTCAGCTTATTTTTTCAAGTTGTTGTACTAATTTGTGCAACTCATGATTACCACCGCCTATGCGCAACATGACTTATTGCAAAGTGCAACATCTTATATCCCTTTATACATCTGTCTTAACATTGTCTTACCCTGGCTAGTATGGCCATACAGCTCCACACAGGGCCTGCTTATCTCCCCAAATTCTAGTTGCGCTGATCACGAACGCGGCTTAACCATGGAAACATGACACGGAAGTATCACGGTTCGTCCATATTGGCGAAGCCATGTTGCCGCCTTCGCTTAGTCGTGCGATTTCTGACTCCACCAGTCCTTTTGGGGCCTTCCCACCTCCGGAATGCTTAAGGAACCTTGAGGTACGCGAGGATCTACTGGCTGCGTATGCTAAGGGGATTGCAAAGGGTCGGTTCAGGGCAATGACGCCGGTTCGGTGCCGAAGGACAGACGTCGCGCTGGCTCCATGCACCATATAAGCGTCCAGCATGGACACGTGTGAACCTAGTTTGGAGGACTAGCCGTGCTTCGTGTGCGACAACAGCTTCCCTGAGCTGCCTGTTAACACCCTATGGAACCCTACGCATCCACACGCAACCCCAGCGGTTGTCAGAGCACATCGTGACTTCTGCTGATCGGCCCAGGCCTTGCCAAAGTTTCCTTTTGTTTACGTAGCATCCACCGTCTCTTGGACTGGTGCACTATGCACCTGTGTTATCATGTTGGCCATCAACCGACGTTTTGGTCTTACTTCCCCTCTAGGTTTACCTTGCGGATCCTCGAAGCACGGATGCGGTGTACGAAGGCCTGGTCAACCGCGCTTGCTCGGAGCCTATTAGGTGTGGATTGGTGGTTGGTGTGCAACCAACCAACTGTTGGGCCCGGTCAGGCTTACATAGTAACGCCTAGAGTAGGAGGGTTTGCGGATGGGTATAAGCTGTCCGTGTAGTTGCTGTTCGTTTACTTGGGAGCGGGTATTGTCAAATAATGGCCAGAGACTTTGTCCTTCCTTGCTTATAGTTGTTGATACGGTTCCGAGGCGGCAAGGGATTTGGGTCAGAGGCCCAAACCCTCTCAGTCGGCCCTGCGGCACGCTGGCACCCCACCCGCATGCCGATGAGCCCTACGACACGCCCCCTTCCCCGTCAACGACCCGCAAACCCTAGCGCTCGTGACTGCTTACCTGCTGGTTTGTGCTGGCCCCATGTGGCTTTGCGGCACCCCCTCACGCCTGTAGCTCTTCCAGAGGGTTTACCGCTTTGCCCGCTTGCCTGCCCTTCCGCGCATTCGCCAACCGCCCCAACGCAGCGTGCCGCTCGTGGACAAGGTGGTGCAGCTGCTGAAGGCCTACCTCTTCAAGTGGGTACTGGGCCCCGGCATGGGTAGTGGGTGCCGGCATGAGTTGTGGGTTCGGGCATGAGTTGTGATCCATGCGAATTGTACCGAGTGCAGCTTGGGAGTGTTGCGGGGGGTCGCAGCGATGTCGTCACCTTGGGGGGGGACACCATGTGTGACCGTGCCGGGTTTGCTTAACACCCCTTAGGGGTGGCATGCGGGCTTTTGCCTTCCCCTGCTGCGGGCGTTTGCCTTCCCCCTGCTGCTTCCTCTCCCTCACGGCCCCCATGCGTCCTCATGCTCCACCTTCACATGCAACCCCCCCCGTCCTGCCACTCCCTCTCATGTCGGTGGTCAGTGTTTCCTTGCGGCTCAGTTCAGCTCATCCCTCGTCCCGCCACCCCCTCACGTCCTACCCCCCCCCTCACGTCACTCCCGCGCAGGTACGCGCCCTCCCAGGATGCCGCCCAGCTGCTGGAGGAGTTCAGCTACCGGGCGCAGGAGCTGCCGGGGATGTCGGCGTCAGGTAGGGTGGGGAGGTTGAAGGCGGGCCAAACCCGGACCATTCCAGACCCTCCATAGGAACCCAACTGTTAGGGCAAAGCAGCGGGGGTAGGAGCAGCCTGGGGAGGCGCGGCATGTCGACATGTCCTTGTGATTGAAAACCATGCAGCAGCTGCGCCATGCGGCCGCTGCTGCTGCGGGCTAAGGGGCAAGGAGGCTGCAGCGCTAAGCATGGGGGGCTGCGCGGCGGCTGGGTTGGGCGTCGCCGTGCTGGCGGTACCGGTACTGCAGCTTTGCGCGTCTAAGGCTGGCCGTACCAAGCCCCACCACCACCACCACCACGCCCCGTTGTTATCCGCCGCAGGTCGCAGGGCGGTGCAGTTTGTGCTGAACATCCTGCGGCACCTTCCGCGTGACAAGGCTGGCGGGCTTGGCAGCTCCCGGTGCGTCCGTGCATGCGTGCGTGTGGGTGGGTCCCCGTGTGGGTGGGTGGAGCCTGTCTCGGCACTTCCCTGGGCGCCTCGCGGCCTTCTCACGTGCTACGCACATTACCGCCTGCCTATTATCCTTCCATCTACCCGCCTTTCCGCCGCATGTTTCAACTTTGCATGTGTATGCGTTTTGCCTACGCCGTGTCTTCTCGTTCCAGCCCAAAACACGACCCTCCGCCCTTGCAGAGCCAGCCTGGGTAGCCTCCGGGGCTCCTGCGGCCGGTCCAGGGAGGATTTGACGCGGCTGGCGCCAGGTACGTACGAACACAGCCCCGGGCGGGTCCCACCTCCGACCCATGGGTCATCAATAACTCATCATGTCGGACATGCCGGCCCATGCTACCCACCGCCATGCCAGCATCGCACCTACTTGCTGTACAGCACCCCCTCAGAAACACACACCTATCCCAACTGCTTGCTCTTGTTCTACTCAACTAAACACACACCCCGTGTTACTCATGCTGCCTCATGCTGCCGCACTCCATGCCCATGCTGCCTCATGCGCCTCTCGCCCATGATGCAGGCGGGGGGCGCATCGCCCCGGTTAAGGTGAATGTGAGCACTTCCACACTGGGTCGCGCAAACGACCGATACGCCGCATCAGACGCGCTGCCCAGTCCCACTGACCCGGAGGCGGGCGGCGGAAGGGCGCTGGCGTTGCCGGCGTGGCTGCGGGAGTCGGGCGGAAGGGGCTGGGAGGACCTCCGGGTGCCTTCAGCGCAGCAGGTGGGGCGGGGCCGGGGGGCGAGGTGGGGAAGGGAGGAGGAGCAGCAGCAGCAGCGGCACGGGTGATCGCCTGATCGGGGAACTTGGTTTGCAGATGGCCTGTCCTGAGCTTCCTACTGGCGCCGGCAGACGCGCCTAGTTTCTACCTTCTGTACTCCACCAGTTCGCCATTAGGTCAACCCGAAGTGCGTTGCGTTGCGTGGCTGACACGTGCCTCCGCTGATGGTTCCTCTCCCCTCCCCGCCCCTCCCCGCTGCTGCCCCCGCAGGCGGCCCAGGGTGTGGAGCCGCCCTGGGCGGTACCCAGCCGGCCGCACCAGCTGCCCCCACCGCCCCCGGGTGCCACCGCCTGCCGCGCCAAGTCCTGGATGCAGCACCTGCCTGACCTGGCGCCCCGAGTCGCCATCGGACGTGAGTGTGAGCGTGTTTGGACATGTGCCACAGCGTGCTTGGACCTAGCACGGTGCATATGTATCTGGAAATGTGTAGTCAATATGTAATATATTCTTTCTTCTCTCGTGATGCGCAGCACTGTCCCTCGGCGGCGTGTTGTATAATTCTCCGTACATCTGCCTCTGGTACCCCTCTCTTACCCCTTGATGCCTTTACCCCTCTCTTACAAAGCTTACAATGCCTCCCTCCCCCCCCCTCTGCACAGCTGTCTCCATCGGCAGTGTGGCCTACGCCTCCCCCTACATCAGCCTGGCCACCATCCATCGCTGCGTGCTGGACATTGACGAGCAGGACATGGGGCGGCACCTGGCGGAGGTGCTGGGGGAGGCGAGGCTGGAGGTGGGTGGGGTGGACAGGAGGGGTGGGTGGGTGCTGGAGAGGAGGTGAACTGAGTCGCGGAAACAGATAACGGGAGAGGGTGCTGGGGAGGAGATGGGCGCATGGGTGCTTTTGATGTGGCATGCACGCGACTGCTGGAGTCTGGGGGTGGGGAACACATGCCGCACGATCGGGTGCTTGGGGAGCCTGGGGCTGCCGACATTCAACGTCTGGTAAAAGAGGATTAGTGGAGCACTTTGGGTTTGGAAGGTCGATGCTGGCGCTAGCGATGGTAACTAGGGGAGTGACGGTGCGCACCTACCCACACGGCTCCCCCCTCCCCTTTGCAACCCTCTCCTTTGCGGCAGCCCCTCGCAACCTCCCCCCCACCCCCCACCCCGCACAGGCCCAGCAGCTGCAGCCCCCCGCTCCCCCGCAACGCCAACACCCAGCTCGAGGTGGCGGCGGTCGTAACGCACACCACCATGGAGGAGCCGGCGGCGGCGGTGCAGGAGGCGGCAGGGAGGGCTTGGCGGCTCGGCGCTCGCGACCCGCACGGCTGCTGTTCCACCACCCGCCGTACAACCGCTCTGAACGGCTGGCGCCCATGGATCCTGACGTGGTGGAGGCGGTGGTGGAGGCGGTGTGCGGGGTGCGAGCGGCGAGCGCACTGTCAGCGGTGCAGGGGCCGCCGGGAGTGGCGGCGGAGGGAGGAGGAGGAGGAGAGGAGGCGGCGGCGGCGGCTGGCGGGCCGGCGGAGGGGATATGGCAGGCGGCGTTTGAGGAGGATGGCGATTTTGGGCAGGTAAGGGAGGGGTTGCGTTGAGCACTAGCGCTTCAGTACCCTTGTATGTGCTACTGCATGCCTTCATATTCCGTTCGTTAACAGCGGATGTTTGCTACCACTGCACTGCACTACCACTGTGTCATCGCCCGCCACCGTCACACCAATTGCAGATATGCGGGAGCTGCAAGGTTCTTACCATACTCAATTACTTTCATTCACACTAGATACTACTCACACTCAGGTACACTTAGGTACAAATCATCTATACCACTGAATTTGCTTGCTGCGCCCATCGCCACCATCCCATCCGCAGATGTGCGGCAGCATCCTCATGAAGCTCATCGTGGACCTGTGGAGCAGCGCGGGGCCCGCGGGCTCCTACACCCTCGTGCTGCGCATGCTGCGAGCCGCACTGCGCAGCAACCAGCCCTCCACCCGCGCACGCGCCTTCGACGTCGTCTACAACCTTTCGGTCCACGGCGCCATGCTGAGAGGGGAGGCGGAGGAAACGGCGCTGTCAGCGGCTGCGGCCGCAGGGGCGAGCGGCAGCGGCGCAGGCGGCATGCAGCTACCCTGGCAGGTGGGGGCGTCGGCCCCCGTGTCGCCCTTTGTTTCCGGCGGAGGAGGACAACACACGCCGCCGCCAGCCTCCCGTGCAGCAGCAGTTGCCGCGTTGACGCCGGTCGCCAGCGCGCCTGCAGCGTCGACGCCGCCGCCTGCGGCGGCGGTTTCGCATGCTGGCCCAGCAACAGCACCAGCTGGCCACGTCAGCGGTCCCGTAGCTGCCAACCCTCGTCCTGTGGGCGCACACAGTCTGGGTCTGGGCGGGAGCACGATGCTGGACTCGGCCGGCAGCCTCACAGGCCTAGCGGCGGGGACCGTCCGCAGCGGCGGCGTTAAGGGCGGCGTTTCCAAAGGCAATCTGGGCGCTGCTGCGGCAGCTGACGGCGGCGAGGGTGGGTTGACGTCATCGCTGCTGCTTCCCAATGACGGCTCGGAAGCGACTCGCCCGGCGCCTTCAGAGTCTCCGGATGGGAAGGCGCAGCAGCAACAGCAGCAGCAGCAGCAGAGGGAGGCGGGAGGGGCAGGGGGGGTGGCGGGCAGTGCGAGGGGTGGAGGTGACGTGGCTACGGGGTACGACAGGTGGCTTCGAGCGCTGCTGTTTCAGCTGCTGTGCGACCTTTGTGAGGTAGGGAGCTTGTTGTTTAGCAAGGAAGGAACGTGGGCAAGAGGAAACGTTGCAAGAAGAGAATGAACCAAAGAAACGACAGGGTGAAGAAATGCCAGAGACGGTTGGGCGGGCCGGTACATGAGTGAAGAAGCCAACTTTGCACACCTCTTGACAGCCCCACCCCAGCTCCATTTCCCATGCGCCACATATGTTTCCACACAGGTTTCCTACATAACCAGGCTGAAGCTGCTGTCTTCCGATCCCTTATCCAGCACCACCCTTCCGCCTCCCCCTTCATCTTGGGTTTTAGTTTCTGTTCCCGCCCCCCCCCCCCATCACTCCACACAGGGCGCCGAGTACAGCGCCGAGGTGTGGCGAGCCGCGCTGGGCTGCACCTCCCACCTCTGCAGCCACGGGGGCTACTGGGTGGCTGCATGGACACAGCACCTGCCGCCCGCAGCGCTGGCGGGCCTCCTCCGAGCCGCATGCAACCTCAACTGGTCGCAAGAGCTCTACGCGCACTTGCTGCGGCTGGTTCCGCACGTCCTGGTCAAGTCACCGGCTACGGTGACGCCCGGGCTACCTCCCTCCCAACAACAGCAGCAACAGCAGGGCTCGGCGTCGTCGTCATGCTCGTCTGGAAAGCGCTCGGAGAGTGCATTTGCGGCCCCCGCGGCGCTGAGCGCGGCCGCTGCAGCGGCGGAGGACCCTGTCGCCGCCGCCGCCGACGGCGCCGCGCTGTCGCAGCAACGCCTCGCTGCCTTCGGAGGCCTGGAGGAGCTCCTCTTCCACTTCATGCGCGCACCCACACCCGACTCCCGGGCTTCGCTGCTCACCACGCTCGCGTATTGCTGCTGTGGCGGCTGTGCCCCTGGCGGCGGCGGAGAAGCGGGAACTGCGGGTGGTGGTGGTGCTGCTGCTGGTGGTGGGGGTGTTGGCGGAGGCGGGCTGTCGCTGAGCAGTAGCGGAGAGCGGCTGTCGGGGTTACCCAGTCCAGGAGGGGGTGGCGGTGGGAGCCCGGGCAACCGGTTGGCGCAGCAGGAGGCGGGGCCGGCGACTGCTCTGGCGCTGTTGCAGGGGCTGCACCTGGACAGCGTGTGTTTGGCGTTGAGGGCTGCGCTGCAGCGGCCTTGGCCGGTGAGTCTGGCAGCAAGGGAGGGTGAAGGGGAAGCGTTGGCTCGCCCCGATAGGGGCGTAGTTCTGAGGGGGTGGGGGTGGGGGGCGGAGAGCGCTGCGTACAGGTGTGTCTTGATGTGCGGGCGCATCTATATGTACAGTAGATCCCAGGAACGGTATCCCCATATGCTGGCATGTGGGTGCGGTGTCGACGTGCCACAGCGCATTACGGGTTTCGGCACTCCCTGTACTGCCTCGTACATTGCCTTTTTCACTCGCTCCTTACTCACTGCACCTCACCCCGCCCAACCCCGCCCCGCCCCTGCATTCCGCCTGCGTCCTGTCCGCGGCTCCTCCTCCTCCTCCTTCTTCGGATGTTTGCTCCTCCTCCTCCGCTGCACCCTTCACAACAGCACATGTCATCCCGCCTGGCGGACGTCCTAGCCACCGCAAGCGCCGAGGCAAACGGCCCCGCCCTGAGCGGCCTCGTGGTGTCACCCTCCGCCTCCGTCTCCGGCTCCGCCGATTACACCGCGGCCACAGCAGGGGGCACCCTGCCCCCCGGCGTGGCATCACCCATCGCCGCCCGCGCGCTGCTGCGACCCCTGTTGGAGTCCCTGGAGCTGTGCTGCGCTGACAGCATGATGTCTCCGCAGGTACGGCAGTGGGTAGCGCGGTGGGTCGTGCGATGGGTCAGGCAGTGGGTGCGGGTAGTGCGGTTGATGTCGGGTGGGTAGTGCGGCGGGTAATGCGGTGGGTAATGCGGTGGGCACGGCAGTGGGTAGTGCGGTGCGTTGCATGTCGTGCATGGCATGGTGTGCCGTGCCAACCGTAGCGTTGATGCCGCTCTCCCTTTGGCGCGTCAGAGTCTGCAGCGGAATGAGAAAGATCTCTGCTTATGGTTTCCTAGCGCTCACATTCAAATACATGTTCCGCACTCCAGGGAGGCGACCTGCGGCGGCACATGGACGTCAGTGAGGCGCACATCACCGGCGGCAGCGGCAGCAGCAGCGGCGTGCCCGTGTCGCCACAGCCGCCGCCGACTGCGGCCGGCGTGAGAGACGCCTGGAAGAGCTTCATGCAGGTGTGCAGCGAGGAGAGTGCGGAGGCGCGACACATCGCCATCCACTGGCTGCACAAGGTAAGGGGTCAGGTAGAGGGGTCGAGTCGAGCGGGTGCCCAATAGGACAGCACAGTCCTTCATCATTAGGGCCATTTTCGTGAAGTTCGGCCGTCGGGCACCTTCCCCTAGCGGTGCGCTTCGCACACAAGCCTATTGAGTCCTTACCTTTTTCACACCTTGTGGCCCTTGTTCCTTGCTCCCTTACCTCCACCTCTCCATTCCCACTCTCATCCGCACCCCCCTCCTTAACCTCCACCTCCCCACTCCCCAACCTCCCCACTCACCCCCTCCCACCCCGCCCGCAGCTCCTCTCTGCGGCCTGCCGCGCCTGCCAGGGCCAACTGCTCCTGCTCTCCCCACTCTCCCTCAAGACCTCCCTCGAAGCAGGCAAGCCCCTGGCCGCCGCCGGTCCCTCCTTCGGCCCCGCCGCGCCCTCGCCCTCCCCCCCGCTCCCCCGCTGGAACGTCGCACTCGCCGACGCGCTTCTGCATGTCGTACGAGAGGCCCCTCGCGGTTGCGAACTCCTCATCGCGGCCATCAATCGCGTGGTTGCGGATCTCAAGGCCGCCGCAGCTGCCTCGGCAACCCCGGGCCTCGAGCTGCCCATGTCACCACGTCTAGCGGCGCTGCAACCAAACAACATCAACCATGCATCCGCAGCAGCCGCGGCGGCGGCGGCGGCCGCCGCCGCCGCCGCCGTGGGAGAGGACGCAGCCGTGGTTGCATGCCGACGGGTGATGTTGTTGTACTATGTGGCGCTGCAGTGGATGTTACAGTGTGGTAGCGCTGAAGCGCGCATGCCGTCAGTAGTAGAGCTTGCGGATGCGGTGTTGACGGCGCTGCTACAACCGGATCCCGCGCTAAACGGCGGTGGCGGCGCCGCTGCCGCGGCGCCGCCGGCCCCTGTCGCCGCCGCCAGCAACCTCAACCCGATGGGGGCATCGGCGGACAAGCCGCCTCAGCCGCCGTTGCCGCACGGTATGACGGGCACCATGCGGGGCAGCGGTGGTCACGGCATTCGAAGCGGCAGCATCGTGTCTCAGCTGCAGGTGTCGCACCTACACACGCACTCAGGGTCACATCTGGGCAGTGCTGCCATGGCAGCAGCTGCTGCAGCTGCTGCGGCCGCAGCTGCCGCATCCGCCAGCCAACAAATGCAGCAACAACAAGCCTCCCAACACCAGTCCCAATCGCCCTCGGTTTCGGAGCCTGGCGGCGGCATGCTCATTTCCCAGCAGCTGCTAGCCGGCCTGCTTGCCTTGGACGCGGAGGCCCTGGCATGCACGCCACCTGAGCTGCTGGTTGCCCTGTTGCAACAGTGCTCTCAAAACCTACACGACGCCAGGTCGGGGCCAACGCCGGGCGCTGCTGCTGCTGCTGCCGGGGGGTCCTTCGGTCACGACGGCGGCGTCGCTGACGGCAGCGAAGGCCTCAAGCGTAGCGTCGGCGGTTACGGCAGCATGCAACGGGGCTTCGTGGGCCGTCCGTGTGCTGTTTTGGGAGCCTCTGCGACAACGACCTTGTTACCGGGGGCAGCTGCAGCAGCATCCGCAGCAGCAGCAGCAGCGAATGCGGGCTCCGCCGGCGGTGGCGGCGGTGCCAGCGGCATGAGTCGTCTGGGTACGTCGTTCATTCGCGCGAGCTCCTCTGGTGTGGCAGCTGTGGGTGGCAGCAGCAGCGGCGGCGGCGGCGACGGCAGCGCGCTATCGGGTGCCGCGGTGGGGCCATGGCAGGATGATTGGCAGGACAGGCGGCTGGCGCTGTTGCTGCTGCTGATGGCTCGGTGCTCGCTGGATCCGGAGGTGAGGTTCCAAAGGGTTTGATGGGGGGGGATGAGCTGGGGTCTGGGAATGATCTGGGGAACGCTTGGCTTGGTGGCATAGGTTGTTCGTCATGTGCATGTGTGGACCTGTGGGAATTTCTGTCCGTCGTTGTTAAGCTCCCATGAATGGTGTTAAGCGCCTGAATGGTGTTAAGCGCCCATAATCCATTGAGCAGCAGCCTGTTGTTTAAGAGCAACAGCGACAGGGGATGGTTTCAAACCCTGAAGTGCATTTCGTGCACGTGCTGAACCGCCGCCTTCCGGCCGTGCCGGTTGCAGGCCTTTGCCAAGTACTCCCTGTCGCATGTGATCAAGGCGCAGCTGGGGTGCGAGGATCTGCGTTGCAGATACTACGCAGGTATGCGTTGGGAGCAGGGGCGGAGGATGCCGCTCTTTTACCCTTACTCTTTTACCGCTACTGTACTGCAATAGGCCTGTTGTTCTTCAGCACCCCGCATTGCTTGTGAAGTACGGCAGTCTAAAACGACGATGAAAAGGACGTTACGCGTCACTTTCACGCCGCCTTGCCCTACCATGTCGTACAGGCGTGTACCTGCTGAAGCACTGGATGCTGAACCAGCATGACAAATACTGGCGCACGTTACGACACATCATCGGTACGGCTCAGCAGCTGAACGACGAGCGGCTGCTGGACAATCCCTACCTCCAGATGCGCACCATGCTCAACGTGGATCATGCCTGATTAGGACTTGGTACCATGCCTAATTAGGATTTAGGATGTGTAGAGGGCGTATAAGGGGCGCAAAAGGGTGCTGCGTTGCTGCTCTGCGGCACGGTTTAGGACGTATAGGGCTGCGGCTAAAAGGCTGAAAGGGTGATTGCACACAGTGGCACGAGGTGGTTGGCTACCCTGCACAGGAGGTTGAGCCAACAGGGTGGTTCGCGTGGGTGAAGGTGGGTGTGCTGCAAGGTGCCTAGCTTGCATGTAGCTTGGGCAGTGTGCATTCACGGCTAAGAATTTCCTCGTGGCTGATCTGTTCTTCAAGCCGTGAAGGGCTGTCAGTCGGCTGCAGTGGGGCTGCTGGTGCTGCTAGGTGGTTCAGCCCGGTACTCTGCTGTCGTCGTCGCCACGGGGAGGGGCGTTTTTGACATCACGGGGCACACAGCGTTTGTTTTCATAAGCAGAGTCGATAGGCAGGGCCTAAGTTGCACAGGTTTTGCAGGGGAGGGAGTACAAGCTTGGTAATGTCAGGGGCTTTTACACGTTTTCGGTAGGGGCAGGTATGTTGCTTAGAGCTAGGCATTGCTGCTGTCATTAGAGAGGGCAGAGCCTGGGGAGCATGTGAACGGCTGGGGCCTAAGGAGGGGCAACCCCCTAAGGCAACCCCTTGCTGTGCAAGCCTGGAGCAGTGGGAGTGGAATTTACGGCTGTGGTGGGAGCCAGCGAGGGGATGCGAGTTTGCATTTCAAGGAATTTTGCAGGCAGGAAGGTTTTTTGTTGGATACGGCTTACAGAACAACGAAGCAATGGCAGTGGACTGCCCTGGCTCTGTACAGCGCTCCCAAGGAGTGCTGACAGTAAGTTTTTTGTACCGTATTGGTTCCTACTTGTCAGGTGTTTTAACGATAGGCTGAGTCCTTATTACGGTATCTCCTCCTCCTCCTCCTTCTGGAATTCTTTGTCCTTCCTCCTGATTCCGATCTCTTTCGCCGTGCGTGACCACAATCCCATTAATAAAATGGAGGCTAAACCGGAATACGGCATACATGCAGTTTCCGTTACAATGCAGCCGTTGTACATGCAACCGCTAGCCACGTGGGCGCTCTGCGCAGCAAACATGCAGGACTACATCTCCAGTGCTCCAGTGGAAGGCGCGAGGCACCTCCGCAGTTGAGGCGTGCAGCCGCCGGCACACCCGACGGCGTGTATATCAGAAAGCAACGTGAGAAGGATCCTGGGCGCAATGGCTTCTGACCGCATCCAACACTCTCATTCAGACCCATGGGGCAGCCACAGCACTCGCAGCTGTTAGTGCCTCCCTGCCTCGACAACGACAGTGCTTCCGGTGGCTCCTCCAACCACCATCATAGGAAGTTTATTTTCCATTTTATTAAGACTTTGATCGATTCAAATGAGGTAAACAGCAGGGCGTCGTACATGCTTGTATTCAACTTCCTCGCACGTTACCATCCTACGGCACGGTCCTCTAACGCGTCCTCCTAGACACGTACGGTACGGTTGCTTTCCGCTGCTTTGCGACTACTAAACGTGTCCCCGAGCTCGCTGGAAGGACGGAAGCAGCCACTCTTAGCCAAGGTGGACTTAGGTGGCCCAAACCGCCAGCCAACCAAACACCCCAAACACGCATACACCCCTGTGCCTCTTAACCGACATGTGATGACGGTGGTCCAACTAACCACACGCCACAACAACACGCTCTTTTAGCAGTGTGCATTTAGTTCCTGCAGCAATGCCGCAAGCACACGCCCCACAACCAGCAACGGGGAATCCTCACTACATGCGCGTATGTGTCGCATACATCCTAACATGCATGCATGCGTGCATGTCTCCTACCCACAGTACGACAGCAGCCCAAAGCCTTTCGACCAACTAGTTGGCTAGCTCCCCACCCTCGTCTAATGTGGGGGAAGTAAACAGTGGACAGTATCTTGAAGCAACACGAGCGCGCTTTCTGAGTTCATTATGACCTACTCACAAAAGCTATTTAACCACAACCTGCCCAAGAAGATTGTGTGCACGGCCGCCGCTGCCGCCATCGTAAAACTACTCTTTAATTTTTCCAGGGCAACATTTGATTAGCTCAAGCAAATCTCACCTTGCGGGTTGCTCATGATCAGTTCTCTGGCAGATGGCCAGAATGCGAAAACAATGTATGGATCTGCGTTACTACGGCTCAAGGAAAACATTTTTCAGTCTGTGTAGCCGAGATGCGGCATCCCGCACACAAACACATGCATGTACAATTACCCACGCACTCTTCCATCATTCGCCTATCGTCCTATCGGTGGCGGTAATAACCCTTTGTTACCACCGTGCATGTTCGGAAAGCGGGCTTCGGACTTTTACCGCGTTGACCCACCTAACAACCAATCCAACCTCCTAACAACCAATCCAACCACCTAACAACCAACCAACCAGCTAATAGCTTCTTCTTCCATTAGCCGCCCGGTTCAACCCAACTCCCCCCCCCTGCATTGCCAACACAGCCACCGCCCCTCCAAGCCTCGCCTCCACTGCCCTGCTCCGCTTCTAGCAAGACTAGAATGTCTTGCCAACAATCTAATTGCCGCCTCCCTCATTCCCTGCCCGCCTCCGCATCAATCCCCAAACCACAAACCGTAACGCCCAATTCACAACACTGCGCCCTCCCTCCTCCATCTCTCTGCTCCTCTCCCCTCCTCCCTCCTCCTTCCCTTCTCCTTCTTCCCTCCATTCCTCCTCCCCCAGCCTCCTCACATGTTGCCAGGCGCATCCCCCAGCATCAGCTTGTGATCTCCCACCTTCACCTCGATCCACAGCAGTACGGAAATGCAGATCACGTACAACGTAACGCTCACAATGCAGCTCCATTTGTCGATCCGAGCCGCCAGGAACGTTGCGAACGCGGGGTCCTCCTTACATTGCTGATAGTAGTGCGCCGGCGCCGTCAGCACGCCCCAAATCCACGCGCCAATGGCCAACAGAACCGCTCGCAGCGTTCCCAAGCAGCCAAGCGATCGAGCGCGTCGCCACATTGACTTACATCCCGCGTGCGCAGCCGACAGAACGGTAGATGCCCGGCTGCTCGTCACTGACCGCGCGTCGGCGAATTCATCGGCCGGTGAATGACTCACGGCGAATGACACGTGGGTGCGTGCCGAGGCGAATGGCGAGGCGAATGACGGCGCCTGCGGGTGGTGATGACCCATGGGTCCGTCGCCGCCGCCGCCGCCGCCGCCGGCAGTGGCGATCTCGGGGACGCCGCCGTCGCCGGCGGCGCTGCCGTTATCTTCGGCGACGCTGCCGCCCGTCATGGAAGGTGGGCCGCGGCGTACGGAGCTGCCCGAGGCAATGCGCGCCATGCGTGCGTGTTTTGAGGGGGTGCGAGGCGGCGGTGCGGGCAGGGGGTTGCTGCCGTGGGATGGCGGGATACCCACCACGATGTGCTGCGGCGGGGGGGGGAGGAGAGGGGCGGGAGAGGGGTGCCATGGGGTGGGGGGAACGTGAGGGTTACGAGAGGTTGATGTTGCGGGTGAGGGTTGCTGTTGCACGAGGTGGTGGGGAGGGGTGCAAATACGGTAGCCAAGGTGAAGAAACAGAGCCAGGTGAAGAGTCCCGGTACCTTGGAAAAGATGTGCACGCGATTATGGGTGGCCTTAAGATGTCTTCGATAAGGACAGACAACCGAAGCATTAACCAACCTCGGAAGCAGGCCCCGACCCAGCCCCAGCGCGCTCCCTCAAGCACCGCTAACCGCTAACCACTAATCACCAACCCAAACCGCTACAACCGCTAACCGCTACAACCGCTACAACCCCCGACACCTACTTCCAGTGCAGAGTCCTCTCGCCGGGCGCCGGCGCCCGCTCCCCCTCCTCCTGCCCCTCCTCCTGCCCCTCCGCCTCCTCCTGCACCCGTTGCCGTCGCCGCCCCGTTCGCCTTGCCGCGGCCCGAAGCTATGCCCTTGAGCGCGGACGGCCGGCCCGTTCCTCCTCCTCCTCCTCCGCCGCCGCCGTACCGCCTGGCGGCGGCGGCTGGGCCCAACAACTCCCGTGTGAGGTAGCGGTCGAATGCGGCCCTGCGAGTGAATGCGGGGGGGGGGGGGAGTGAAAGAAGAGGAGAGGGGTGGCATGGGTTGAGATGGGAGGGGAATGTAGCGCGGTAAAGACAGGTAGCGGTGTCTGTACGTCTGTCCTCCCGTCGTACGGGCTTTTCCTCTCTCTCCCTGTTTTGAGTTCCTTAACCCCTGGAGAGAGAGAGGAATCGCCTCCCATAAGCCCCGCCCAGCCCATAAGCCTATGGTTCGGTATGTTCTTTGACCCCCCATAAGCTCACCAACCAGCCCCTCTCATCAACCCCCCTCACAGCCCCGCCCCCACTCGCGACTCGACTCACGGAAATCCCCCCCCAGGGCTCGTCACCAAGTTTACCAAGTTTACCAAGTTCACCAAGTTCACCAAGTTTACCTCATGTATTGGGTATCCTTCTTTGCCCACCTGGCCAACAGTCCTCCTCCGTACTTGCGCACACAGAAGCGCTTGTTGGAGATGGCGTCCGCGACGGTTGCGATTCGGTTGACGATCAGGCTCTCCACGCATGCTATCGCGATCATGATGTAGCTGACAAGCACCACCTGGAGGGGGAAAGGGGGGGGAAGACCATACCAAACCATAGGAGACCACAAGTTAGAGGAGGAGTTGGGTGGGGGGAGGGAAAGGGGGGGTTGGGGTGGCGGGAAACGTAGTATGGAAAGTGGAGCAACCGGAGTTCCCAGATCCCAGATGGAGGTGAGGGGTGGGGCAAGGCGGATGAGCATGTGATATCAGCATGTAATAAACCCTAATATCAGCACAAACTAAGGATGAGGGGGTAGGGAAGGGACTTCCTCAAAACCACATGTGTGATCGTGCGTTGCCTCTTTGTGCGCGCGTCAAGGCCCGTTGTTTCAGATCAACCAACGAACCAGCGATCCAACCAACCAACCCACCATCTGCAGTGCGTTGATGTAGTTTGCGGGCGGGAAGTCGAACACGAACTGCATGGCGGTTAGCGACAGGAACATGGTGAGCACGACACCTGGAGGGGGGGGAGGAGGGGGGAATAGGGGGAAGTGGGGGGACGGGGGAGGGGAAGAAGGGGGGAGGTAAGGAGCGGAGCGGGGAGGAAAAAGTGTGGGAAGGAATTGCGCAAGGCAGTCAAGCAGACAGGGAGAGGGGCCGCTGTCTGATGTAGGACAGGAACCCCCTTTACACCCCCTCCACATGTTAACGGTACGGTATATACTTTCATGTAAGTCGGGAGCCCTTGGCTGGTCACTCGGGCGCTACGGACCCACGGGTCACTGCAAGCCCCCTATCACCTCATGCGGTCCCCCCTCCCCTTCCCCCTACTGTACCACTACTCCCACTCACTCATCCTGTCCCCCAGCGCGCTCTGCGGCATGAAGAACACCACGAAGGCCACCAGCGTGATGAGCAGCACGGGGATGAGGTTGGTGAGCACGTAGTAGGAGGAGACGCGCTTGATCTGGGGGAGGAGGGAGGAGGGGAGGGAAAGTAGGGGGGAGGTAAGAGGGGACGACGGGGTGGGTGAGGGGAAGAGAAACGCGAGTAGGGAAGAAGGTGCGTATGAAGAACGAACGAAACGAAGCAAGGCTCGTTAACGTGTGTGAACTTGCATCGCGGTAAAGCAACCAAGCAGTAACCCAAATGACTGTTTTCATCCAAACCACCCTAAACCCTGAAACCCTTAAACCCTAAAACCCACCATGAAGTCCGCGACCAGTACGATAGGTCCGTAGTGCGCTCGTCCCTCTTCGTACACATTGCTATACGTACCGCACTCATGCGGCACTGTCGTACCGCGTTCGTGATTGTCCGGGTAGAAGCGGTTGGTGGCGGTTACGGATTCGTACACGGCGGGTTGTGTCGTGGAGTTGTCGGTTGCATTGCCGGGGGTGGTGGTTGCGGGGGCGGTTGAGGCGTTGACATACCTAAAGTAAGGAAACAGCGGGTGTTCAGAAAACTGGCCGCGAGTAGGAACGTACTGGGATGTCGGAAGATGAAGTCCCCACAGCGGGTGTGTGTTAAAATAACTGGCCGCGAGTAGGAACATACTGGGATGTCGGAAGATGAAGTGTGTGTGTGTGTGTGTGTGTGTGTGTGTGTGTGTGTGTGTGTGTGTGTGTGTCTCGGGTGGATGAGGTACGAGTGCGACCCCAAGCCAACAGTACATGACGCAAAAAAAGGGTTTGGTTGGTTTGTGGAGCCCCCTCCCGCCCCTCCCATGCACCCCCCTCCAACCCCGCCCCCCCCACCTCACCTGGGCTCCGCTTGTTGCAGCTGCTTGTAGCATTTGCGGCTGTCGTATATCTTGCCCTTGCCCCACTTGATGCGCCAGCCGCTGAGGTCAGCACCTGTAGGGGAGGGGGAGGGGGGTGGGCGGGGAGGAGGTGAGGTTGGGGGAGGAGGTGAGGTTGGGGGAGGAGGTGAGGTTGGGGGAGGAGGTGAGGTTGGGGGGTCCAAGACCATGCCGTACCATAGGAAACCACAGGTTAGGGCGAAGCAATGGGGATAGCAGACGGCAGGGTAGCCCGGGGGGGGGGGCTTCAGCCGGGGGGGAGAGGCAGCAATGGTCACATTAACGGGGGCGGCAGCAGCAGCAGCAGCAGCAGCTGTTGCTTTGCTTGCATCAGCAGTACAATAATCAGCAGTGTGCGTGACTGTTCACCTTCCCGAGAGGGCCATCCACCTCATGCATACAAGCAACAGCACAGCGCAGCCGTCATCACCACCACCGCCGTCATCACACCTGCCCGCGCATCCCGGCGGCACCCGTCACCCTTTCGTATCCTAGCCACTAACGTACGGCATCAACACACTCTCGCTGCACTTTCCCCCTCCTACCCCTATCTCTCTCCCTGCCCACCCATTTTCCCCCCCATTGCTTTACCCTAACTTGTGGTCTCCTATGGTTTGGTATGGTCTTTAACCCCCCCTTTGTTGACGCCTTATCCCTCAGTCAGTTAGTTGTTTCCTCTTTACCCCCCCCCACCCTTTGTGTGCGCCGTGTTGTTGAGAATGGCCACGTGCTCCCACTTCAACCCCGCCACGGTGGCCTGACTGTCATGCAGCGCCAGCTCCAGCAGCAGGTGCTGGTGGTCGAAGGGGTAGGCGCGATAGTCCAAGGGGGCGTACCTGGGGGCAGCAGGGAGGGGTCAAAGACCATACCAAACCATAGGAGACCACAGGTTAGGGCAAAGCAGTGGGGGCAGGGTGGGGGGAGGCGGGTTAGAAATAAGGGACCGGACAGGGGGAAGGGTGGGAAATGATATTTATAATGCGTGCAAACGAGGGAGGGGGGGCAAGGGGCAGGCGGTGGAGGCGGAGGCGGAGGCGGCACTCACAACCACACCCACAACCACACTCCCGTGGCGTTTTTGGTGGGGACATCAGCTCCCGACAACCCAGCACGTTCTGACTCGCGGCCAGTGTTTTGTCAGCACACACCCCCACGAACACACACACACAGTTCGTCAGATTTCCTTATTTTTACCTCCCCCCCCCCCATACACACACACTCACCACTTGCCCACCATGCGTGTGGCCCAGGTGACCCGGCCGCTGGTGGCGTTGGCGTCAATGCGCCAGCGGGGCTGCTGGTCCTGCGGGTGGGAAGGGAGGGGCGGGGAGGGAGGTGGGAAGGTGGGGGCAGGGGCGGGTGGTGGGAAGGTGGGGGCAGGGGCGGGAGGTGGGAAGGTGGGGGCAGGGGCGGGAGGTGGGAAGGTGGGGGCAGGGGCGGGAGGTGGGAAGGTGGGTCGGCTGGGGGGGGAGGTGGGAAGGTGGGTCGGCTGGGGGGGGCCAAAGTAAGGGATGGAGGTGCGGATGGGGGCCGCTGCTGAGGGTGCAGCCAGCGAGAGCTGCAAAGACGACTGAATGTATAAAGAAGGTTAAGAAGGAAAAAGGTGAGGAAGTATGTAATAGAAACAGACACGCGGGCTTTCTGTGTGCCCGTACACAACTGAACACTACTACTGTACGACACACTGCACGTACGATATGTATACCGGTATGTACGACAGACGATGCAAGATCCTAACAGTATTGTCGTAGTATTATTACACATTATATCACACACACACACAAACATACGCTACAATACTCCTCGGCTCCTGCGGCGGTTCTGTGGGGACTTCATCTTCCGACAGTCACAGTACATCATCCTACTCGCGGCCAGTTTTTACACACACACACACACAAACTAACAAACAACAGGACTTGAACCGTTTTACTGCTTACCTCGATATACATCATCAGATTGGGAAGCTCCAGGTGAGGTAGCCAGATGCCGTCGCAGCAACCCATGGAGGGCAGGCCGCCGCTGTCGCAGGGCCGGCCGCACTTGCCGTTGGGAAGCATTGCAGCGGCGGAGGAGGCGGCGACGGTGGAGCCCGCATTGGCATCAAACCAGGAGAGGACGACCCACCATATCGCCTGTTGGCCGGGAGCGCATTTGTAATTGTGGTCGTTTTGGGAGAGGTTTGGGGGGGGTGTAAACATGCATGGTGGCCGGGAGGGGAGGGGAATTGCATGTGCGGTTAGAGCGACCCTGGATTGTAGCCTGCCGGCGGGTGACCCATGGGTCAGTCAGAGATTAGGCATGGCCACACAAAACACATCCCGACAAAGGCAACGACCAACAGAAGCGTGCTGCTTGGCCTAAGGGGGCTTGGCCTACGGGCCTCCGAGCACCCACACACACTACTCTTGCATCCCACTCTGTGAAAATACTGAACCGCTTATCGGTACTGCGGTTTTTTTATTCACCAAAACAAAGGTTTGTAAACACGCACCGTGTAACTGTTCTCTTGCTCCTCCAGCCGCACCACTCGCTCTAGCAAAGCGGTTGTGTTGATGGCAAAAGGCGCGAAGCTGGTATTCGGTTTTGCAACCGGCAGGCCAGCATCCGCGCCCAAGAATGGGTAGGGACGCTGCGCGCGCACGGACGGGGTCGACGCGAGCAGCAATAGTAGGAAGAAGAGCAGGGAAAGCGCGGTCCAGGGAACGGATTGAAGCAGGGAATAATGGCCGCCGGGTTTAGGGAGGTTGATAGCCGCCGCGTTGCAAGGCGGGCGCTTACGGCCGTCTGCCTGCCGTGATTGGTGCTTACTAGCCATGGCTCATAGGAAAGGCTGTTCTTGTTTGATTGCTTGAGAGGAAGAAAGTGTTGTGAAGGCTGTTGTTAATGAACGCAATTTGATGTTTTGATACGAAAGATATAAGAGGCAGCCTGGGGCGGCTAACGTTATAACTTGTGGGTGTGGAAAACAGTTGGGAAGGAAAATTACGCCGTCCTTGCAGGACACTGGAGCAGGCAACCTCGGACCCAAAAGACCTTGTTAACTGCCGTCTAGCCGGTTCCTGTGCTGGGCCTTAACTGAAGCTTCAAACAGATCCCAGAAAAGGCGGCCTAATTTATGGCGGGTGGGAAAAGCGAAGATCCGCAATGCGAGATGGCGAAGAGTCGATGGCGAAGGTAAAGCGAATACGATGGGAATACGAATTGGCGCGTCTGATGATCAAGCAAGCTGTTCGAACGCTGCTAGCCTCCTGCAAAGAAATTCTTCCAATCTCCTATAACCCGAGAGCAGTTCAAAGCAGTAGTGGAAAGGGAATTGAAGGAGCTGCACGACAGTTAGCCGCCAGGAATGATCCAACCATGACGAAAGGCACTGCCCCGGTTTTTGCGGCAAAGGAGGAGACAGACTCTTGCCTAATCTTGATTGTTTATATGCGTTATGCGTCATGTATGTGTAATGGACAATAGATTAACAACGTGTGCGATTAGAAATTGCGTTATCAACAATCAGCTAGGCAACGCTGTGGTCAACTGCTCGGAGGCCACTAGTCCACTGCTTTCCATTGCAGATAAACCACATGTTTATTTGTAGTGTCGATGGAGAACGGTATCCTGGACCATCTAAAAAGGTTTGACCACCAAAGGGCTTCCTAATATCACTAGGGTTCCCTAACATGTGGGGAAAGGGTGGGACAAGAGTTGTAATTAGGCCAGGCGGCTCCGTTCAGCCTGTGGTGTCCGTAATGACCCGTGGGTCTCAATGAGACTGCATGAGGCAGCGGAAGGCCGACCAGGAAAGCCGACCACACGCCACCCCCCCGTGGCATTGTTGAACGTAACATTTCATGTCGTCGAAGAAAACGCAACTTTTGGAGTAGGCCCTTTACGCCACAAACCACCACACCATCCACCCGAGGGGTTACCCCAATAACCGCCTTGCCTTTCCCTCCTTCGGCCCAATAACCGCCTTGCCCTTCCCTCCTAAGAGGCTAAGGAACGGCAGTACATATGCCGTAGTTGGTCTCCCGGAATCCTCCCCTCTGTTACAAGCATGCACCAAGCATGGACTCAGGCCGGGCTTTCCTACAGCAGACTTGCAAGGGAACCTGATGATTCAGCGCTCGGCCCCGCATCCAGCCACCGGTAGATAGCATGCTGCACGCTCCTAACGCTCCTACCGCCGCCACCCCAACCACTGTTCCTCCAGCGCAGCCCTACCTCCACTCCGCCGCCCCAGCCTGCTTCGCCACACCTGCTCCCTTCCCCCCTGCCCTCCCCGCATCCTCCGCCGGTACCAGTAGGTACAGCCGCGCTATGTCCCGGGGGCCCCTCAGGAACACCCGCAGGTCGGGTAGCTGCAGGGCCGCCATCACTGCCGCCACCGCATCCACTGCCGCGGAGGCCTCCTCGTCCTCGTCCTTGCCCTCGTCCCCCTCGTGCTTGCCGCCAGCCTCGTCCTTACCCTCGCCCTCGCCCTGTTCCTCGTCCCCCTCGTCCGTGCCTGGCGGCGGTGGTGGCGGCGGCGGCAGCGGCAGCCCCAACGCAAGAGCCATTCCGCGAGCCGCCTGACGACCCAGATCCCAGCAGACGACAGCAGTCGCAATCGCCGGCTCCGCCGCCAAGATGTCACCCGCAACCCGCATAAGAGCCGCTTCTGGCGCGGTTGACGCGAACAACGCCGCCACCGGCGCCTCTGGCGGTGCCGGCGGAGGCGGCATCTTGATTGCAGCCCAGGCTGGGGAAACGCAGGAGGGCAGCCGCCATACACCGCCGCCGCCCTCTTCCACCGCCGCCGCTGCCGCAGCGGCAACCGTCGCCGGAGTCGCTTTCAGCCCAGCGAACCATTCCATCCAGGTAGGCGGCGGCGGCGGCGACGCTGTCGTTGTTGCCGCTGCTGCCGCCGCTGCTGCTGCTGCATGCGCTTCTGATGGCGGCTGCCGTACAGCCTCCTCTTGCACGTCATGGTACGACTCAGCTGTCCGGAAGCTTCCCGCTGCAGCTGCTACTGCATTCTGACCGGGACCGGCACCGCCGCCGCCGTTAGCGACACCCCCTGGCGCCGAGGTAACCGTTACATAGCCGCTACCAATGTTTCCGCCACCGCCACCGCCACCGTCGCCGCCGCCATGCATGTCGTACTCCCTGCGCTGCCGCTTGGCTGCTAGCTGCTCCGGCTGCTGCCCGCCGTCTGTTGCCTCCCCATCCGCCGCTTGCCGTGACGGTGGCCCCCCTAGCGGTTGGCACTGCTGTTGTTGTTGCTGCTGTTGCTGTTGTTGTTGCTGTTGCGGCGGTGGCGGCGGTGTCGTCAGCAGCAACATACCCGGGCGTAGCGGAGCTGCATGACGCCAGTGTAAGCATCGTCCTGTTGGGGGTTGACCCTGCTGGCTTCTCCGTATCCGCGTCCCCCGCATGCTGGAGTGCCGAGGAACAGCAGCTGGCTGGTCAGCGTCATCAGACGCGGTGTCGCCGCCACTGCTGCTGCCGCTGCTGGTAGCACCGCTACTGGTGGAGGCGCTGCTGACGTCATCAGACTCGCCTGCTTCCTGGTCGCTTTGGTCCGTGCCAGGGCCGGAGCTGCTGCTGCTGCCATCGCTGTCGTGGCTACGCTCTTCCTGCTGAACCTCCCTACCGCCAAAGCCACTTCTATCACCGCCCTCCTCATCACCATCTTCGTCCTCCTCCTCCTCCGCCGCCGCCTCCGCCACTCTAGCGGACGAGAGAACCAGCGCTGGCGCCGGCGTGCATGTGCGAAGCCGCTCGGGGCCCCACCAAGCCACAATCAACGTGGTACGTCGAAGCTGCTGGGAGGCGGCACCAGAAGGCACCGAAGCCCTCAAGCCCGCCTCGGTGTCGGCGGCAGCAGCACCCCCAGCGGCACCAGCGGCAGCAGCTGCATGGGCCTTATGCTGCAGCTCTGCCGGCTGCGGCGGCTGCGGCATGACGCCATGCAGCATGTCGCCGGGGAACAGCAGCAGTCGGTTGGGTCGCGGACCCGCGGGCCATGCGCGCTGTGCCAACGGCTGATGAAGCGACTGTAATGGGGATGAAGGGGACGATGAGCGGGCGCCGCCGTCGGCCTGCTGGTTGCAACTGACACAACCGTCAACGGTTTCTGTTGTGCCGTTAGCGGCGGTGGCGGCGGCGATGGTGTCTTTTAACTTGCTGCTGCCGCCATCAGAGTGCTCCAAGTAGCTGCAACAGCCTGGGGAGGGAGGAAGAGCAGCGTGTGCAGCGAACTGGTCAAAGAGGGGTGCCGGTAATGAAGACGCTTGGCGTAAAGAATGCATGATGCCTATTTAACCGCGGCTTAACTGGTGCTGGTATTTTGGCTTTTTTGGAGCATGCATGGCCGCGCTGCACACCTACCGCGTTGCCGGTAAGCTTGGCAGAGCGGCAAGCTAGCGGGGAGCTTATCACATTCTTGGCAACCGCGCAATCACCGCCTTACCAGCTGGCGTCTGGTCTAACACCAGCGTCGGACCGCCGGGGCAACAACAACCGTTGGCGACAGCAGTGCCACCACCACCACCAGCACCACCACCAGCACCCGCGTCACCACTTGCGGCCCCAGCGGGGACGTCGGGTTCCTGCTGCGCCGCCGCCTCAGCAGCAACCGCCGCCTCCGCTGCTGTGGCGGCGGCTCGGGCCGCGGGCGCCGCGGGCGGCAGGAACAGCACGCTGCCCAGCCGGGGGTGCGACAGCTGGTAGCGGTCCAGTCCCTGAGGCGGTGAGGGGTTGACATGCGGGTGGCGGAACAGTGTTTGCCGGTACCGGAAGGGTGTTAAGGTCATGAGACAGGGAGAGAGTACGGGTAACCGGAAGAGGAATTGAGCTGCCGCAGATAGAAGCGGCATCCAACAGCACAAACAAAAGCTACAAAAAACGACCGTGCAGATGCTGCTGCCCTTCAGCGGTTTGTCGTGGCGATGTGACGCAGCATCGCGGGCTACTAGACAGTATCACTGCTCGCGGCGGCCGCCGTGCAAAGGTACCGGTTATCCCGCACAGCCAGTTCCCGCGCAGACACCGCGACTGCTGCGCTACCGCTGCTGCGCTGCCGCTATGCGCCCACCCACCCACCCACCCACCCACCCACCAGCCGAAGCACGCTCTCGTCCACATCGAAATGCAGCTGGTGCGGTGCCCCCGGCTCCCGGCTGTGCGCCCACCACTCCGCCACCACCGCACCGCGTAGCGCCGCAGCCAGAGCAGCCCCATGCGGGTGGCCTAGCCGCCCCTCCGCTGCAGCAGCGCAGTCCCTGCTGACGGTGTCGCTGTCAAACCTGCTGCTGCCGGTACCACTGCCGGCGTCACCCTTGCTGCTGCCGCAGCTGCCGCCGTCACCCATACCGCCTCCACCGCCGCCGCCGTCAGTGTCCAGATGCTGCTCCGCCGCCTCTGCTGCGATCCCGGCCTCCGCCGCCGCTGCTGCGGTCTCGGCCTCCCGCAGCAGCCGCATGTGCAGCCGCCGAATCGCCTCCTCCACCACGGACGAGGGCTCTTGGTCCTTGGGGGAAGAGGGGGGGCAAAGACCGTACCGTACCGTAGGAAGACACAGGTTACCCCGGGGGGGGAAATTTATAAAAAAAGTGCAAACAACTACCGGGGGGGTAATGTGTTTACGGTTCATCGCAATGAGCGAGAGGGCGGAGAGGCGGCGGCGGCTGATTGTCACGAGTTGAGCTGCTTGTTAAGCACAAGTTGTAAAATAAAACCTAGAAAGCACGACACTCCGCACAACTAGGCCCAGCACATCAGCAGCACCCACCAACCGGTAAATGTAGCTGAAGAACGGCGTACGGCATTTGCCGTACCGGTGCTGCCGCCAGTAGGGCGAGCCGCCAGCGGGGTCAAACGCCACCGCCAGGCGCTGAAGCAGCGGCGGCGGCAACGCACCGTCGTACACTAACGGTCTCCGTAACCGTGCTGGCGACGGCGACGGCGGCGACTGCATGGTGGCTCTTCCCCGCTCTGAAACCCCTGCTGACGCTGAGGAAGCGGCAGCCGCTGGCAGTGGCAATGGCGAGGGTGATGATGGGGATGGCAGCATGGTAGCGGTCGCAGGCGGGGTGCCGGTGAGGCTGGCGGCGCAAGCGGCCCACACCTGATCCGATAAGCGCAGCCGGTAGCCCAGACCCGCGACCCATGGGTCTGCTGCGGGGCCCTGGCCTGCCGCGCACAACGCCAGCGCCTGATTAGGATACGGGAGATAAAAGCCGCAACACCACAATTAAAGAAACCGGCAGATCTTTGACGTTCCTGCGAAGAACTGATGCAGAGTGCGCATGCTTTAATGACACGTCATGTATGGGGTTGCTAAACTGCTGCAATTGCTGCCCACACGATCGTACATGACAAGCATCCCCGCAGGAACCGGCCCAGCCACTTATTCTGATGGTGTAATCCTCCGCTAGGTGTAACCCGACACGTCGGCATACGTTGAAGCCGCTTGCCTGCTGGCACCCTGCTGTCACCAGGCTACCACTCACTCCTCTGCTTAGCCTGGTTAGGAGCTTGCCTTTTCCTTGCGGTGCAAGCTAGGCTGGGTATCATCCGCTTTCCTTCGCATTGGGTTCGGAATCACTGTACCGGATTCACTCACGCACGCACGCACGTGATGGTCCACGTATCATTTGCTCATCACTCACATGCAGGTATTGCGCCTGTGCCAGCTCCTGACACACGAGCGCCAGCAGCTCTGCGTTGAAGGCTGTCGGAGGAATGTCTCTGGCGTCGGCGTCAGTATCCTGCATTGGTTTCATGGGGTTGGTTTGTTGTGAGAGAAGCCATGCGGGCCAACAGTAAGGATATATACGGCACTTACGAATCTCTGTTAATAAGCCACAGTTCAGGCTTTGGCCGGCGACCTTACCCCATGTCTTGTGGGCCAGGAGTCAAGGCAGCAGCGCAGGAGGTACGCAGCGCGGGTTAGGGCTCGGGTCTGTCCGTCTAGGTCGCCCTGCTAGCAGCGGCGCACAGGTTGGTGCGGCGGACGGGTTGCAGGAAGGGTGCAGACATGAGGTCCCGGTGTTGGTAGCAGCAATAAGCAATCGTTAGTCGTTTCTGTGACCGAAAAGCTTGCCTTGCAGCTTTGCCATCGCTCGATGGCTTGATGAACTTGCATCAGTTGATTATCTGCCCGCGCTTCCATCCTGAACAACAAGAAGCTAATTGCTTTTTACATGTTAGCAGGTGTTGTTTTGCGCAGAGCGTCAGGCCGCTCAGGCGTGAAGGTGGATATCGCTCCCGAACCGGTTCCGGAGTACAGCATGTCGTGGGGCGGGAGTCGCGGACAAAAGCAGCAGAAGCGCAGAAACGATGCACAAGTTGTTACGGTTGGAGTTACTGTCAAGGCTTGCTCGATGCCAAGCAGACATGGGAGAGGCTGTTGGACGTGTTAAGTAGACGTGGCACCGTTCGCGGAATCAGCTACTCTACCATGACTTGCAGCATGGGGAGGGGACGGGCAGGCCGGGGACGGACGGCATGCAGGCTGCGTTGGAGCCCGTAAGTGCAAGGGTTTGTGCGAACATGGGCTTGCAGGCAGCGTGGTGTGCGGCCTGGACATGATGTAGCTTCAGTCTTACAATTAGTGGCCAGTGAAGCTATAGCGTCCTACGGCTATCTCATAGCATGCTGCTTTGCTGCATAAGGCCGCGTACGACCCAATTAATCATAAGCACTCGTGCTCCGCCAACAATAGGCTTTCGTTTCAGTAAAAAATGCAGTCTGTAAACATTTATTGAGATGGAAAACAGGTGTGTGTTCATTGCAGCTTCTGACCCGCAAAGCAGACTGCTATATAACGGAGCGCACCTTAAATTCGAACTAAGCAGTGACAACAAAGTTCAGTTTAGCGAGCTTGAGGAGGCGTTTGGTCCATTGATGATTTGGAACAGTAGGCCAGTTGCCCCGGGCAAAACGGGCTTGAGCAACCTTAGCTTCACTCCAGGACAGCATATCATGCTGACGAGCTGGGCACCACCCCAAGGAGCGGTAGCTACCGCGGCGTGGAGCTCATGGGACTGCCTGAAGATGTTTGACACTGAGGTCACCAGCGCCCAACGTAAGGTGTCGCTGGACGAAAGGGTTGGTCGAGGCATGTATTTAAACGGACTTGCAACATTGCGGTTGGCGCAGGTCCCCGAGCCAAGGCTAAGGCTGACTGACTACCGTACGTGTTGGGGCATGAGGGAAAGCTTACCGAGCTTTCGTTCCGACGGCTTTCTTCTTGTGCCTTTATGGCACAGGCAATGACATCAAGAAGTCCTTCATGAAGAAGCTAGGGTGCACTCGGTGGGTGTTTTAGTTGCTGAGATGACAGTTGACAACGGCAAGCCAGATGAGGCATCCTCGCTCCCATTTTGGTTCCCCTGGAGCCAAGCCTCCAAGCCTCCAGCCACCCAGTACCGCGTTCGGTCTTGTAAAATCGGACGTGAAGACGAATTCATGTTCCTTTAGGCTTGTTTAAAGGGACTACCGTTTTACAAGACCAAAAGCGGTAGTGGAGGCTTGGCTCCAGGGGAACCAAAATGGGAGCGAGGACGCCCCATCTGGCTTGCGCTACATGGGCGTGATGTGGTTGCATGTGTGCCAATAGGAAATGCAGGCGGGTAGCTGCGGCCGAGATGATCTGGTTGGAAGTATGGATTCTGTTGGGAGTTCTTTTGGTTTTGTGTGGACTAACACGCATGGACTTCCTCCCCGCCAGCTGCACCGTTAAGCGTGCTCCTCACCCCAGAAAATGATTTTCGTTCTGCTATTCGCCTATACGAGCCTGCACTTGACTTGTAAACCTCTGCTGACTAGACTACATGCTTTACTCTAAGCGCTTCCCTATTATGATGACTGCCCCAGGGCCACATCACGACATATCTAGTGAGGAATGTCCAACCGGGGTAAAGACATTGGCTTCCTAAGCTGCTGTCCGGCCATGAATACACTTGGTTGCGTCTGCTCGCACGGATTACGCTGCTGCTGCTGCTAATCACCTACCCGCAGTACCCACCAAGCACGCTTGTACCGATCAGCTCGGTCCCCCATCACACCAGCTCCCGAATCGTCCTACGCTCGCGCATGCCCCGCGCCGCAACCACCTCCTGTTTAGACACTCTACACTGAGAACCGCAAAAGATCTCAATCTCGAGATCCATAATCCTCGAAGCTCCTTCGCCCTAGCACCTCCCATTCCCCAGCTCACACGCCCGACTCCACGAGCCCCATCGGCCCATTGCCTGTATCCACTACCACTCCTCTAGTAACCACATCCGCTCTGTCGTTCTCATATTGCTTGAGCAGCTATAACACTAACTGCTTCGCCAACAGTCCCGCCGCTGCTACTCACAGCGCAGCTGCCGCCGTGGCATTCACGTGCGCCACCACTTTGCTGGGGTCGATTTCCGTGACCGTGTCCGCGCCCGTTCCGAAGGTCCAGCCCGATCCCAGGTACTTTCGCACTTGAAGCGCTTCCGGGATGGACAGGATAGGGTACTTGTGCACGTCTGGGCAACATGGGGAAGCAGCACCAGCAGCAGTGGGAAATTGAAGGCATGAGGTCAGGTGAGGTGTCAGTGCAGCTCAGGAAGGAAGATAAGCTGGCAAGGATACCGAAAGTGCAAGGATGCTTGGTGGGCGGGGGCTGGACGCTGAGCACGTCAAAAGGATGCATGGGGCCCTGGGTCAGGGACCGGCGGTTAGTGTGGGATCTCACCGCTGACCCCGCCCACCCTGCTGTCACGTGCCAGGGCTGTAGCCTTACCTTTTGTGAACGTGTAGATCTCCTCGCGGAAGTAGACTATGCTCGCGAATATTAGCAGGAAGAAGAACTTAGAGTGCGCACGGGTTCGCGTGGAGGGGTTTGTGGGGTTAGGAGCTTAAAGGCCGCAGTTGAGGGGCGCAGCGCCGAAACACAAGCAAGCCAAGAACCCAAATAGCCAAGCCCTAAGCCGGATGAGGATCTATATAACATCTGAAGTGAGCGGAGAGGCGCTGGCTCACCCCAATGACTAGCCAGCGGTTGGGGTTGCTCCTCGAGGTCGATGGTTGTGGTGTTGCTGAAGCAACGATTGCTGATATTACTTCGCTTGGTGCGGAGCTGGCTGATACCTCCACTATGACCTGCTGCGATTGAGGTTGATGGGACGACGTAGAGGCATGTGTCTTTGCGGACATGCTTTGCCGATTATCTACTTGGAGGCGCTGCAGCAGTTAAGGTATATGTTCAAAGCTTTGGCAAGGCCAAGCAAACCGTGCAGCTACGACCAAGCAAAGACCTATATCTGACCAAGGAGATGGACCGCAATGAAAAAACTATTAAGTTTACGTTAAGATTCCTTTCGCTTTGCTCTCACGAAAGCTTCATGACCTGACCAGCTCTTACCATATTGAATGCCCGTACCGTGTACGTGCATGTATAGCAGTGAAGGCCTTAGACCCGATCCCATGGACGAAAAGCGTATGAAGGAAGGTGCTGTCACTTTGCTTTGCAACGCGTCAGTTTCAAAGCTTCTCGCACTTTACCATACCCATCAACCCGGCCGGATCCATCCGACTTCTCTGGTTCGGACCCCTGCAGCCTCCAAATGCCCATTCACTACGGATAGCAGCCACCACTCTGCAGTCACACTATCTGCGGGAAGAGCAAATCTCCCAAATCTCGACAATGATTCACTTGCCAGGTTCAACCAACCATTCTGCTCTGGCCCTTTCCTCCTCGCCTACAGCTCTGCATCGTCAGCCTGAGACCAACCCTCCCCTCCTTCATCCAAACTGTTCGAGCTCGACTCATCGACACACACGCCTCACAGCAAGCCATAGCCAGTTTCCTAAACACATACACGCCATGTCCACCTCCATGTCACATGCCGCCTCAACCACCTCTACACGTGCAGCAGCGTCGCGATGAGCGGCGTGGGAAGCCCCAGCAGGCCCTTGAGGAAGGTGGGCGCGGAGGGGAAGTTGTGGATGACATCCCGGTGCGCAACCACCCTGTTTGGGGGGGGGGACAAGAATGAAGTACCCACACAACCTCAGCGGGTTAAAAGCTTAAAACACAACCATGATGGCGGTAAGATGCATGCATGAGCAGCAGAGGGATACTGCTGGTACTACCGGTATGAGCGAATGAGAGGAGACGAGGCAAAACGGACGGACGGCTGCAGGAAGCCAACGCACGACGCTACATGCACAAAGGTAAAAAGCAGGCAAGGTAGGGATCTCAACCAAAGCTTCGCGCGCCCCCCCAGCCTGTAACATACAAAGGTCCCCATAGGCCTCCCGAGATGTCATGAGGTTTGCCTTAAGTAATTATTAGGATTCTTTTCCCGTAGCCCTGATTCACAGCCGCACCTGCTCTGCGTGTTGACGGTGAGTGTGATGGTGTGTTGCGAGTTGACGAGCGGCAGCTGCAGGGCCGCCGCGGAGCCGCCCCAGGAGGACAGCAGCGCGTGCAGGGGAGCCAGCGGGCGCCAGGAGAAGGTCACATCCATCTGCATCTGCATGCGCAGGAGGGGGCGGAGGCGGAGGGAGGGTAGAGGAGGCCAGTGAAAGAGGGGGGCATCGGCAGAGGAGGCAGGGAAGGAGGAGTGAGAGCTTCCAGGCTCAGATTTAAGGCTATTAAGACCTATTTGCAGGTTGGTGGTGGATTTGTGAAGCGGTGGGGCATCACGTGCACCGGGTCCCTTTCCGCACATCTAAGTCATCTACCCTGGTACCCTCCCGCACTTGCTGCCTCCCGCTCGCCTCAGCCTCACCACCCCCGCACCTGCATGAGCACATCGGGACCACCGCCACCACCAACACCAGCTGCTGCTGCTGAGAACACCCCGCCCGCAGCTGCCGCATGCGGACCCGTGAGGGAGGCTGGCGGCTGGGGTGGCTGCTGCTGGGTGGGTGTTGCATGGGACACACCAGCAGCACCAGCAGCAGCAGCAGCAGCTACCCGTCTGAGTACGACACGGTGGCATCGGATTCCCTCAATGTACGGCATGAGGAGCAGGCGTGCTGCACCCAGCCATGCGGCGATGCTGATGCTGTGGGGACACCAGAGCAGGTTGGTTTCGTACAAGGCAAACCTGGGGTGGGAGGGAGGTTTGGGTGCGGTTGGGAGAATGGGGAGCGTAGGGGTGCAAAGGTTAACGGTGAGAAGGCGGGAGTACACAGTAGTAAAATGCAATGCAGTAGTCTGGAAGAAATGGGGTGAATGCCGAACAAAGGGTGTCCAGAGGTGTCAATGATCTAGCCATGGCTGCATGACCCATGGGTCAGGCAGCAAGCACCAGGCCGCAGCAAAGCAACAAGCTCCATACGAGAAGCGCAAGCAAGCAACCACAAAACAATACAGTTTCCTAGATCCTTCTTCCTACAAACGCGGTAGAAAGATCAGAAAACGCGGTAAAACCGACTTGGCATAATAGTCCTGCAAGATACGCTTGGTGTCTCGAGCGTTGGTTGTTCCGGCGACCAGCGCCAGCGTCCGGCTGAGCGCATCCTTCAGCTCGGGCGGGAGCTCCTCCGGCGTCACCGCGACTTCCACAAAGTCCCCGCCGCTCTCAGCTGCGCTTGCGCCTTTGGAGGATGCGGCTGTGGCGTCGTGCACGTGGGTGCGCGAAGCGAAGAGCGATTGCAGGCTTGCGTATAAGCTGGCTTGCGGTCGGGCCATTCTTACAGGGTTGGAACCCTTGAAAAAGACGTCCACAGAAGCGAGCTATGTAACAAAGTGGAACGGGAACTGGAACGCGTTATGATGCTGGCATACTTTGGATGACTGTGGTACTGCCGTATTTTATTGCTTAGGACTGGCATGCGTACTAGTATTTGCTGCTTTGCCTGGGTTCGCACATTATCGTAGTGCTTCCAATGCCCTGTCCGTCGTGAATGACGCCCAGTTGTTTTGTTGGCCCTTCGCAACACCAACCCGCAACAGGAACGTCGCTACCCCAGCAACTGGCTCGTTTAAATGAATATCGCATCAGAGCATATGGCTTTACAGACAAAACTGCAATGCTTACAAATTTAAACGCTGGCAGGTGAGCAACCAGAAGGTAATGTAGCGACAGCCCGTGCCCTGCCTCCTTTAATGCTCACGACGCACATCACCCAGCAAGCAGACGCGCACACCCCTTAACCATGACAGAGGTGAGAACTCATCTGAGCGTTCGCAGCAATGGTGACAATTGTTGGGAACGCACTTCAATACGAAGAATGGAGCCTCATGAATAAGCATGTCCTGTTAAAGCTAGCCTAAGAAGGATCACGACTATGTTTGCTACAGATGACGGTGCGGTACGCACCTTAAGCAGCCTATATGCGGTATACTCTCGACGGGGGGGCGTGCTACGCAGAGGCGGGGATTAAGCAAATGGAACCTCCCACACCCACAACGCCTCGTCCAGACAGACACGCACATGCTGCTCACACAGCTCTTGGGCCCCAAGCCCGGCACATGCCGTACCAACAGCGGTCACAATCGAAAGAAAGAATTACGTACTAGTACTCCAGATTCCTCCATGCCTTTGCTTATATATCCGGATGACCGGATCTACCCCTATTAAACAGTAGCTGCACCAACGGCCCTATCTACAATCACGATACGACGCTTGACCGTACCCTCCTGCACGGCCGCCCTACAAATGCAACTAAAGAAGCCCAATCGCCCTAGAGACCGTTGCTGGTCAGCACGCGGTTTTTGACCGCCTATTTTTCACAAGCACGCACATTCCTCAATGCCTATCTATCACCCCCTTTTGCATTGAAGGTCAGCTGCATGCATTTTCCTCCGCTTCCCCAGACAGCATAACTGTACGTGTTGTATGGCATACATCTGTGCGTTAGCAAGCGGAAACATTCTATCCTTTCAACCCACAACAGTGCTACGCTACTGCTTGTAACTCCCCACGGCACTACCCTGCAATAGCTTGTTATGCGGCTCATGCGAGCTCATGCCTCATGGGATCGTCCAACAGGTATCAGCAGTTCACAACAGGCGGCAGCAGCCTCAGCGTCACCCAGGCTGCGTTGGAATCGGTGACGGTGGCGGTGGGGGCGGGAGCATTGGCGGCGGCGGTGGTGGCTTGGCCGGCGGTGGTACGTTCCAGTACACGTGGACCTTCCGAATGCCGTACCTGCGGAACCAAAATACGACGAAGACAGGATAGATACGACGATTCAGGATAAGGACACGGGGTGAAGGCAGCATGGCAGCAGCACTCGCTATTTAGCCCCTTAGCTGTACGTTCTTCATCAGCAGTAGAGCAAAACAGCAGGCCGGTCCCGCTTCCCCTTTAGCAAACCCGTCATGTAAGCCAAAACCGTGGGACATAGCATTGCATTAAAATACCTACTTTTGCATGAACTGCGTGTCAAACACGATGTTGGGGTAGGTTGAGAGCATAATGCGCATGTAGTACAGCAGCAGCTGGCCTGCAAAGGCAAATGAGTCGGTAACGGTTTCGGTCTGTTCGGTTAGCGGTTAGTAAGGTTACCCTGATTACGGCAACCCCGTTCCTTGCGCTCAGGCGCATGCACAACGTACCGCTATACAGGCTGGTCAGAGTGACATAGGACATCTGATACTTGTTGAAGTAGACATCACAAAGGGTTCGGTCTGGTGCAATGGCTAACAGCTGCTCGCAGACGTCCGCATCCCAGGCAGCCAAGGCGTCCGTTTTGGCTGTCTCCGTATTGAAAGTTGCGCCCTCCCACCAAATGGGGAAGCTGCTTTGGAAAAAGTCCAAAGGTGGTGAGGGAGGGAAGGGCGGCGGAAAGGGCGGCGGTGGTGGGGATGGAGGTGGCGAGGGTGGTCGAGGTGACGGAGGTGGCGGCGGCGGCGGTGGTGGCGGGGATGGTGAAGGCGGCCGCGGTGGCGGAGGCGGAGATGGAGGGTCAGGGCTGGGAGGCGGTGGGGGTCTGGGCGGCCTTAGAGGTCTAGGTGGCGGAGGCGGAGGCGGTGGCGGCGGATGGAACGGGGCCCTCGGCGGTTGTGGTGGCCGTGGTGGAGGTGGCGGGGGTGGTGGGGCTGGTGACGGGGGCATTGGCTGGGGACTGGGCGGCATGGGGTATGCGGGTGGGACTTCGGGAGGTGGAGGATCGTCCACGCACAGGAGGGAGCGTTTAGGACTGACCTTGGCGTAGCGGCTTTGGAAGCCTGGCCGAGGGGTGTAGCTGGGGAAATCTCCCCATGTGAAGGCGAATGCTACCTTTGCTCCCGGGATGCCAGCAGCTGCGCCGGTGGCGGCCGCTTGATGCTCTGAAGCATCGGTCTGGAGTCCGTACTGGGAGCTGGGGTTTGGAGGGCCCTCCCAGCTGAGGAGGAAGGCTCGGTTTGCGGTCCGCATGCCGGCAGATGCCGCGGGAGGAGGCCGAGCCTCGGGCGTAGTTATAAGGCACGCGATTAGCAGTAGCCGTAGGCTGTTCTGTGTCCATCTTCGGAGAGTCGTTATGTTTAGCCGGCGTCCGGACGACCTGCTAATTGCTCGCCGACAGTCGACACCGCCGTGCAAATCCCTGGCGCGACTTGCACTGCACCTGACGTGTGATGCCTTGAAGCTGCTATGGTATGAAAGCTTGCGAGATGCTTCTGTTGGGAAGTCCTCAAGGGTCCCTGGTCGAGTAGCTGCAGCAGCAGCTGGTCGTCGACGTGCTAAAGCGACCTCGCCTCCTGAACGCCGAGCCTCCAAAAGGGACACCATGTAAAGGTCGCAATCATGTATACCCTGTGGTATGCTATTACAGAGTGCTTTCCTGCCTTTTGTTGTCTTTGACCTAGGGGTAGGGTCCTGTGGAATGTAAGAGGAAACCTGAAGGAAAGCTAAACCTCCTATTCAAATGCGGTTAGTATGTATGCATGGCAATGGAAACACCTTCCAGGTTGTAACCAGGCCCGATTGGCAAGACGGTTAAGTCGTCAACCGCCGCTGCAAGGCATTAGCAAAGACATAGTCCGACAAAGCGTCTGTCTGACTTGAGCATAACCGAAGCCACACATAAAGTATCCCAGGTCAATTAGCAAATTTGTGCAAGGCTATTCAGTGTGACTTCCTTACCACCCCTGACGACGATTGACGAAGCATGTACAAGATAGAAGCAGGAAACAGTAGCTCCGCAAAGTTTATAGAGGAATTAAATGCGCTGGAACGCTCAATTTTCAAGAAGAACGACTCATGGGCAGACGGCGAGCTGGAGCGAATGGTCAAAAAAAGGAACAACATTACTTGCGTGGCGCGCTTAAACGTAGATGGAAAGGTAAGGATGTTGAGCCGCCTCCCTATCGCCGTGCCCAGTGAGGCTTTCCTCGGCCGAAATTTCCTTCCTTTTGTGCATCGTCCAGGTCTGCGGCTACGTGCTATGTACTAGCACGGGTATAAATGTTCATGTATCGAAACTCGCAGTACGGGAGGACTGCCGGCGGCAAGGTGTCGCAAAGAGCCTCATGATGGTGCGAATGCGGCAGGGGCGGGCGTGAGCTTATACCCGCGGCGGTAACGTTCTAGACTGGTTAGCCTGCGCTCACTGTGCCTCCTCAAACCCACTGGACATTCAGCGTCGCTGGGGAGTGTGCTGCACACGCCGCAGCTCAACCCTCCTGCGCCTGCTGCCCTATGCCCAACCCCTTCCCCGTGCGTCATCTTGTTTGCCAGCCTCATTTAACACATTGGGTATTCTTCCTTTCCCCGTACGTGCCCCGTCCCCACCCCCAGGCTGTTCTCCGTACGGCTGCCACTCAGCGCCGGTCGCTGTCCTCAACGCTGCATGTGGCTCTTGATAACCAGCCAGCTGTCAACCTCTACAGGTGCGCCTGATCAACAGTTACATTACATGTGTGCCACCCGCCTGGTGGAGCGCCAGTACATGGCTACATACGTCGGCTGCTCTGCTCTATGCTGGGTGCCATGGGGGGCTGACCTTGCACAAGCACTTTGCGCTGCTTGAGCTACCTGCCGTGTCGCCGTAAAGGGCGAGGGAGGGTGCTGACCTCATAACGTCTCCTGTTTCTGTGGCACTGTACTTGACGCTCTGGCGCCCTCCATCCAACCTACAGGTCGCTGGGCTTCAAGGAAGATGGCTTGTTGGTGAGGTTGGTGTGGTGTTCCCTTGATTGGCCATGAAGAGAGGTCGCATAGGGTTAGAAGGCCGAGCGCGCAGGACATTGAACCAACCCTGCCATAAATGCATGCCGCCAGCTGCCGCTAGCTGCTTACCGGTATATTCCGCCATGTTCCTATTCCCAACTAGTTCCGGAGCGGCGAAGATTGCCTTGCTGCAAGTGATATCAGGCGCGCATCGCCTCGCACCTCGCACCTCCCGCCTTCACAGGAACACTACTACACCACAGGCCGCCATGCCTACAAAATGATTTGCGACTTGGAGCCCTATAAGAAGCCCGAGACCAGCGGCAGCGGCAGCAGCTGAGGTCGCCTCAGGGGTTCCAGTTCCTGGTCTAATGCTTGTCGCAGCGCTACAGCAAAATCATGACTCTCAACCCGCCTTTAAGGACGAGCGCTGCCATGACACGCAACCATGGCTGCAAGGGAGGCGCGGAGATGGGCTGGCCAGCACCTGGCGGCGGCAGCAGCAGGGGGAACAGGCAACCGGTAGCGCGAACGCTTTGCTGCGTTGGTGTTACCACTTGCCAGGGAGCTAGCGGTAGCCAGCGGCGCCGAGGTGCAGCAAGCTATCATCAACAACACGGGTCCTGCTGGCGGGCTATCGGCTGGTATGGCCGCAGAGCTCAACAGACCAGCTTGCTTGCGGGTTCGAGCCATCATGGGTTACAGCCCGCGCACATGCTCCTGCTTCGACTTGCGACGAGACACGCGACAAGACGCGAAGAACAACCTGCCCAGACTGACCCCTGCCACCGGATAGGATGGACGCTCACCGTCTCCCTCCCCCTGCGCAGCACCTAACGACTACATACGTACTGGTACTGGGATTCTACGCGGTACTAGGCCCCACGCGGTTGCAGCCCAACGTCACGTTCCGTATGGCTCCAGCTAACCACCCGCGACCGCCCCCCCATGATGTGACGTGACGTGGAGAGCAAGGGCAGCTGCATGTGGCTAGCTAGCCAGCATGATTGCAACACATGCACGTCCATGCTGCAGCTCTACACACCTCGGCGGCTGCTGCTGTTTCCGCTGCTGCTCGGAGATGCACGCCTTGTATAGCCCCACTGGATTGCTGCCATCCCGACCGTGACACCACGTGGAAGCCAGAGGCAGGCCTTATGTTGGGCCCAGCTCGCATCGCGGACCCCGGGCACCTTGCCTCCTAGGAGACACCAAGTTACTCAACGTCACCACAACTGATGCGTGCGGTTGGGCATGCGTGCTTTCGTGACCAAGAGGTTCATGTCCCGCTGCGACCAAGGGGTTTATATTCCAGCTTTCCTCTTGAGGACAATGCAGTGTGGCCCGCATGCATGGGTTCAGCGATACCAGCCTCTCTCTACCTGCGTGCGAATGCTTTTGCCTGACTTTGATTCTTCTAAATCATAATTCAACAGCCCATTGATGCCCTCGTCAGCACAGACACTACTTCCCAAGCAAACTTAATTCCGTGCACGCGTTGTGGCGGCGAGGATACCGCCAAGCCTTCCTTAGGAGGCACAGATGTCCTCTACAGCTTTTTTTCCACGTGGACTGTTGTACATGCATGAAGTCCTTGGCCGATAGAGCCGTGTGTTAGGAAAACCGGTCGCGAGTCGGAACGTACTGTGAAGGTGCCGTGAAGGTAGTGCCGTGTATGTGTGTGCAGGTGGTGGTGTTGCTACCGGATGGATGGCTTGTTGAACTGCGGCAAGGCGAAGTGGGGCAGCAGGGCCCACATTCGTTAGGGGAAAAGTAGAGGCCGGGTGGCGTTGTGGCTTCAAAGCAACCACGCGATGAATATGTGCAAATACGCTGCCGGTAGGGTTGACCGTTAAGGGACAACCAAATGTATTACATGTCGTGCAGGAGGCGTTCGGGACTGTTAAACGACTGCATGTTTGTACCGCGACCCGTGGGTCCGCTCACCCGCTCGTATGCTAGGTTGTACGCGCGCTCCAACATCTCCGACATGTCTTCTCCGATTGACACCTGAACCAACAACAGGGGATAAGAACTCCGTCAGGAAGGGGGCGGGTTGCGTGTTGACGTGAGGTGCGGGCACCTGCCGCACATGCGTTGTTCCTGCTTGGGAGGCTGTACTAGAGAATTGCGAAGTCAAGGTTATTGGCGGGTGCGGACAAATGAACCCCGCACTCACCATCTTAGTGAAGACGACGCGTGCATTCTCGTTCTTAAACACCGTGGGGTGCACTCTGCGGGTTGGGTTGGAAGAGGAGTTGAGTGCTTGGGTTTGGCCGACTTCATGGGGGTCTGGGCCGAAGCCGATACCGCTGGGGGTTTGGAGTCCAAGCCGTCCAATTGAGAAGATATTGGTAGCAGGCCATACGAACTGGACTTGCCTGCTCGCAACTGTTGTTTTCCTTGCATGCATTTATCGGCGCGGAAAACTTTGTGTGCAAGTCGGGGCAACACCGAGTGTAGCTGCTCCTCATTAGGAGTGAAACCCGCCGACTAGCTCGTAAGGTGCCTAATTTTTGGAGGTACCAAATTTGGGACAGTCACTGTTCTGCCCAATGTCATCACGTACAAAGCTCTTTTCGCTGTACTTCCGCTGGCAAAGCTTCTTATTATATTGAGGTAGAGGTCGATCGCGAATTGGTATTGTGACTTATGAAGCGTAACTAGCGTACTTGGCGAAAAATGCATATCGCGGCTTCAAAAATTTGGGACACTTAACAACTGGACCATCAAACTCGCACTTATGCGGTTAGCGCGCGCCCCATTGGTGCCTGGTATGCTCTTTTAGTTGTTATATATGGCTAGGAGGGGCCCGAGCCCCAAACGCGGATAGAAAGCGAACCATAGCAGTGCAATGTCCATCCAAGTCATCAGAAGCACAGCCATAGCACAACCATCGCCTCCAAACCTCACTCCCAAAGCATAACGTGGAAAGGATAATCAGTGGACCGAGCCTGCCTTCTGGGCTGCGAGGGCCAGAACGCTTGGATATTGCCGACAATCGGGTTGACATTTTGACGCTAACAGCACCAACGACGTTCCTAGGCCCACAAACGGACGTGGGTGAGCTCCGTATTAATGTGTTAAGAGATTAGGACGGCCGGTTCGTAGTATACTTGCATAAAACGGCATTTTTTGGAGGTGTCCCAACTTAGGTCGCCGCAGCGATTTGGCTGGGAGTTTACTTCGGGTCATAATGTTCACCAATACCCGCCCAGTGACTGGCTGCTTCAATACAGTTATTACTTACTTATACAGGATCCTTTCTATCAAATTAGAATTGCGAATGGAGAGTTATGCAGCGTACGAGAGCCCAAAAACAAAAGTGTCCGAAGTATGGCACCATACGAGCTAACCTACCCTGGCGGTCACGCAAGAGAACGTATGGCTACAGACACGACCCCGAGCAGGCTGTCCCTCCAGAAAAGCTCGCTTAAAACCATGTGGTCGTGGTGCGCAAGATACCAACAGCGCTGCCAAATACAGTTACCCGTGCGCAAGCATCCATACACCCAACCGTGACGCACTAGGCGACTCACACGATAACGCCGGAACGCTTGAGCGACCCCAGGACGAGACTTGTCGAGACCAATTGGCCCAGAATCCAGCTGGTCCAGCCCTGTAGTTGGCAGGGACTTTTCAGGACGCATGCAATGGTCCATAACTTGCATCCATAACTAGCGCAGGTGCACCCTCCAAGACAACATGCAACCAAGGATTAATGTCAAGTTAAAGTATCCAGCCAGAGCTGTCAGGCCTCACCATTTCACAGACCCTCGACCAGAGCCAGCAACGCTTAGGAAGCCTATAACAGGACTATGAAAGCTAAGCTGTCTAGATAGCCAAGATTCGTCAATCAGAGTGCAGTGCAATCAGGTCGAGTTCTCAGAAGTCCTGAACAGTGAACAGTGTTCACTGAACACCCAGGTCCCCAACTGCTAAGTGATCCGACAACTTCCTATGTTCGAATGCTGCAATCGTTATGCGACTTATATATTTGCTTATGGAGATTGCTGGAGTAGAGGGGACAGCTTGGGTGAATGCCGTACTTGGCTAAGCTTTGCCTCAGAGTTTTATTAATGTGTAAGACCACCGCTGGGCTACTATACCTACGCGCATTGTTTTGCATGTCATAACGTTGCGAGTGCAGTTCACTGTTAAACTACCGTTTCCGCTTGACTGCGCTAAACCATGGAGCGTGCTCCTTGCCCAAAAGCAGAGGCAAAGAAGAAAGGACCGGTCAAGGCGGCTTTGGGAACAGGCGACATTTTTGTAAGTTGGCTGGCTTGGGACTCTGTTAATCGGATACTGACAAATGTCTTGCGCCCACACGGGCCTTCATTGGCACCGGCAGCAACTGGGTCCACTAGATCAAAGCAAACTATGGGTAATGCGCGTTGGGACATCACTTATCCGACGTGCGCCAGCGCCATCGCTAACATCTCAAAACACCTGCTTTCGCCCCCCTGCACTAAACATGCAAGCACCATCCAAACCATCACACGTCCGTCATGTAGAGTCTCTATGCGAGGCTAAGCACTGCCACCACCGCCATGCTGCGCCACTGTGGTTTTTCCCTGGTGGGGTTGGGGGCAACCTACCGTACCGAAACCCCTGGGAACCCTTTAAGACGCAACACACAACAGATCGCCGCACGGCCCTGCTTACAACCCGCACCCCCGTTACCTCCCCTTTCGCTTCCATGGCATGAACACATCTTCCAGCCCCAATCCTAACCTTCAGCTGATCAGCCGCTCTCCAACCGCTCTCCAACCGCCCCAACCGTCCCGCCTCCCTCCCCACCAGGTGATCAAGGTGGGGACATCCTCCCTGGTTCGTCCCGAGCAGCAAACGCTCAACCTGACCAACCTAGCGCGCATCTCGGAAACCGTCAAACTGCTGAAACATGAAGGTACGGCGCTCTTAGGTGCCTTGGACGCTGACGGGTCTTGCACCGGTGACGGTGCGGGTGCCGGCAAGAGGACAAACTGGGTGGAGGCTGGTCTCTTGGCCTGTGCATGCATGCAAGGTCATGCCGACATGCACATAACGGTACCGTTTGCTCACCAACCGCTCACATGTCCCGTCCGCTGCATGCCATGCTGCGTACTCCCTGCCGCCTCCTCACACTCCTCCACCCTTGGGCCGCTTTCCACAACGCCTCCTCCTCCTTCTCCTCACCCGTCCTAAAACCCCCGACCCCTGTCTCCTCCCTCCCTCTCAACACCATGTGTATCCTTCTTCCCCCTCCCCCCCGTCAGGCCACCATGTGATCATAGTGACAAGCGGCGCAGTGGGTGTGGGCTGCCAGCGGCTGGGTCTGGCCACCCGCCCCTCGGGTCTCGCCAAGAAGCAGGCGCTGGCGGCGGTGGGTCAGGTGCACCTGATGAAGTACTACGAGGACTTCCTGGCAGCGTTGGGGCTGGTAGGTGTGAGGGAGCGAGCAAGGAGGGAGGGAGCGGAGAGAAAAGAAGAATACCCAATGTGTTGAATGAGGATAGCAAACAAGCCGACGAGGTCGGAGGGAGGGAGGGAGGGAGCGGAGCAAACACACCGAACGGGGTGGAGTTACGGGCCGTGACTGACCAGGATATGATGAGCTGAGCCGAGAGGAAACAGCGGGATGGATAGGAAGGTAAAGGGCGCTGGGGGCTGAGCGCTGGTGGTGGATGGAAGCGTTTACCGGCAGTTGCTCCCTCAACGCTCCTCCTGCCCGGGCTTCCTTCCTGCTCGGGGGCTTACCTGCCGCTCTCGCCCTCTCCTTGGCTATCCCTATTCCTCCCGCCGCGCCGCCCCTGCCAATCCCTCTCCCGGTATATACTACGGTCAGGGTCACAGTGTTTCAGTGACCCAAGCGCAGTTTACCTAAGCCCCAATAGCCATTACTCTGACCTGCGCCCGGGTTCTAACTCCGCAGGCCATGCAACTCAATATGGGTATAGCATAGGGTACGGTAGCTTAGGGTACAGCATAGCGCCAACCAAGAAAACCGGCTCCTTCCCCCTTTCCTCGCCCCTTGTCCCCCCCTTTTCCCATTGTCCCCGCCCCCCTCCCCCATCCAGACCTGCGCCCAGGTGCTGCTGACGCTGGACAACCTGGCCAACCGCAGCCAGTACCTCAACGCGCGCAACACCTTCACCGAGCTGCTCGCGTACGGAGTCATTCCGGTGGTCAACGAGAATGTGGGTCGCAGGAAGCCTTGGAAGCGGGCTAAAGGGGCGGCATGGGGGGAATTCGGCTGTGTGTGGTGCGGGATACGGGCTTGATGCCCGGTGTTATCAATGCGGGCTTGGTTTCTTCAAAGCGGCGGTTGCAGTGTTGTGTTTTAGACTACTAAGAGCCACTACAGAGCTTAACGCCGAAGAGTTTTTGCGATGTAAGCTGCGTGGCTGCAACTTTGGAACGGTGCATGGCCGAGATGTTGCCCCGAGCCTTTGCATCCCCTTACATCCTCACTCCTCCCCAACCCCCGTATCTTCCCAACCCCCGAACCTCCTCCGCAGGACACCGTTGCTGTTCAGGAGCTGCGTTTCGGCGACAACGACACGCTGTCTGCGCAGGTGGCGGCGCTGGTGCAGGCGGACTGGCTATTCCTGCTCACGGACGTCGACTGCCTATACACGGGTGGGGCGGGCGGGGCTGGGTGGAGGGCTGATGATGAGGTGGAAGGGAATCTGGCTGGAGAGGGCCGGCTGATGATGGATAGATGGATGAGTTGAAACAAGATAAACACCAGGGTTGAGATGGATCTGGGTGACCTGGTCAAACGTCATGTTTGAACACACAAGCCCTTGCCCACTTGCTGGGTAGTAGCGGTATGTCAGCCGGCAGCTGTATTAACGTTTTGACGTTTACCTCCCATCTCGTTCCTTTTTCACCCTTCACCCTTATGCATCCTCTCTTTCCTTACATCCTTTTGCTCCCAACACCTCGACTGCCCCAACTGTCTGCTCCGCACCGCACTTGCAGCCAACCCCAAGGACGACCCCAACGCGACACCCATCTACGAGGTGGCTGACATCTCGCACCTCCACGCCGACACAAGCACCCGAGGCACGCAGTGGGGCACGGGCGGCATGGCAACCAAGCTTACCGCGGGGCGCATCGCCACTGCCGCCGGGTGTACCATGGTCATCTGCAACAGCAACAAGCCCGAGAACATCGTGCCCATCGTCAAGGTAAGAAAACACACATAGCGGCTTTTCCAGTTGTGTGGGTGTTGCATGGGTACAAGCTCCAGGCAGTGCCCCTGCTGGTCAGACGTGTCCATGACCCATGGGTCACCATCCGTCACCCGCACCAATACTCCACTGCATGCCACACTGCTGCACCCCCTGCTGCTCCCCATTTTCGTCCACGATAATGTGTTTTCCTTCATCGTCTCCTTGCTACCTGCTGTCTTCCTGAAGTCCGAGCTTACACTATCATTTCTTATCTTGCTGCTCTCCCCTTCTTTCTTTCCCCAGGGCGAGCCCCGGCTGGGCACAAAGTTCTTTCCTCTGCCGCACCGTCTTAAGGGCCGCAAGCGGTGGATCCTCTCGGTGCCCGTCAGGTGCGGGAGAGCAGGGCGGGCTCATGCGAAAGAAACCCGTTCGGAAGACTATAGCAGGGCAGGGTGGAACGGGAGGAGGCGCCGGAGTGAAGAGGACGGTTTGTAGTCCAGGACGGTTTACATGCGAGCTTTAGAACCCAACACTTTGCTGCAACATTTGCCCCGGAGAATAATTTTATCCTTGCAATGCCAATGTCACCTCTTTTATCAACTGTTCGGTGCATGTCGTACCTATCGTTACCTGCTGCGCCCCTCGGTGACCCAGGGGTCAGCTCTGGCTGGACGAGGGGGCAGTCCACGCGGTGCGGGACAAGCACAAGTCGTTGTTCGCGGCGGGCATCTCGCAAGTGGTCGGGGACTTCCACGCGCAGGTGGGTCGTGGACTCATCGTTAGTGTTCATTAGTTATCACTTCAAAACCCTCGCTGAGATACGGTTCAGGTGAAGTATTTGGGTAAGGGGTCGTTACCTTGCTTGGGGTCTGGAAGCGGAAGACAACTTGGTCGATGAATTTGGATTGGTTTGGTTGGTTGGTTGGAGTTGCGAAGACGTCATTTGGGTCGGTAGGTTGGTAGTGAAGTTTAAAAAGCCAGTCCATGTGGGCCGATGGGTACCGATACTAGCAATGGGAGCCCAAGGGCGAAGTAGCGCATGACGGCATGAGGGAGGGTGGGTGCGTTACTTTCCTCATCCTTATTCCCCGTACGGCACATTTGCTTCCCTCCTCGAGCTTTTCTCATGGTTCCCACCCGGGTTCTCAACTTCTCAATCTTCGCAACCCCAGGACTGCGTATCCCTGTGCGACGTGACGGGTGTGGAGCTGGCTCGCGGCCTGGTCAACTTTTCGAGCGAGGATGTGGGCGCGGTGGCGGGGCGCGGCAACGGACACGGAAACGGCGGCGGCCGGGGTCGGGGAGCCCAGCCGGTGGCGGAGCACATGGGCTTTCCCACCATGGAGGAGGTGGTGCACCGGTGAGTTGGGCAGTGGGTGGGGTCGGGATGGGGATATGTTGAGTACGGTATACTGGTCGCAAAACTGACACGAACTGAGGCCTGGGGATGGATGGGGTGAATGGGTCTGATGTGTGATTGGGGTCGTGGGCACCTGGCGTCAGCCAGGGCGTTAAGCTTGCATGGACACGCATGGTAATGCAGCTGCAAACCTATCGTGGCTTCAAGCTGTCGCATGCATGTCCGCACTCCTCCGGTATTGTTTTGGCGGATGGCTGTTGCCATGTATAGGCTTACAAAGCAAAGCAACCTGACCACGCGACCAACATGCATGCAGCAGTATGCCGAAGACACTACTACTGGTATTATTAATCCGCTCTACACGGCTCATTTGGGTCATGTCACGACCCATTTGGGTTATGTCGAATCCTTTTCACAATTGTTTTATTTCGTTCTGCTGCCGCAGAGAGAACATGGTGCTGCTGGCGAGCGAGGTGGACAGCGACGATGACCACGGAACGTCTGAAGTGGTGTCCAAAGTCGCATCCATGGCCGTAATCGCGGATGGAGAGGGCGGGAGTGCTGCTGCTGTCGCGCCGGCGGTTGCAGTTGCTGCAGCAGCTGCTGCTGCCGTTGAGGCCCTTGCAGCGGACGATGCAGCTACGTCGTCCTAAGCTGTTCGGTGTGGTGGGAAGTTGCAGGATGGTTGGTTGCGCAACTTGGCGCGTGCGAACTCGCGCTGCGTGCTGTTGGGATTTTGTGATGAGGTAGATTGGGTAATTTGGTAGCAGGTCAAAAAGGGAGTTGTAGAAGGTATGCAGCGTAACGCTGCAAGTATTACTTCTCAAAAGGATGTTGCAGGTGAGGTCTTTCCGTTGCGGCCTAGACCTCTGCCCGGCGCTTCAAAGTCTTGTACTGTACACTGCGTAGGGTTCGCGATGTGGGTTCAGCGTTGGTTGCTGCGCTCCACCGGCATGCAGGTCTGACTGATACCGGTACTGTGGTGAAATGAAACTAGTATTCAAGCATTCCGCATTTCGAGGTTAAGGGTGACAACTACAAAATCTGACTCGATCATTGAAGTTCGGCATGCTTGCCTCGTTGCGTGGGTCTCATGTACATGGTAGATCGATTGTACGGCAATAATTTGTAATCTCACAAATCTCGCCAAGCCCAAATTTCGCAAAGCCCACATAAAAAGTGAAAGACACCTTGTGACGACGTGGACTTGCAAATCGACGTTTTTTTATGCACAACTTGTACTTGTACTGACAATACAGTACAGGTATACATCGACTAGCATATTTTTCTTTCCGGTTTCCCTGGCCATCAAGCCACCGAGCTCTCTTGTTATATTGCTCACCACATCGACCCATATATAAGGTCCCACGACGACATTTTCTGTTAAGCCGCTTCAACCATGACGATTGAGGCATGTCAAGTACCGGTAGCCGAGGCTTGCATAGAGGCGTCGACGGCGAGGCCAAGAGGCTACGTGAAGGACGTGCTCGGGACGGACTCCTCGATTTTCGTGAGTTTGAGCAAATTGACTGAAGGGTGTTGCTCTCAACCCCATGTTTCTTACCAGTATTGTAATCATGTCCAGGTGATTAAGGTTGGCACGTCAAGCCTTGTGCGCCCAGAGCATCATACGCTAAATCTGTCGAACTTGGCACGTCTATGCGAAGCAGTTAAAGAGTTGCGTGCGGAAGGTGAGACGCATCCGTTGGGATCGGAACGTTGTGACAACCTTAAAGGCACTTGACATAGCGTATTACTTATTCCCGTTAGGACATCACGTCATTATTGTTACAAGCGGTGCCGTTGGCATCGGCTGCCAGCACCTTGGGCTGGCGGCACCCGAGCGTCAGAAGAAACGTGCTTTGGCGGCTATCGGTCAGGTCCAACTGATTCGGTATTACGAGAACTTCTTGGGGGCGCTGGGATTGGTAAGTCTTTCAGTGTCGTCGGTCCAACCCAACCGGTGGGGGCGGGGGGACAGTCTCCGCTTTTTTATGGCGCAGATATCTTTGGGTACCGGTACTAAAGCGCAGCTTTTCCCCATTCTTGGCCCCTTTCCCGCCCCCCTCCCCCTTCCAGACCTGCGCCCAGGTGCTGCTCACGCTCGACAACCTGGCCAACCGCAGCCAGTACCTGAACGCGCGCAACACCTTCACCGAGCTGCTCGCGTACGGAGTCATTCCGGTGGTCAACGAGAATGTGGGTCGCAGGATTTAGGACGGTGCTGATGCAATGCAGACTGCGACTTCTTTACTTGTTGACTGATACAAAGTAGCTCATGTGATTCTCCCATACATCTTAGGTACACCCCGCAGCCCATACCGGAAAACTAACTAACTAGAACGTCGCCGTTTGCCCTCCGCAGGACACCGTTGCCGTTCAGGAGCTGCGCTTCGGCGACAACGACACGCTGTCTGCGCAGGTGGCGGCGCTGGTTCAGGCGGACTGGCTGTTCCTGCTCACAGACGTCGACTGCCTATACACGGGTGAGGGCGGCGGGGCTGGGTGGGGTTGAGCGGCGGGCTGCATGGGGCCTGGCAAGGAGGATGCGACATGGGCAGGGTGAGGACCCTGATCAGGGTGTCTAGCAGGGGATGTGCCATCTGGGTCCTTTGGAAGCTTCCAGGCACTATAAGGTCTTTAGGTAACTCCCCTGCTGCATCGCCTCATGTTGTAACCCATGCTCCCCTTGCAGCCAACCCCAAGGACGACCCCACCGCGACGCCCATCTACGAGGTAGAGGACATCTCGCACCTCCACGCCGACACAAGCACCCGAGGCACGCAGTGGGGCACGGGCGGCATGGCAACCAAGCTCACCGCGGGGCGCATCGCAACCGCCGCCGGGTGCACCATGGTCATCTGCAACAGCAACACGCCCGAGAACATCGTACGCATCGCTCGGGTGGGTGCCCCACGTTGACTTCCTCATCACATCGACTTCCTCGCCACACAGAACAGCTGAACGGAACATGGCGCCGTTACATGTACCAATTGCTGCCTGCTGTTTTCCTGAAGACCGGGCTTACACGATCATTTCTTACCTTGCTGCTCTCCCCTCCTTCCTCCCCAGGGCGAGCCCCGGCTGGGCACCAAGTTCTTCCCGCTGCCGCACTGCCTCAAGGGCCGCAAGCGCTGGATCCTCTCAGTGCCAGTCAGGTGGGGGAAAGCCACGGTTGCCAGGGATTGCAGCCCATGAGCCCTAATCGCCAGATGGGTCGTGCAGTCAGGAGCGCTGGCTGCAGCATCCCTTACATACAAGGACGGCATGTACGGCGCACCTTGCGACACACCTTTGCCGATCTGGGTCGTGGCCCTTTTCCGCTGTCGACATACGGTATCTTACATGCTGTTGTTGCTTGTTTTTCATGTTATCTCTTGCTTGTGCATGCACAGGGGCAAGCTGTGGCTGAGCGCGGCGGCGGTGCGAGCCGTGCGCGACCGGCGCCGCCCACTGGTGGCCTCTGGCGTTGAGCAGCTCGAGGGGGATTTCCACGTGCAGGTACGGGGTGCGGACCTATCAGGCAATTGCTTGCTTGCGACTGGCAGCTTCCTTGTTATCCGGCGCAAAGGGTTTGGAAGGCTATTACAACAGCAGACACGCATGAAGAATGACTGCACATGCAGACTATTCTGTTCTCCTAGTAGCCCTAAAGCGGCAACTGCCTTTGCATCATCTTCTGACATCGGCGCTTTCGATTGGAACGTTGCGTTTGGAACTACACCCCCCGTTAAGTTAATCTTCCGGCGTTCTTCTTCCGACAGGAGTGCGTGTCTCTGTTGGACCCCTCGGGCTGCGAGTTCGCACGAGGTCTAGCCAGCATGGCGGCCCCGGAGCTTGGGGCGCTGCTGGGAGGCGCTCCGGAGACGCATCATCACCCCGAGGCCCATGCAGCCGGCAGCCCGCACGACCCACATGAGGATTGCCTGCCGTGCGCCAGCTTGGAGATCGTCATCCAGCGGTGGGTACGGGTACGGCATACGGGTGTCGTACGGGGAATGGCGAGAGGGAAAATACCCTCCGTGTAGTTTCGCTGTAGGCTGTCTGCAGGCTGGAGGCCTATGGTGGTCTATTGGTCGTGCGTTATAGCGGACGAGATGTCAAAGAGGCTTGCGAGGCGTACGCGAGGGTGGGTCAAAGATTCCTACGCGCTGATCGAGGATGATGCTATGAAATGAAGCCTGTCCTGCTCCTTCCAACGCCTGCAGGGGCAATCTGGTTCCGCTGGCGGCGAGTGAGGACGGCGCGGCCTCGGAGGAGCAGCCGGCAGCTGCACCCGCCGAGTCCAAGATGACGGCGGCGCCTGCTCCGTCGGTCAAGGCTTCTGCGTCAGACCAAGACCTTGTCAAGGCGGTGGCAGCACTGAAAGTGTCGGCGGCACCACACAGCGGTAGCAGCAACGGCTGCAGGGGCGGAGGCTGTGGTGGGCAGGGCTGCTGCCGCGTGCAGTCGAAGTCCGCGACCCACGGGTCGGCGTATTCGTCGGTGTCCGCAAAGGATGCGGCCCTGCACCACCTCGGGAACGCAGTGGGCGGCCGCATGGCTGCGTCGGCAACAGCTTAGAGCAGGGGCAGCAGCAGCGCATGTACGGTGCAAGGTGATTGCTATTGCTAACGGTGCTCAGTGCGAACGGGAGCGAGGAGTGATGGGTCTTTATGTTTATGCATGAGTACTTCGCGGTGTAGTGGCAGGTGTAGTGGCAGCCTTCGTAATTTATATTGCGAGATCCCCAACATCGGGCGCATTGCTCTGATGCTTGTCAAGGATTCGTTATTGTGACGGCAGTTACTAATTCTGCATTGGGGGAGCATTCTCGTACTATGTTGCATTTACCGGTAGTCCGAAGCTCTGGATATTTTTTTTGATGGCTGGTTTTCTTTGTTCGCTGTACCCGTACTAGTACCCATACTATGTGTGAACCGTGGGTCTTGCATGCATTACCAAACATAGCTAAGTTTTAGACCACCGACATGTCGACGTGGATTACAATTATGTTAACGCATGCTATGCATGTCGACTGCTAAAACTGTGAACCGTGGGTCGTATCTATCCTCACATGTCTCTTGTGGCGGCCATTCTGCGAGCCTTCACCGGTACATTGGGGCCGTATTTATCTTATGTACCAGTGCTTGCAGCGTAGTAATAATACCTTGGCCGTGTTTTAATGGTGGTCGTTACAGAACACACGCTGCGTATAAATACCAAAGTTCCTCGGGAAGTATGTGTAGCCTATAACTGCTGTTACATCCGAGTCATCATCATTGATCGGGTCGTCGCGAGCATAAATGGGGGGCTTCTGGCATTTCCGAAATGCAATGAAATGTAAAACACATCGTCCTCTTGCTCGTCGCCCTGGTGACGCCAAACGGGCCCAACTTATCTCCGCAAAAGTCGCTACAGAGGACAGCCACATGCCACTTAACATGTACGCACACGCAAGCCTCATAACGGCGTGTAACCTTGCAGTATGCCGGTTAGGAGGACCATTAGAAGCGTCCTGCCCTGACGAGACTGCCCAGCCCGTCCCCATCCTCGCTGGTCACACTCGTGGAGCTGTCCGTTGAGAGGCTGGTGGCACTCGACATCAGCAGCGAGTCCTTAACACCAATCTGTGGCAGTACGGCAAGACATGAGGAAACAGGGAAAGTCACTAGCGAGTCTATCGGTATTGTGTCATGAGCAAAAGCACGGCGGATATTGGCCACACACAGTGGCGCTTAGGCATCGGACAGCAAGCCCTGCAAAACGAGGACTAGCACTGCCTCTATCGAGGCCCAGATCACACCCCTCCAAGACGGCCTTGTTTGGACCTGGCATACGTTAACCATGCAACACCCGCCCGCCCACTCGCACCAGCGGCGCCCCACCTGCTGTATCAGCTTGCGCCTGCGCGCTCCGAACTGGCGCAGCCTAAACACAGCGTCTTCACGCCGGCCGCTTCCACGTCCGCCAGTGAAGGCCGCACCCGTTGTCGCTGTCACGGCGGATCTTGCAAACGTTGCCTCACGGCTCAATGCACGGCCCTCATCTTCAGACTCGTCCTCGGACTCATCCTCCGTGCCCGCATCCTCTCCGGGACCGTCAAAGGGCCGTGCAAGGCGTTGTGCAGTGCGCCCTCCAGGCTGCGTGCCCGCAGTGGAGGCAGCCAGGCCGCCCAGCGACCGTGGCAGATTCACACCAGCAACGTTGTAGGATGACGACACCACGGACGTGGAGACGCTGTCCATGCTGGCTGAAACGTCGACGGATGATGCCGCAATTGAGTTGCCCAGACCCATGACGTGCGCTCTCGCTGCTGCCACGGTGACGCTGCTAACAATACCCGCGGTCCGGGTACGGCGCTCTCCGCCGCGGATTGCACGCGACAAGGGGTCCAGAAGCGGCTCGCTGGCCTCGCTGGAGGCCATCAAGGTTTCGGAGCTGCTGGATAACGGGTCTCGGGGATTTTGTACGACAGGCGGCCGCCAGAGGCGACCCATGGGTCCGTGGTAGTCTGCCAGAGACGGCGGCTTGCCTGCACCAGCAAAATGGACGCATACGGACGCATGTGCCGCGTTTACGGCAGAGTACAACACGTTGAAGGACGGCTATAACTAGCGTCATGCTCATGATGAATGTATATGACACTGGTACACGTTTGATGCGCCAGATCTACTGCAGCGAGTGCCACATACGCGCAGTAACCCCACTTACCAGGAGATCCAGGCTGCTGCATCGTGCCTTCCCCACTCGCTACAGATCCAGACTGCACCGCAGACGGCTGCAGCGGTGTCAACGCAGCTCGCGAGGGGGCCAACGGGCCCCCAGTCAGCGTTGTTTGCACTGCCGGCACCACACGTGCCATGCCGCCGTTGCCGCTGCCTGCCGCAGCACGTGGGTGTTCCAGGGATGCAAAACCGGCACGTGCCATGCGCTCCAGGGAGGCCCGCAGATCCATCTCCTCCGCTGCATTGCCGTCGTCTCTCCGCCCGCTGGCCTCAGAGGCACTGCCCCCAGCACCGGACGCCGCCGACCCCGCACCGCCGCCAGCGCTGTGGAGGGAAGGCGCGAGTGCATGACCGGGCTGGCCGAACGCGCTGGACGGGGCTCTACTGCTGCTGCGGCTGCTGGCGGCATTGCCGCCAAGGGTGGCTGCGGAGGTTGTTGTCGCAGCGCCACTAGCAGCGCTGCCTTGGACCCCTCCACGCTCTGAGCCGCTAGCTGCGTTGTGGCCAGCATCGCCATGGCTACCACCGCCACCAGCACCGCTGCCGCCGCCCAGACGCGCTGAGCTGACGAAAGAGCCCAAGTCACGGCTAGACACGTAGTCCTCAACCAAACCGTCGTAGTCATGAGCCTCCCCGTCAGCGCTTCCTGTCGCATCTAGCCGCGGCACGCCGTGTGAGCTTGGGCCGCTGTAGCGACCGCTCCCAGCCGTGCTGCCGCGACTGCCGCCGGCACCAGCGGCAATCTCACCCGCCGCATCATGCTCGTCCTCGGCATCCTCAGCCTCCAGCACACGTCCCACCTCATCGTCATCTAGCAGCTCCGCATCCGATTCCGCAGCGTCATGTGTTGCTGCATTCTGAGCCCCGAAACCCAAACCTGAACTTGAGGGGAACCCCTGGGCTCCTCCTTCTCCCCGTCCGGCCTCAGCTCCCGGACTGGCTCCCGGGCTGTCGTCAGGAACCAAGTCAAGATCCGCGTCTGATGAGCCAAAATCCACGACATGGATCTGGTCCACATCGTCATCGTCTTCAGGATCGTCCTCAGCGACGAGTTCGTCATCACCCACTGCTGGTGTGGTGGGCACGGCCGTCCCACTGCCGGCACGCAAGCCGAGCGCTGGAGCGCTTGGATGTGGTGTGGCGATGGCGTCCTTACCGGAGGCAGCAGCGGAGCCGTTCCTGCTGGTGGTCGCGTTGCTACCTGCGGAGGCGCTGTCATGCCTGTCTGAAGGCGGCTTAGAAGCGGCGGCTGGCGTTGCGGCGCCCTTCTGCAGGCCTGTGCCCGGCGTGGCGGCATCGGGGCCAGCTGCTTCCTGTTCATTCCATGCAGCGTCAGCTGACCAGGTTGCCGCTTGACGGGACCAGGATGCCCCCTCGCTTCCTGCAACGCTGCCCGGGTGCGAAGACGGGCCGCTGGGAGCAGCCGATGCAGAGGAGGGATTGCGACCTGACCCAAGAACCGCGTTCCCACGGGCAGCCAGCGCAGAGGCCAAAGCCGCTGCTGTTGCCGAACCGGGCACCTGCGGCTCGGAGCGGATGCTTCCGTTGTGTGAGGTCCCGGCAACCATGGCAGTGCCTGGGGCTAGGGCTTGACTGAAGGTGCGGTGCAGACCAGCCGGTTGCGATAGGACGTCGTAGTGCCCAGGGCCGCCCAGCGCGGTTGAGAGGGTCTGCGAAGCAGCGGAGGGCGAAGAGCCATCAGACGCCCGATTGCGGTGCTGGTCCAGATGCACGGGGCGTGCGGTTAGCGCCGACATGTCGAGTTGGGCGTAGCTGCGTTGCATGAGGCCTTCATCGCTGTCAATGCTGCTGGCGGCGAGCTGGAGGGCCGCTTCCCTGGCTCGAGCACCCGGACCCTGCACGTGAATTGGTGCAATGGAACGGGTACGGCAAGTCATTACCGGTATCAACGGAAACGCTTGTAACGGGCCCGCAACAAGTGGGCTTGACGCATATGTTTTGCAAGCAGCACGCTAGATTTCATATTGCGTTAAGATAGCTTTGCGAGGCAATGCGCTGATACGGCGCATACGACATACCTGTAAGTGGCGCCGCACACTTTCCGTACTGGATTCCACATCGGAGGAATCACGCAGCTTGGCCAGGCCGGGAAGATGAAGAGGCGGACGACTGCCTTCGGACCGCCCGAAAGGCGGCAGCATGAGAGCAGGGTTGGCGCCGTACAAAGCGGTTGAAGACGGCGGTTGGGTTCCGTCGGCTGGGACCAAGTAGTACGGTCGCGGCATGGGCAATGGCGCACCGTCCGGACCATGTAATGGCAGCGGAGGAGGCGCGGGTGCATGGCCGAGCGGCGCAGGCGGCAGCGGCAGCCCAGCTCCATAGGACAAACCTGTTACGCGTTAGGATGCAAGGGCGTTTTGGGCCGTAAGTGACACAACCAACGGTGTACAGTACAGCAGTTGTGCTAGCTGCTTCGGTTACTGTTGCCGTGCAAGGTTGATGTAGTGGCCCTGTTAATGCCCGCGTGCCCACCTGCAGCCATGGCGGCCTGTAGCAGGTAGTGCGGAGGCGGGGGGTCCGCCTGAGAGGAGCTATCCATGACTCCAGCTGCCTGAGTGGCCCGCTCCTGCACACCCGTAGCTTGCGTCGCACGGCCCTCCACAGCATACGCCTGCACGCCGCGCCCCTCCGTGGCGTACGCTTGCACCCCCTGCGAGTTAACCGCATGCGCCTGCACACCACGAGCTTGCACGCCGTGCGCCTGCACGCCCGCCGACGTTGGAACACGGACCTGTCCAGAGGACTGCCCGGCCAATGCCAGGGCTTGTGACTGGCTCCCTTGCGCGCCAGCCACAACAGAAGCCCCGGTTTGTACGACAGAGCCGGTACTGGATGTTTGCATGCTGCCCGCGGAGTACTGTGGGGCTGCCTGAGCAGCAGCGGTAGGGGTGGGAACCAAGGAGGAGAATGAAGCCTCCGCGGCAGCCACAAGGAGGTCTTCAGACGGCGCCGCATCATCCGAGGCGGCACCGGCGCCGGCCATACCGGCAACCTCCGCCTCGTGACTGCCAGAGTCCGCCGCGCAACCCGTCAAGTTGCTGTCCACAAACGCCACACCGGCAGGCGGCTCATCTTGCGCAACATTCCCTGCAAGACCGCCGCCATCAGCGTCCTTGTCCGATCCTGCAGTGACCTCCACACCTGCAGCACCATCTGATGGCTGCTGCTGCGGACCCTGCCGCCAGCCCTGTTGCTCCGCGGGCTCCCCAGCTCCCTGCTGCAGCAGCAGCTGCTGCTGCTCCTGCGGCACGCTCTGCAACCACGAGGGCAACACGGGCGCTGCTACCAGCGCCGCAACCACCTCCTCCAGCGTGGGCTCACGCTCCTCCGCGCCGGGACCAACTGCCGCGTCTTGTTGTCGGGAGGGTTCCTGCCTGGACAGCAGGCCGCGGAGGTTGTCCAGCAGGACTTCACGAACCAGCCGCTGCGACAGCTCCCAGTCCACCAGGGGCGGTACCATGCCTGGGGGTACGAGGAATAAAGGGAGAAGTGGGGAAGGGGCAAGGATCAATTCGTAAAGAGCTCCGACGCCAGGGTTGGAGCCCTTGAGAGTCTTCTCGGCACTCTTAGACACGTGTAAGTGAGGTAGGATGATGCACAGGTAGGACGTTACGATGACCGCAAAGGGCTACACGCACCCGGCAGGTCCTCAGCAGTAACCGCAACGCGGGGGCCTTGCGAGGCGAGCTGCGCCACCGCCAGCCGGCTGACTACCTCGTCTTCGACTGCCTGCGCAGTCAGTTAACAGCATGGTGCAACGTTTTGAAAAAGGCGCTTCAAGCTTATGACGATGGGCAAGGCACCATGCGACTGTTCCCGTGGTAGCAAGTGGTCCTCCGGCTGCTGCTTCCTGCCCCCCGGTGGCCGCTAAGGTATGGTTTTGGTTTTGCACGCAGTTGCACCGACAGTCGCACCGCACCTGCATTAATGCGCGCTCTAACGGCAGGCTAGCATCCGCCGCCTTCCTGCCACGTGTCGGCATCATGTCGGCAGACCCAGTCGCAGCCACCGCGGCCACCGCAGCCTGTGGCGGCAAGATGCTCGTGTGGTTGGCAAGATCCGCAGAAGCCGGAAACATCGGCCGCTGCTGCTGTTGCATCCTGGTGTAGGGCAGCTTGGTCGCCGGCAAGACCCCGCCATCGCTGCCTTGTTCACCCCTTGATGTCATCATCGCCCCAGGAGGTGCTGTACCGCCCACGGATACATGCGGCTGGGCCGCAGCCGAGGCGCTCGGTACCGCTGCATGCCTTGTTGGGGTGCCCATGCCTAGGCCACTGGGCGCAGCACCAAGGGCTGCAATGTACGCAGCGGGTGCGCCCTCGGCCTTGGCGGCGGAGGCGGCCCAAGCAGGCAAGCGAGCCACGGGAGGATGCGCCGTGTCGACCACCAGTTGGAAGCGCGGTCGGGCGGCAGGTACGGCAATGGACGGCCATGGTTGCTGGCCTGGCTGGGGCGCAGCGACGGCGTTGGCAGCAGCAGCGGCAGACATGGCTGCTTGGTGACTGCTTGCTGAAGGCCCTGCAGGCAAACTTGCAATCGACGCAGGCTGCGGTTCGTCTGGAATCGCGCCAGGAGGTCCGTTCGGTGCCACAGAGCGCAGCGCTGGTGCCGGAAGCGCGGCAAGTGCGTCGGTACCAGGCCCGCCCTGGCCTCGATCATGTAGCGAGTCCAGGATAAGGCTGGCGGCTGATCGCATGCCGCCACCGTTAGCAAAGCTGGGTGCGTCAGGTGGGTAATCCGCCATATCCACATGCGGTGGAGCCATCGCCGCAACGCCGTTGCCGGCCCCTTGAACCCCGCCTACAGCCGCCCTGTGCTCCTTCTCAGCACCCGTATCAGCATGGGGCCCCTCCTCATCCACGTCCTCTTCTTCGTCTGACAGCAGCACCGAAGCAAGCGCGCTAAGCACCTCCTGAACCGTGTCATTAGCGCTGGAGGGGCTACCAGCAGCTGCTGCAACAGCCGCGCTGGCTTTGCCGCCCGCGACTTTGGTCTTACGCTTATGCAGGTGGCCTTCTACAGGTGGGCTGCTAGCAGCTGCCGCGCCTTTGCTTCGTGACTTGGTTCCCTCAGTTGCTCCGCTGGGTTTCGGAGCGACTTCGATGCGTCGCCCAAAGGCAATGCGCACAGAGGCCGCTGCAGGCTGAGCTGACGGCCGTTCGGGACGCGGTGGTGAGGGAGATGCATCCGCTACTGCAGTGGCTTCTGGTCTGGGTCCGGGTCCGGGGCTTCCTGCACGCTTCCGGCCACCGTCACGGGCTGCAACGCAGGGAAATGATATGGGAGCAAGGGGTGCAGGCGGAGTATGAGCAAGGGTGACGTAGTACATGCGTAAGAAGCAAATCGCAGCAAGGAAGCATTGGGTCTTCCAGTCAGTTGGAAGACTCAAGGCGGGTTAACCATATCGAGCCCTACATTCTTTTTCGCCGTCACGTTCGCCCAAGACTGAGGCCGAGGCCGCACCCGAAATGCCCTGATCCACGTGAGGCTTACTCCTACACCCAGTATGCCTCCCAGATGGTTCAGCTTACCTGCTACGTCTTTGCCGTCGGAAAGCCGGGGCTGGGCTGACACCTGGGCCCCAGCTGTGCGCTTCTCGTGTCCCCTCGGACCTGCGCTCTCCGACACAAGCGGCGGTTCCGCCTGGGCTGCCCGCCCCGCCGCTGCAACAGCCCCTGCGTTGGGCCCCACCGGCTTGAGAGCGGGAGCCGTGCGCGGGGGCTGGCCTGCCGCAGCCGCTGCAGCCCGGTACGCCACCTCTGCCTCCACTGCCTAGGTTGGCCAAGGGCGTTGGAAATGCCGTTGTTAAAAGTGATGGGGTGGGATAGCCGTGACTACGGTAGAGCAGTTGCACGGCTGCGCTTTGCGGAATACTATTCCAGAGTTAACAGGCATCTTGCCGTTGCCCGTATGAATGGTGAAGATTACGGTACCAGCGGCGCTTCCTTCGGAGGCTGCATGCACTCACACACGGCGCCCATGCAGCCTTCATGCGTGCATCACACACCTTACACGAGCCGCCTACGTCCACCTCACCTTTGTGAACGCATCCAGGTCATGCCAGGCCTCGTCCACATCCCAAACCGAGTGAGCCGGCGGCAGCACGCCAGCGAAATCCCCCCGGACCACAGCGCCCGCGGTAGCTCCCGACGAAGGCGGTGCTTTGGCTGATGCAGCACCACCTACGGCGCCGCCAGCAGCAGCGGCGGCAGCAGCTGACGCACGGAAGCGCTCACCGCCACCACGGCTGCCGACCCCAGACCGTACTGCACCCGCTGGTGCAGCTTGGGCGGTCGCTGCCGCAGCGGTTGCAGCAGCAGCAGGTGGGACGGTGGGGACTGGCACCTGGAGCAGCCGAGATGCCCTCTTCGCCTGCTTCAGCTCACGCTTGGCTGCTGCGTAGTCGAAAGCACCTCCTAGCAGCTCCTCTGCCTCCCTACATACACGCCATGCATGCAAACCGGACATTGAGTAATGAAGCTTACAAGTTACCATGTAGCAACTGCGCCATTGGCAGCCCAATCACAGCGAGCCCCTCCATGGCACAAAAACTGCTTCATGCTTCGTGGCACCCGCCCAGATGCGGACATCCGAGCTCCCCCCCAAAAGCCCACCTTTGGGCCTCCTTCCGCTCCTCCACATCAGCCATTGCTGCCCAGGACGGCGGTTGGTGCTGCTGCTGCGCGCGGGCTCCATCTGGATCGGCGATGTAGGCCAGCGTGCTCTTGAAGGCCTGCTGCACGTCTTCAGGGAGCTCAGCCCGCCGCGGCCGTGCCGCCGCGGCCGCCGCGAGCCCCGCTCCCGGATTGCCGAGGAAACCAGCATTACGAAGAGCAGCATTGGCATCTGCTCCGGCCCGAGCGAACACCGACTCGCCGCCCGTAACAAACACACCGTTTGCGGGTACCTGACCCGCAGCAATGGCCTGCTGCCCCGGCAGCAGCGACGGGTTGATGGCCTGCTGCAGGCCGAGTTGGGGACCCGGGACAACGGGATTGCTACCGGGGTAAGCTGCCTCTGCGTGTCTGCCGTACTGTTGGTCCTGGAGTTGCTGGCCAGCAGCCGGTGGCATCCCAGCCGCGCTGTCGGGTGCATAGTGCGCCGGCGCGTGCTGCTGGACCGGATTCGGTTGCTCAGGCCGCGTCACCGGCTGCTCCATGTGTTCATGTAAGGATGCCCAGCCTGGAAATTGCAGCTGTCCGCGATTACCCCGGTCATCGTCATCCTCAGGATCATCTGCTTGCGGCTGCTGCTGCTGGTGTTGATGCTCCTGGAAAAGCCTTCCCTGCGGTGCCCCTGCAGGTGGCGGCGTCCTAACAGTGACCTTGGGCGCACCAAGACGCACCACACGAATGTTGCTGTTGGCTCCAACCGGCCCCCCAGCGCCGTTGGCCCCGTTAGCATCGCCGTTGCCTGCAGCTCCGGGCAGCCGCTGGAGTGGGGTGGCAGCCCCCGGCATCCCGCTACGTTGCTGTTGGCGCTGTCGCCGCAGCTCCGCATCGTTGACGTGAGCCGCCTGGCCGTCCTGCTGGGTGGGACCGTGACGCTCGGCCCCATCATGTGCAGCGTGCATTGCTGCTCCGCCCCCTTCAGCTGCTGCCGGCGGCCTGCGGTGCATCATGACAAGCGGCGTGGACCGTCGATGAGGGGCCACCAGAGCACCCTCACGCTGCTGCGGCTGTGGATCGGGGCTGTCATCGCCATCCACAGCGTTGACCAGGTGACCTCCGAGTCCGGGCATACCTAACATCGCTGCGCCCGCGCCCATGAATGCCGGATGCCCAGGCCACGCAGCTGCGCCGCTGGCACCGCGCGCGGCCTGTGCTGCTGCATGCATGCGTGCGAAGGCGCCAGGTGGCAGCGGTGGCGGAGTTTGCATGGACTGCTTGACGGCAGCGGCGGCGGCGGTTGTGGCGGCCGTGGTGGCGACGGATATGATGGCTGCCAGCTGGTCAGCGTTCTGTAAGAGGTTGAGCTGCTCTTTGATGTGGCCATAATGCGGTCGGGGCCGTGGGCGCTCGGGCTCCTCTGCATCGCCGGCTGATGCGCTTGGGGCGCTCCTAGTTGCCTCAAAGGAATCCACTCCAGCAGCAGCAGACTCGGGTAATCCCTGCAGCTCATGAGCCCCTTTTGCCACGTCCACGCCTGGCTGTCCTTGGGGAGGCGCCTGCTGCCGAGCAGCAGGAAAACCAGACCAAGTGGCCGCTTCGGAGCCGCCTCCAGAAGCCCTGGACGTCGGCTGCGTTTGCCCTGTGACGCCATGAGGGCGCCCCGCTGCTTCCGCTGAAGTCTGTGCACCCCCATGGGGTCCGTTAGGCCCATTGGATCGACTAGGCGGTGCTCCGCTCGGAGCATCGTCACCATACAGTTGCCGGAGCACCTGGAGGAGTAAGGAGTAACAACGTCAGCAAGGACAAGAGGCCCAACGCAGTTTCGCAGTAAAGGCTTTACCTGCTTCACGTAGTCCTTGGCCGCATCATACCCAGCGACGTCGCTTGATTGCTGGAGCGACCCGGTAAGTACCCGGTCGAGGACGTCATCCGTCAAGCCCCCGCTGCCGCCCTGTACCGTGAAGGTGGTGTTATCAGCTCCTGCCAACACCGCAACCTCTAGTCGTAACACATGTACTTTAGCAAGGCGCACCTCCTGGAGCACCTTGGTAAGCCCATTCGCCATCCTCTGGGCCAGAGGAGGACTTCGCCTCTTCCTGGCAATGGGAATCCAAGTCTCTTAGGCCCATTACACATAGAGATATACCAACCTCTGTATACAAGCCAGGCTATAGACTTCGGTCTGCGCACCGTTCCTCCTCGCGGTCGCTGTCATCGTCCGTCCAGGCCCTGTCCTCATCTTTTGCGGTCGCAACTTCCTTTACATTTGTGTATGCTAGTCCCTGAGTCTCAACAGTGAACCTGTATTTCTCTTCGACAAGCTGCGCCAGGCCGCTCTTCATCCTCGCCGGACCGCATACTGTTACTTTATGACGGTGCTTTCATTCTATGTATGCTCAAAGACAATGTGAAGATAGTAAATTTAGGGCTTTCTCCGAATCGCGGCAACCTGACATTTCTTTCGGATCCAATAGAATCCAGACATGGAGGCAACCGTTCAGCTCTGTAGTTCCTTAACTGAGTGCCCAGGACCCGGACTACCAAGCAGGCAAAACCTATTAACTCTATGTGATCTATCGTTCTGATCCAAGCCGACCTTAGCACATGCCATGGCAGGTACCTCAGTTCCGCCCTTCTAACAAACTCGCCCCCCAAGATGACTATGGATGCAAATAAAGAACCCATTGAGCTTGCTCGGCGAGATACGGAAAGCCCAAGAGCAGAGTACCTTCTGCGCTTGCCTAGCCGAGTGGCCAAGCCGCTCTGCGCGCTGCTCCAGGACCCCCGGGATGAGCCGATCCTACATTTGCTCTGCAATCAGCTGCTGCTGGTCGTACCAGCTGCCACCCTCCTCTTTACATGCACACAGAGCCACTGGTTAGGTGCGCTGTACCTAGCGCTCAACTATGCGCTTTTCCTTCAACGCTACATGCTCACACTACACTTCACCGAGCATAGAGGCCTCTTCAAGAGAGGTGGGTATGGGAGCGAGAAGAATCGCGGGGAGGACTGGAAAGCCGTACACCGCCGTACAGCGCATCTTGCTCTCGGTGCTTTAAGCACCTTGCATCTTCCGTCGCAACAATTCGCGTGTCGCAAGCCCTCAACGCGCTTTCCTAACCCCAGAGTACGGCCTCCTCAACGCCATTATTCCGTACTTCCTATGCAACTTGTACGGCGTGCCATGCGGGTTCTACAATCTCCACCACGTCGTCATGCATCACGTGGTAAGCAAGGGCTTGAAATTGTACGAGCGCTTCGTACATGGGGCAGATATAACAGCCACATGGCATCATGCCCCATGCCTAAAATGGCGTCCTCCAAACGTTGTTCTGGCATGCGTAATAAAGGCCTTACTAACCGGCACGGAAAAGCGGTGTAATGCGGCATAAAGTTGAGTGGTGGCTTGTGCGGAGCTGGGCGGACTGGACTGCGCCGGCGTCAAATGGGCTGTATCTTGTACGCATGCTTTTTTCATTGTCTAGATGCCCCGTTGCCGCGGCCCCTCCCAACCAGTACACGCTCCCTGTGCTGGGTACTGCAGGAGGACAATGCCAGCCCTGGGGACCTCTCCTCCACTGAAACCATGCAGCGAGATAGCCTGCGGCATTTTGCAAGGTACCGGTAACTTTCCCAGCGTGGCGGGGAAGGGGCGGGGCTGTGAAATTTCGTGACAACAACAGGAAAAACACGCAATACAAGCGCAACTGCGCGCCAGCCCATACTGCTCCTCCGCACTTCCTCCATGCGCGCCATACAAACGGAACAAAACAGTAGCATCGCCCCCAAGCCACTGCACGAGTCCCCACCCTCCCCTAGGCCGCGGCACCACCACGCCTCTGCACCCCCTAATACCCTTCTGGCCCCCTTCAACCTTCAACAACCTACAGCGCACCCCCCAGCACCCACCCGGCACCCATTCACGCTACTTTCCACAGGTACTGGGTCCGCTTCTGGCTGGGTACCTGGGTCGAGCTGCCGCTGTACGCGCTGCGCAAGGGCCGCCCCCGACAGGCGGCTGCCTGCGTGGCCTGCGCGACCACCTACTGGGCAGTGCTGGCGGCGTTGTGGCGGCTCAACTCCGTGGCTACGCTGTGGGCGCTGGTGGTGCCGTTCTTCGTGTCTACGTTCGCGCTCATGTTCGGCAACTGGAGCCAGCACGTGTTTGTAGACCCGGATGAGCCGCGCAATACGTACCGCAGGTGGGTGGGTGGGTGGTAAAGAGGGGTCGTAACTACAGGTACTACCGGCATGATGAGTAGGCAACCCAACTGCCAGGGTAACCTTGTCAGCCCTTGTCGGCGCTCTGTGGATAGCGTAGGCGCTCTGTCGTAGCGTCGTACACGCTTCCTCTTTCCTCCCTGACCTCCTCCCGCAGTACGTACAACTGCGTGGCGTGCTCCGACAACCAGCGCACCTACAACGACGGCTACCACATCATCCACCACCTCAATTCGCGCCTGCATTGGTCGGAGCTGCCGCGGCGCTTCGTTGATACGCTGGCGGCTCACGATGACAACGACGGTGAGTGTAAGAGTATGAATGTTTGGGCTGCGTTGTGCGATGGGCCAATGGCGCAAAAGGACTCCAAACGGCGACCCATGGGTCCGCCGTCATGCAAGTCTTGCAACTTCCTAACCTTTGCATAGCTGCTCGTGCAGCTGCTGCTCCTGTCCTCCAAGATGAGTTCCTGCAAAGATACGAGTTCTTGTCCCCGGGTGTCTTTTGCCCTGTGCAGCCCTGGTGTTTAGAGGCATCGGCTTCTTCGATGTGGGGCTCATGGTCTTCACGGGGCAGCTGGACAGGCTGGCGAGCTACATCGTGCCTTGCGGCCCGAAGCAACGGGCGCGCAGCCGAGAGGAGTGGGTTGCGCTGCTGCGGTATCGCTTACAGCCCGCGAGGATAAAGGGCGCGGCGCCGGCAGCTCGACTGCAGGCGGCAGCGTCCTGAGAGCTGGGTTAGGGCTGACGCCGTCAAGAGTACGACTTGAGTCAAATGGGCGTGTGCGGTTTGCCGGGAGCCTTGCTTGTATTGTAACAGCGACCTGTGTTATGGCTGTGCGGCTACCGTTGTCGAAGGTTGTTCTGTGTATGCTTCGAGGCAATGTTGTGTGCACGCGTAAAGGGAACCCTTCATCGTCATCCTCGGAATCAGCAATGTTCATGGGTTCGTTATACAAAGCGCCCTGCCTTGTTACAGCGCCCCTGGCCCCTGACCCACACCATGCTTGACCCGTTCCATTGATGGCCCCATTCGTTATCGCCATACGCTCAATTCTTGCGCCCCATGCACCGGGTTGCTGCGAAGTCGAACTGATCTACACACAATCTGCCAGCTCGCCACTCCCCAGCCCCTAATGGTAGTGAAGCATCAAGCTCAGACAACCTATTCCCACACACAGCAGATCAGCGCTCATTCGTTTGCATGCAAGTATGTCGCTCTCCTCATCAGCACCGTCATCGTGTCAGCAGCACCCCACACAGCAGCACCATGCATCGACACCCCCCCGCAAAACCGAGAGATGTGCCTGCAAGCTGCAGCCGGAGGAAAACGGCAAACAGCAACCCGCCGCCCTACACAGCAAGGAAAAAGGCCTGCGGGGCCTAAACAGCTGCATCGGCCAGCACGGGCAGCACGACGCGTCGGTCTCGGCCTCGGATGCGTTGCTTGCTGGCCAGCAGCAGCATTAGGTCTTCGTTGCCGGCAGCGCCGCCGCCGACACCGTTCTCCGCCAGATAAGCGACCGCGAATTCGTCAAAAGCCAGCCGCAGGTGAAGCAGCTGGTAAAGCAGCGTGTAGTTGGCCGCGTCCGGCGGCACGTACGACAAAGCCACTGAGTTGGCCTGCAAGCGGCATGCGCGAGTAAAAGCCAATGAGTCGCAAGATCGCGCATTGATACACGATAGCAAAACGTACTCGTACCAAGGACATATATCCTTAGGGCCAACTACTCAACCCCACAGCTAGCACAGCGTGTGTGGCATCGAGTCATACGGATACGAGGATGGCCTCCGGTTTGGGATCACTGTAACGGTCATTCATTCAATCCTCAATTGCAGCGCCTACGCTGACAGTACACAGCCCTCCTCCGCTGCATGTACCTCCCGACTCAACCCTCGGACTTGACCCCAGCAACAGCCCCTTTACCCACCTCGGCCTCCAGCCAGGACACCAGGTTCACATCCTCCACGGCCCGCGGCTGCCCCCGGCGCTCCCGCGGCGCCTCCCGCACTGCCTTCACCAGCAGCAGCGGTGGCCGCATGGGATACTCCAGGAACAGCCGCGCCAGCACCTCACACTCCAGGGCCTTATACTTTAGCACCATGCGGTACAGGCGAGACACGGGTTTCGGCGCGGCGCGTGCTGCTGGCCTGCCAGCCTCTCCACCGCTTCCCGCGGCCCCTGCCGAGCCGCCCTCTGCTGCAAGGATGTCTGTCAGGAGGTACCTAGCGACCAATTCGTCTGCTGCGGCCAAGCCCTCGTCGGCGTCGGCGTCCCCGTCCTCTCCGTCTTCTGGGTCAGCCCCACGCGCCTCACCCTCCTCTGCGGCCTCCCCGTCCTCCATGACCTCATCGCCGTTGGCGTCGGCGGTGGGGCGTGGGGCGACGGCGCTGGTTCCGTTTGCCGTGTCATCGGCAGCTGCGGGCGTGGCTGCGCCGTCTGGGAGCAGGAGAGGGGATCCGCGAGGGTACATTTAGGCGACATGGCGCAGACACAAATGTACGACTACCGGTAGTCAATGTACCACGCCAAGTTGGTAAAACACACAAAGCACGCGAAGGCAGCACTGTAAGCCCTGGTGGCAAGTCCTGGTGCTTATTCTCCGCCACATTGCCCGTGTGCCTTACCTCGTGCTGGTGTGGTGGGTCGACTCCCGCGTCGGCCCACCTCCCCATCCTCCGCGGCTGACTCCGAGCGCGGGTGGCCCTTCAAGCTGGCCGCGACCTGCTGCTGCACCCCTCGTGCGCTGGCGGGGGCGACCTGTCCTCCATAGGCAGTCATCCGGTTGCTAAACGTCACCGCTTTGCCGCTGTTATCCTTGCCTTTTCCGGCCGCTGTGCTTCCTGCTGCTGCTGCCGACGACGGTGCTGATGTCTTAATCTCCTCTATGCTAGCTATGCTGGTTACTGGTAGCTTGGGGTAACGGGCCAGGTTGGGTGGGTTAGGGGCCTTGTCCAGGGCAGCGAGGATCTTCCTGCAGGCGGAGGGGTGGGTGCATGGGTGCATTTAGCGAACCACCTTAGGTGTGCAGAGTTCTACCTCTCCGACTTTCGCGATAGGCTTTCAAATTGTTACAACCTGGCGCAAACCATACCTAGGTTTCAGCACCACCGGTTTGGCGCTTCCTTCTTTCTAACATGTCGCATCGCTACGTCAACATTGCGAAGCACAGCGGTCTGCCGTTATCACCGTTATCCAAAGCCCCCGCTTGCCCCGCAGGACGCGACTCACTCACTTCAGGGCCTCATCCCCCGTCTTCACAGCTCGTAACCGCTCAATGACATGTACGACACGCTGCTGCCGGCGGTACGACTCCAGGCCCTCGAGGACGGCCGCAGCCGCGTCCGACGTCCCCTGACCCGTGGGTCCTTGCAGCTGTGTAGCCAGCGGCAGGGGCGGGGCGAAATCAAGTCCGGCTAGGTCCTGGCACCATCTGTGGGCAGGCAGCGAAGGAAATTAAAGCGAGTCATTTCAAGGTTGAGGCCTCGAAGGGTCGAAACAGGTTGTGCTCGCGGGGTAACGTGAAGGGGCTGTGCTAACATGCTAGACGTTGTGTCGGATCGAGGGGATCGATCCCTTGGGAACACGCATTGACGGTGGCAGCAAAAATCACGGCAGCTGTGAAGTCCTCACCTGTACGGCTTAGCAGGTCGTGACGTGTCGTACTTGAACGTCCCGCCTTGCAGCTGAGCCAGGCTCTCAAAGGCGGTCGCGGAGCCATCGTCCCCGGGGAAGAGCGCCGCCAGCAACACGTTGTCGTCCCGCACCTCACTGTGCGCCGTGACGAGCTTCAGGTTCACCAGGAACTGGAACTTGACGCTGATGATGGTTTGCAAGCGCCCGTTGTTCTCCCGCTGCACCTCAAGCAGCACGCTAAGCGGATGAACCTTGTACAGGTCGTCAACCGAGCTGCTACTGGTGTTGACTGCTGCGGAAGGCTGAGCCGCGGCCGCAGCGCTAGCCCCAAGCGCATACGGGGGTGCGGGTGAGAGGCGAGGCAGCTTGGCAGCAGGCTCCGTGGCGGCGGGCCCGCCCAACCCCGAGGCAGCACCGGCGGCGCCATCTGAGGCAGGCTGCTGCGCGGCGTCGGCGCCGGCGTCAGCGGGGTCCAGGGTTTGAGCTTTGGCAAAGCTCTCGGCCTCTACGGAGGAACCGAGGATTGCGACCCGGATGGGCATGCCCAAGGCCTCACGAACGGCAGCCAGCTGAGAGTAGACAATGTACAGTGGGAGAGGCAACAGGTCGGCGCTGCGCGCAAAGCCCCGGAGTGACAGGTGCGGCGCCAGAATCGTCTGCAACGGCTTCGCCGTGTCCTCCAACCCCTGCAGCTGCTGCTGGAGGTCGTCAAGCGTGCGCTTTCGTTTGTCGACCTCCTGCCTTGTCGACGCCTTGGCCTTCCGCAGCTCCTCTAGCTTGTCAACCATGGCTTTCCGTTGCGTAAGCTCATCCCGCAAGCGCTCAAGCATGAGCTTATGCGGGTCCTCGCCTATCTGCGCCAGCGTCTCAGGGCTGGCTGACTGCAGGAACTGCTCCACTGGCACCAGGCCGATCGCGCTGTCGCTGTGCTTAAACCTAAAGTTCTGGCATTCATTGATCTCCTTTTCATAATATTCCTTCTCGTAGAGTAAGTTCTGCAGCTGCAAATGAGCCTGCTCTAGCCGGGTCTTGAACTTGCTTGTCTCCTCGCGCTGATCCTCAGCCTTGAAAGCAAGCTTCCGACTCTCTTCCTTCAGCTGGAGCAACAAGAGCAAGCCCTTAGTGGTTGCTTCTTGAACGTCAAGTCTGCCTTTAGAGCTGACGCATTCCTCAGCTAGCCGCCGCAGAGCATCCACAGACTCTTCCATAGCTCCTGCGGCGGCTTGGAGACGCACCTAACCAAGGAATCCTCCTTAAGCAGCTAATGTAGACTGGCCTTGTTTAGGATTATGCTCTTCTTAGTAAATGCGTTAGGTTTCAAAGTTAGCGAAGCGTGGAAAACTGCAAAACGCAAGAACGAATCGGTAATGTTAGAAGCTATATGCAGAAGCAAAGATTACTAGGAAGGTGCTTCGGCAACGCTTTGCTGTACCGTGCTGTGCCAGATCTATCAACTTCATCACTGAAGTGCGAGATCACGCCACCACCCTTGTTGGCACATGAATTACCAGGTAAACCTACAAGGACACGTTAATGGGGACATGTCCCTTACCCGCTGAAATGACAGTGTCCGAACCTTTTCCCTGCCACCCCTAACCGTGTGCGTGACTTCAGTTGAATACCCTGCTGCTGCGGGAAGCGGGTTGGGTTCGCAACCAAACGGGATACTGCACCACATGAGGACCGTCGTTACATACTTCGGGCTACAAGGTAGCACCTGCCATAGCTGCTGTCACACGAACACGGACCAAAGTCAACGCCAGAGTCGAAAAACCGCCAGCACGGACGTTTACACTTCACAGCACTGCATCCAGCCCACACAGCTCAGCCGTCTCCCCTGCGCTCACTACAATGCGCTTCCGTAATGCTATCCACGTGCACCCGCTGGCGCTGGCCAGCACTTCCACCACTAAAGCCAACTAAGCACCGCATGCAAGCGCGTCAACCACCCTACTACGTTACTCACCGAACCTATAACTTATGTGCACTGTGCTCCCTGAAACCCCTCCCCGCCATAGTCATCTTGTGCACTATTCCCTTTCCATGGCACTTTCTTACAAACCCGCACTCGGACGTGTCTCTAGCCTTCAGTCTCTAGCAAGCTATACACCAGTCACGTCATGCGGGCAGCAGCCATAGGGCTGGTTGACGTTGTATCCACCCTCCAGCTGGTACTTGCAGCCATAAAGCCCCTTGCCGCACAGCGACTCCAATGTGCTGCTGCCCTTGATCGTGATCGAGACGTCGTAGCCAGCGCCAGAGCCGAACAGCCCAACCAACTTGATACCCGTGCCAGCGGGCTGAACCGCCACACCACCTGGAACCGTCGGCCTGACGGTCACGGTATCAAGAGATGTGGTGTTCATCTCGATGTAGACGCTCTTCAGGTCCGTTGCGCAGCAGCCAGCGTTCGTTGCGTCGCTGGAGTCGCAATCCAGGCTGTCGTATGTGAGCGTGAAGTCAAAAGTGGTGGTGTCAGAGGAGCGAGTATACAACGAAGTGGCGTAGTCCAGACGGTACGGCGTGTGCTGTACATTCGTGTCGCACGAGCACTGCGAAGGCGGCAGGGCCAGCTCCTGCGGCTCCGACAGGCCATGCGTGCAGCACATGTACTCCAGATCACGCAGGTTCCACTTGCCGTACATGACATACTCGCACTCGCTGGTGCCAAGCGCGTTGGGTGCACAGATGCTGGGAGGCGACACGGAGTCCAGGTAGAAATCCAGCTGCCAGGTCTTGCCAACCGCCGGCTTGGCGAGCTTCAACCCACGCAACTCCATCCAGGTCTGCGTGCCGTCGTTGCCGTAAAAGATGCTAGTGGAAGGCACCTCGACGTGGTCGATGAAGGCCAGGGAGACCGCGTTCACAACCTCCGATCGCACGTACAAGCGAATGCGGTCAAGATCCATGGCATTGCAGTCGGTCTCAGCGCTGGAAGGCGGCGGCGTGGGAGTAGTGGTCTCGATGACGAACCAGTAGTGCACTGTGCCACGGGCCGAGGTAATCGGAGGGTAGGCGTGCAGACGGTAGGGCGATTCCAGCTTGTTGTCCGTGCAGCCGCAGAACGCCTCTGGGTTCTCAATGACAAAAACACCCTCCGGGCAGCAGCTAGGGAGGAACTCCCCGATAGGGCTGAGCACCCTCTCGCCGGCAAACACCTGATCTCCACCCAGCAGATAGTCGCAGATGCCGCTCTCATCCACCAGGCGTGACTGGCCGCAGGGGAAAGATGACGTGTCGTTCCACAGGGTAGCGTTCAGCGCCAACGTTAGGACCATCTCACTGCCGGGAGGAACCTCAGTGGTGTTGCGCAGGAAGCCTTGGAAAATCAGCCCAAGGTCGGACTTGTGCTGGGTGCCAATAGGACCAGCCTGGATGACAGCGCCGTCGACATCGTAGAACCAGTACCGGGGAACCAACTTCCACCAGGTGTCCGCGAACTTGGGGGCCAGGGAAATCTCGACACTGTCGAGAGTTTGGTCGCAGCAGTAGCCAGGGCGGTAGTTCACCTCAAGGCAGTTAGCAGGCGGAACCGTGAAGATGTTGAACGAGAAGTAGGTGAAATCGCCCATGAGCTCTGATCCACGGTACCGGAGACGCCACCGGGTGTTGGGCTCGTACACACTGATGCAGTCGCAAAGGGTCGAGTTCTTGCTTTGGACAGGTGAAGGTGGCGGCGGCGGCAGGGGTGGAGGTGGCGGCGGCGGGGGAGGAGGTGGTGGCGGAGGAGGAGGAGGCGGCAGAGGTGGGGGTGGTGGCGGCGGCGGCGGCGGAGGTGGTGGCGGAGGAGGAGGTGGTGGCGATGGAGGAGGCGGCGGCGGAGGGGGTGGCGGCGGCGGGGGAGGAGGAGGAGGAGGCGAAGGCGGGGGTGGTGGGGGCGGTGGCGGCGGGGGAGGGGGTGGCGGAGGAGGAGGAGGTGAGGGAGGGGGCGGTGGTGGGGGAGGCGGCGGAGGGGGAGGAGGAGGCGGCGGTGGCAAGGGCGGGGGTGGAGGAGGAGGCGGGGGAGGAGGAGGTGGAGGCGGCGGTGGGCTCGGGGGGGAAGGAGGCGATGGAGGGGGGGGAACGACGATGGCCGGTGCTAGAGGCGGCGGAGGAGGGGGCGAAAACACGCAGGTTGGACAGCAGTCATGCTTGTCATTGAAGATGGAGTACTGGAAAAGCCCCGGCATGCCAAGCTTGGCCGACTGGAAGAAGGTATCGAGGTCATTGCATGGCGCCCGCAGGTTCATGCAAAGCTGGCTGCTCTGTGCCATAGTACGCGTGGCGTTCAGGTTCGTAATGCGAACCTTGCCAAGAGCGAACTGTGTGTCGAACAGCGTCGAACCCATCTTGTTGACGCCACCGAAAGTCACTGCTGCAACACTCTTGTTGCAAATTTTATCTGCAAAGCCACAGGCATGGGGTTCGCGGAATTATGAACTGATTTAGGAGTAGCCGTGCGGGGTTTGCAGCTTTCGACAAAATGGTGAGCTACTCACTCCCCAAAACCCTGACCCCCGCAGCTATCCACACCTGACATGAACTCAATCTTGTCCATTAGATCCAAGACGCTCTGGCAGCACGTGTTGCCCGCCTGGCAGCCCACATACTGGAACGCGAAGCAAACCCTTAGATTCCCGTTCGTGAGCTCCTCCGTGCTGGCTATACGAGGCTTGTAGGGGGATGTCGAGCAGCGGTAATCCGAGCACTTGCAGAAGGGGAATCCATACAAGTATTGAGCGTCTGAATCAGAAGGGGGCGTCTCTACTGTCTGCGCCGATCCTAAATGAAGGGATGTCGCTAGTAGAAAGAGAGCCAAGGATTGCACCAGCAAGCCTTGCTTGCTGGTCCCCATTCGTCCCGCCACCGCCGCTCAGGGCCTACTGCACCCTCGTCGTTGTCTCGCCCAAGCAAAAAAGATGCCAAGATGCTGTGTCTCGCGGCCGGCGCAGACGCTGCAGGGCAGGGGCACACGAATACGTGCATATGATTTTCTCAATAACGTAGGACACAATGCCGTTAAGGAGCTTGTAGGGTAGGTTAAGACATTGTTAAGTGCAAATTTGGCGGGACAGCTTCCCGACAAAGCGCGCTCAGCCCTTTACAGGACTGGTTCTCAACAATTCCATAAATAGTATATCCATGAGAGAAAACAGCCAGAGCTTAAGCTTGTCCCGCCTTAGCATTGCCGAGTCAATGCCCGCGCCTGCAACCATCTCACCTCAAGAGGCTCCGCAATAAGCAATTTGGACTGCAGCTCACCACTTCAAGCTTTACTTCGGGAAGGCTGCCGCTAAGTAACGCGCGAAGGTGCTGTCACCTTTGTATTCAAGTCTCAGGCGCCTATGAAGCAGTAAGGCGCACTCTACTAACTTCTATGCGCGTATGCTGAGACAGGCACTCTTTTCAAATATGGATTTGGCGCTTTGGTATGCAGCGGGATTGGCGCACGACGGCCAGTTGCGCCGTTGCTCAGAGCGTACGCCACCTTGCATGTTCGTCCTTCTCGTACAACTTCCTTTAATAAAACTTTACCTTTCCTATTTACTTGCTAGCAGGTGGCCATTGCAAGGGAACATGGAATCCGTTTCAGGTTCAGGCCGGCGCTGTCAAGTATGACCTTGTCGTTGTTCGGCTTTTCCTGTGATGGAAACACAAGTCTGTGACGGGAGTGTATTCATTACCAGAGGGTCTGCCGGCGCTTTGCCGGGCGAAGGTAGTGGAGCAAGGCGACGGCAGTGGAAGCGTCACAGGCTGTCTCCGGACACGTACCACCTCGTGGTGGTCCCTGTGGCATAATGATGTATACGATTTCCCTTAGCGCCCGTTGTAACAAGACCAGCCCGAAACAATGATCGCGGTTCGCCCGCTGGACCCATGGGCGCACAAACAACATGTGAGCGTTCCCCGCGTTTGGGCTAACTGGTTACCGGCAACCAAGCTAGCCCTGCTGCTGCCTGGAATAGCCTAGGTAGTTAGGCCAAGTCTAAACCCGGTATTCTGCTTTGAGATGTTCGACCATAGCTCCATTCCGCATTCGTACCCATAAAAACTTAGTGAATGCAACTTGGGGTATACGGTGGAGAAGGGCCCCACTGCCCCTTCCCCGCCGCTGTAACCCCATCCTTTCCCCTTGCTGGAAGTGGAATGCTAAGACCGTATACCGATACCGAGGGTGATGGTGCCTCGTGTCCCAGCCGTGACAGGATGGCCAGTCCTGTCACCCCCAGACGCAAGAGTGGCCGGCCCCAGGGTACCTGGCTAGCTCCTGGCAGCCACAACATGCATAAGCGTAGCCGTCGGTTATGTGTGGTTGTATACCGTTCTCGGTTCCCTCTTCCTTATGCTCGTACAGTTTTCAGTCACGTAAAGCCATTCTCATGACGCTGTATTGGCAGCAATGAAGAGTATTGTTCCCTTCATGCTTGGTCTTTTCCTTGGTCTAGGACCCCCTGGCAAACTGGTGCTGCAGCAACAGCCACTCGGGGGCAATGTCAAAGAATGACGCCCGGCTAGAACGTTATCCCTCAAAGGGTGATGCGAGCAACAATGACATCTGACATGCATGGAGATTGGACAGGAACCGTTACAATGCAGCGTACTTCTTATCCGCCCACTCAAGCTCTGGACTTGATCCGACCCACAATAATTAGCGATACAGGAGGAAGAAACCGCCCCCTCGTTACTAGCTTCAAGCCTTAACGCCGTCGCCCTCAAGACGCGCACGCATGTGTGTATCGCAACATAACCACCAACACCGTCACCCCCACGTGCTTGGTACCTGATTGGCGCACGCAGGGGTATAAGGACACCGGTCTCGGTACAAGGTATGCCGCACCAAGACCGCCCGTGGTCTTACACTCACTACTACTACTTAACCGCAACAGTTAGTGATCAACATAGCCCCAAGGGTATAGCAGGCATGTTGTCAAAGAAGAAGAAAAGTGCTCGGGTATTACTTACACATCCGCCTGGAGCCATCACGCCTATTGCCGTACCAGCAAGTACTATTGCGATGAGCATTGAGGCCAAAACCATGAATGAGACGGTTTTACATAGGCCCTGGTTGCCTCCTATCCCTACCCTATCCACGCTGCGGAAACATCCGCAACCAAAAGAAACGACAAGCAAGCCACTCATCAGACTCAACACCTGCAAAACCTTTTTGCCCGTTGGGCCCCACGGGCATTCCCGTCAAAATCCGAGTGGGGAGAATCAAAGAGTATACGAATGCATGTCCCAAGCCCTGCCATTTGAGCAATGAAATGAATTTAGACAGTACACGGGTGTCTAGACGTGTGCCATACACCGGCATGTACGATAACGACAACTACAACGGATAACCTGGTCCTGCTGCGATCACAAGGAGCCTGCCTGCATCCAAACCCTTTACGCTTCCCCAGCAGTTGCCCAAGACCTCCTTGTACGAAACTGGGGACATCAATAAATACCGCGGAACGCACCGCATACAAACACTTGCGGATCCGAGCGCGCATACAATTACAATGTAGTTAGTGACTGTGAGGAATGGCGAGTCCGCCGCCATGTCAGTGTGCCTCAGAGGCTGCAGCCGCTGCCGCCTTGTGCGCCTTCATGTGCTCCCGCACATACTCTTCTACAACCGAGTACATGGCGAGATTGGGGAAGACCTCGTCCGCAGAAACCGCATGGCCCGTGAGCGGGTCCTTGCTGTTGGCATGAAAGGGGTATGAGGCAAGCAAGCAAGCAAGCGCGAGACAGTCAATGCCGGGGTAAACGAAGGACAGTTTTGGCCAACCGTAGCAAATGAAGGGCGTTCGCCGACACTGACTTTTGACTGTCAACAACTTGGCACGGTACAAGGTAACGCAGGGGCAGCGGCCCAAGCATTCTACGTGCAACAACCGGTATAGCCTCGCCCATATCCAATCCCCTACCAGTCCCGGCCCCTTCTCACCCCGCTTTCGCCAGCCACTCCACAATCGCTGAGCGCTCATATGTAGCGCCGGTAGACGTCACGGCCGGTTCCGTAAGGATGTGGTGCGTGATGGGACACAATAAGTGCTTGGGCGCCGACTCCGCCGTCTCTTGAAGTTCGGCAGGCACAGACACCGGCGGCGGCCAGTGCTGCCGACGACGCACCGTCACACTCGCAGTCGCAGCGACGCCCAAGGCAGCTACGTTCAAGTCCTCAGCGGCCCGGTGACCCAGATGCCGAATACCGTCCATGGCATCCTGTGTGTACGGGACACAAGAAACAAGCGCAAAGTAAACGTACTGCGTGTGAAGCGTACCGGTACTGGGGGGTTGGAAAGGTAGAGACAAGCAGCGCAGGCCTGCATAGCATCGCCAGGACGCGTGCTAGGCAGGAAGTGGGGAAGTAAGCCCCATCTGACTGCTAAGGGAGGTTCGCGTGAGTGCAGGTAGGATGGCTTCAACTGGCCACATTACAACGCAGCAAAGGGGCAACCCGTAGACCGGCAACTCAAATTTCCCTCCAAGTGCGCCGCTTACCCCGATAAATTGCGCATTGTTGGGCTGCAAGGCCATAAGCGCAATGGCAGCAGCGGCCAGGGGAGCCCATGTGCCGTACATGTGAAAGGCGAGGAACAAAAACACACGCGCCGGCAGCAGCGCCGCAGCGAGACGCAACAGCACCAGCGCGTGGCAGCCCAACATGAAGGGCACGCCGTGGCTGCATGCCACGCACTGTACGGCAGCTTGGGGACGGCGCTGTCGGATGAGCTTGATGGCGTAAATCAGCACACGCAGCTCACAGGCCGCCCTGAAGATACCTGAACAGGATAACGAGGGAAGGGTTTTGGAGCAAGGTACGGACAATGAAGGGGCCAGTAGCACAGGAAGTAGTGGCCAACAAGATTTGGCGCCTCGCATTCCGGCATGAGCAAAACCAACCAGGGACCAAGCTTCGTTGCGGATGGGTTGCCGTATGTCTAGCCCTACCTCCCATCACACTAAGCCCTACTTACTAGTCGCGAGCACCCAGAACGCAGCGACGGGGGCCAATTCTAGGAGCGCTAGGGCCACAAAGCCCGTCACGACGCCAGGGCAGAGCAGCGCTAGCGGCCACAGGCGCCGCCCCAAGACGATCTTCCCTCCGACCGTCTGCCTTCCGCAGGTTTCATGTGCTGGTGACGAGTCACTGTCTGCCGTGCAGGAATCACGGTGATCGGAAAGCATACCGGTCGCTTGCAACACTGTACGGAGCCATCCTCTTGTCAGCTGGTTGGCGGACTCCTGCACATTTGCCCAATACGCGCAGGAGGTTGGGTGCGGCTTAGTATGGGAGGGCAACGTTGTGTCAAAGACAGGGTTTTCGACAGGATTAAATTTTTCCACGGGAGTGCCTAGCCTTGACCGGGAGTGCCGGTGGTGTACTGTACCTACCGGGATGTCTACCTCCATGTTGCGGATGAGCTTGTAGGCTCCGTTGTAGTCATGCGTCCATGCATACACTAAGGTTGCCCTTGGCAGTGTTAGGAGAGCTGCCATGTACATTGAGGCCGCCGAGGGATCCCGCGCAACGAAGCTCTGCAGGTCCGTCCAGTTGCGTGGGGTGCTGCCGCTGCCGTTGACAGTGCGCAGCGCGACCTCGAGCTCGTATGAAGAATAGAAAACAGGTATGCGTCCGACAGTCTCTCCTGTTATATGTAGGAGGTTCAACGTGTTCATGCAAGCGACCGATAACCTTCAAGATTACGGTGGGCTCGCTTACCTGGAAGTCCAAAGATTAATTGGGCCGACATCCGGAGAAACAGGTTAAAGGGATGTCCTGAGATATAGCGCAGCTTGATTAATTGCTTCTCGGAGTATGTCTGACCAGGCGATGCTATGTCGACCGCCATTTTGGAGGAAGCCGGTTCTGATGTCGAGGGAGCGACACCTCTCCAGGCTGAGGCGCAGCTAGTTATTCCCAGCGCAAGACATAGTAGAACGATCCGTCCACGCTTTGTGAGCTGGAGACGACCAGCTGCACGAAAATCGTGCCTATCCACCTGGGCGTTCGCCTCACGTAGAGGTGCCGGTTCGAGAAGCTCATGTTGGTTTGCGTTCTCCATGGCTATCGCTCGGTTGCCTGGGCTTTGCCGGACGTTGCACCTATACTATGAGACAGCTTTTTGCGACAGGAGCTATAGCAAGTAGCTCACTGTCAACCGCTTAACCAAGCACAATCCTACTTAAAGAGCGTTTCTGGTGGAGGCATTATAGGCTCAAGCGCCATGTGTCCGTAATTTGCCGTACTCATTTGGGAAAACCCTAAAACCTTACGCTGGAGCATTTTTCGCGCTCAGTACGGCCGTAGTGCTACGTATTTCGCTAAGGCTCTTCCGGCCTGCTTCGTAATTTCTTACCGGACTCAGCCTAGCTCGCTACGGACACTCCCGACTACCGGCACAGGACTGGACAAGTAGAAGGAAAGTGATGGGTGAAAACTCCGGTGCATCTTAGTAGCGACAACCCTAGCCGCACTAATCAACGCCCATGCCCTCCGATGCATGCCTAATAAACGACGCAGCACACCCTGCGTTGATGTGGCAGGGCATGGCGGGTTCGTCCGCACCTTTCCTACAAAGCTGTGCTTCGTGCTGCCTCATGAGGCAACAGGCAAGCCCAAGCTTGTTCAAAATGGAACAAGCCGTGACATGCGTCTTGCGTACAGCGGCCGCTGGCCAACCACACGCAACGGGTCAAGGACTACCCATGTCCATATGGTTACTGGCGTCGTCTCTACTACGTCTTACTGACGTAGTCTAAGTGACTACGATGCAAGAGCGCAAGGCTTATACATTGGCGTCCGGTGATGCCCATCCTTACAACACACTTGCAGTCTCGACGGACAAACCGGCTGGAGTAACACCTGCTACCCTGCTGTGCCACTGCTTGTCAGGCGCGGCCCAAACAGGGGTGCCTATCTTCAAACCACACCATCGCAGGACAACAACAACACCGTTTCATGCCCATGACCATGTCTGCAGCCCAACTCGTCTCACGGCTAACAGTTGAGCAGCAACCGACAATTACCGCCGCAATTACACCCCGCTAGCTCATTTCTTCGCCCCTAATCAGTGCCAGTGGTAATGTCGGTACAACCATGTAATGCGACCGTTTGTACGCCGTGCCTCCCAGGCCCCACCATGCCATCCAACCAGGCAGCAGCACACGTGAAATGCTACCCAAACCGCAAGCCATGTCCTGTAGCATGCAACCTTCGGCAGGCCTTTGGCTCCAGCCCTACATGCCACAAAAGCTTACCCACTCCCGCCCAATGCACGTTTCTCCTGCAAAGCACCCCCCGCCAAACCCCTAACCGGCTACGGTACCGCCGTGCACGCCGTCAATCTAATAACCGCCTTGCATGCCAACAGGTCGCCGCCTAAGTGTACAAGACTACCGATATCTCCAACCTTCAACCCCATGCCCAGTCGCCGCTCATCCAATTCCTCCGGTTAGTTTCTTCCTCCTTTCCCACTCCACCCTACATGCCCCATGCTGCAGCCGCTGTACTGCTCGTTCCCCGCCTCAATCCCGCTGTACTGCTCGTTCCCCGCCTCAATCCCGCTCGCTGATGACGGTTAGGAAGTGGTCCACCTCCTCGTTGCTCAGCACACGGAAGGCCCGGTCGCTGCCGTCCGGGCCGCTGCGCACGACGCCCACCTCCAAATCCGACGCCTTGAACTCCTCGCTCAGCACGCCCTGTTGGACAGGACCAGACGAGGGGGCACGGATATCCCACAGACGGAGGGCACGGGTCACGGACACGCCTCTAAGCGCGGCACGGGCATTCCATTTTAAGGATTTGTACAAGATCCCCTTTCGTTCCCCCCGGTCGACAGCTGGTGCCCGTACAGTTGCATGCGCTCATCAGTTGCTTTGTCAGCGCAAGGTGCTTTAACGCACCTGGAGCGCCGCGATGGCCGTGGTCACCGCCTCGTCGTAGCTCAGCGCCGGGTTGCTCTTGAGCTTCTTCTCCAGGAAGTTGTGCGCCTCCGTCTCCTTCACACCCACAGAGGTGGCCTGCGGGCGACCAGGAAACAGGGCGACATGTAAGACAGTGTACCAACCTCAAGCTTACTCTTGTATCGCTTTTCAGTCGCATTGCACTGAAGCTCCCTACTAATGTGCTTGCATGCAGGGCTGACTCTTGGCACCTTGTTCAATGGACTTCTACCGTAGCTGCACAGCCGTCATTCCCTGAGACCAGCAGCACCCATGCTGACTACCGGATGGCCCGTTGGGCCCCGGCTCTTTCGCACGTCCTTCACAAGCGCCACAACCACTGCCGCTCTGCCTTTTTCATCCACTGCTTAAGGCGCTGCTGTATGAAATCACTCCTGGCAAGCTGCCAGCCCTCGCCTCCTCACCTTGTAGCCGACGAAGTAGCCGGCGGGGTCCACCTTAAAGAGCTGCGGCCCGCGCTCCTCATCGATCCCGATCAGCATGGAGATGACGCCCAATGGCCGCATGTAAGCGTGCTGAAAGAGGGGTTGGAACGGGGTTTTGGTTTAGGTCCATGCGGTCCATGTCCGGTGAGGAACAGCTAGAGTGTGCTGATCAAAAGACGGGTAGGGTGTGGTTGATAACCACCTGCCGCAAGCGAACTAGGACGCTCGCTGCTCGCTTGCCCTGCATGCCGCCTCTCCTTCCAGCAGCAGCATTGCACCCCGCTGCGCTGCTTGGACGAGCTAGCTGTTTCGCCCCTGACCACCCAGGCCAGTGGTTTCGCCCCTGATCATCCAAACCTCCCCGGACCAAACCACCCGTGACCACCCAGACCGCTCCGGACCACCCAGACCAGTATAGCCGGAGCAACCACTGCCCCGCGTTGTGGAGGTAACATGCCCACACACCTGCGTGTACACCTGCGCCTTGTCCGCCAGCACGCGGGCCAGGTAGTCCACGGGGACCTCGTACCCGAACTTGAAGCGGAAGTCCGCGGCCTGCTGCCGGGCCTGCTGCACGATGGCGCGTGTGTCCGCTGTGCATGCCGTTGTAAAGAGCATTGTGAGGGGCAATGTGACGGTTGGGATGGGCTTGGGAAGGGCTTGGAGGACGACCGTTAACAGACCCTTGGGCCAAGCCCGTTAACTTTGTGCATGACGCCACACAGGGGAAGCAGGTAATGTGCGAAGTCGCTCACATTAAACATGGACCAGTGCTACGCAGCGCATAACGCATCAGAGGTTGGAAGAAGGCAACAGCTATAAGAGAGGCCCAACAGCTCCCATCCATTTAAGGAACGGAAGAAGCCCAGCCCTGCTCCCGCGCCTGAAAACCAATCACACCTTGAAGGCCAGTGACCAGCATTCCAATGTACTTTGTTATCTTGAACAACCGAGTCACGCTTGTGGGATCTATAAGCTTGTCCTGGATAAACAGAGTGCCTCCAATCAGTGTGTGCCCTTAAAGTAAAATATATATTACGCATGGCAATATTAGTCCGGTAGATCGCACCTGGACCTTCTTTTGTGTCACAAACACGACCGAGTCCTTTCCCCGGACTGCAATGCTCGTGACCCCAGCAGTCCTGACAGCCTTGAACGCATATTCTGTAATAGGAAGTGCGCTTAAGCGATCATTCGCATCAGAGAGCCTCTCGTAAAGGGCGGGATCCAGCATGACCAAGCCTTCTCACCAACTTGGAAGAGCCTGCCCTCCGGGCTAAAGATCGTAATATGTCGATCATAGCCGGATCCGCCTCTAGACATCTTTGTAGAGGGTCTTTACACGCTTTCTACCCCAAATGTGTTGTATGTTCGCGAACAACGATAGGATTGGCGTAAAAAGATGCCTATCACTGTTAAGGCGTATGTTGTCGGTCCAGAGCTGAAGAAACCACACGGTGGCCCTGTTGTGGTGCGCCCTCATCCCTAGTACGACTACAGCGAGCTCCTTGAAACGCTGCATAACCACATAGCTGTCAGGTTACTTCTGCGATGTAGCACATATATAGTTAACATACCACCTAAAGCTTGTCCCTGAACGCTTCTCCCTGTGACACTTATTTAACCAAAGCTCTGCAAAGTGATCGTCCGCAACACCGTTATTTAGTTTTTACTGAAAACATGGCCAGTAGACTGTGAACATGTACAGCTGCATACTTTTATAAGCCAGGGGTGTCGTTATGGGCTGCTGCTCTTCAACTCACGTCGGCAAGGAGGAGGAGGAGGAGGAAGAGCAAGCTGAGCAGCCCATTGACATGTGAGCCTAGCGTTCACCGTCCCTGGCAGTTGCTTGCGGCGAGGAGACAGCCAATGATGGATTCTGCGTTTCACAATGCAGCCGCTTTTCGACCACCTCTGCGGATGGGACTGAGCGGAACACCCACTCCTCTGCCGTAAGGCCTTCACGGCCACGTCCGAGCGGAGATTTAGGAGGGCCTGCAGCGCTCAGTGGGCGGTACGGTGAGTCTGGTGTGGATGGGGTGACAAAGTTCACTGGGTCTTCATGTTTCATCCCTTTTTGCCTATGCTTTCAGGTTCGTCGAGAGGTGCACCTTCTCCTTCTTTATCGTCTGTGTCCTTGGTGCCAGTCGCTCGGACGGGTAGCTATGATGTCCGTGTGGCATCGCGTACGCGCAATAATGGAGGCGATGGAGTCATCGAAACCTCACGCTTGGTTATCGATCACCTGAAGGTGAGCTGAGTACCTGCTCTGCCCAAATGCTGTGGTGATGACAATGTCGTTCCGTGTTGCGCAGGGCAACGTCTTCATAAACCAATACCTGATCATCAAGGACCTTGGAAAAGGCGCCCACGGCACCGTTAAGCTTGTATACAACACGCAGGATGATATGCTGTACGCCATGAAGGTAAGCCACCTAGCTAAAGCGGCCCCTGCCTTGTTATCGTTGCCTAAGCCCTCCTGTCGTGCAGGTAATCCACAAGCGCCGCATGCGTCGGCAATCATACTTGGCGGAGCCACGGGCGGTTGCAAACATGATGCGGAATGTGGGCATGTCCCCTCTGTCCCAAAGCCAGACAGAGGGACAGCGCGGGGCTAGCCCGCTTGCGAGCCCGCGTAATCCAAACGGGATGACGGTGGGTATCGGGTGTTGCCCTCTGCTTCCATGCGTCTACTGCTGTTGGGAATGCTCTTGAGGCGTGTGTTGTGGGGTGTTGGAGTGCAGGATGAGTACAGCAATGAGATCGCGGTCATGAAAGAGTTGGATCACCCAAACGTGGTCAAGCTGTACGAAGTCATTTATGACCCTAGCAACAACAAACTCCTGATGACGATGGAGTATGTGGAGGGTGGATGCGTCCTAGCAGGCAACAGCCCCACGCAAAAGGTACGCAGCGCTGGGGTTTGCGCGCAGCAGGACTACTCCTGGTGGTGTTCATATCGCACCCAAATGCAGAGGCTGAGCATTATAGTCACAATGTGGCCCTTCCATGTGCACGAGAAACTCCAATCCACTAAGCACTCTCTTCCATGCAGTAAATGCAGGCAGTTAAAGTGTATTGCTGCACCTGCACATGCAGGTGCCCATCCAGGAGGCAACAGCCGTCAAATACTTCCGTGACGTGGTGAAGGGACTGGAGTACCTGCACTTCAACAGGTTGGCAGCAAGCATGCATATCCTCATTGCGCCGTGATGGGTCACATGTTGGCATAGAAGTGGCACTACGACGTGCGGTCGCATGGGGAGTGCGAGTCTTGGCGAGCCTTTCCGATGACCGTGAGGGGTACAGGGTAAGGACTGTGAGTAGCACCAAGCTTCCTCCTTCTTGACCCTGTCGTGCACCAGGATCGTGCACGGCGACCTTAAGCCGGACAACTTACTGATGAGCAGCTCGGGGAAGGTAAAAATCTCGGACTTTGGGTCGGCTCGCTTTTGTGAGAAGTCGGACATGATCTTCGCAACCGCTGGAACGCCCAGCTTCATGGCCCCGGAGATGTGCCAAGGTATGCCGCTAACTGGGGGTCGCTTACTCGTCTGAACCCATGGCCAAAGCTACAAGGCTTACCCACTGGCAAGCAGAAGCCCGGAATAGGCCCCAGATACGTGGCTTGGGATGCCATCCACAAGTAGCTGGCGGACCTATGCGGCATTCCTGCACGCAGCTGTCACAAACGTTTGCATTTGATGTCTGCCCATTGACAGGCAAGCAGTTCAACGGTTTCCCGGGCGACATCTGGGCCCTGGGCATCTGCCTCTACATGTTTGTGTTTGGGAGGCCGCCCTTTACGGGCAACACCACCTATCAGATCTACGAGGCCATTCAGCAGGGAGAGCTGCAGTTTCCACCCACGATCCCGGTGTCGGAGGAGCTCAAGGTCAGCAGCAGCATGGGTGCTTGGCTGCTTGACCTGGTTCTCGTTAACAGCGCATGCACATGCATGCGCAGTCAAGTTTCAATTGCATGCTGGCAATAGAACAAAAGACGCTTGTCGAGGGGTACCTTCCACTTGCTGATCCAGTTGTGGTTTCTTGACGACCTTGCGTGTAACCTGGCTTCACGCACCCGCCCGACGCAAACAGGACCTTCTGTCTCGGCTGCTTCACAAGGACCCAGCGCAACGCATCAGCCTGGAGGAGATCCCCACGCATGCATGGGTCACGCGCGGCGGCTCCCTGCCTGTTTTGCAGACCTCTAACGAGCGTGCAATTCAGAGGGTGTTCGAAGCAATGCGGAAGCGCAACGGTGAGGCAATGGCACGTGTGTTGTGGCGAGTGTTGGGTGAACTGCAACAGGCTAAAGCCATTGTCGTACACCAGCTGGATTTATGTCTTTTGGCATGTGCAGGGCACGCTAAGTTGGTTTGCTTCCGTCCGCTTCCCCAGAGTCTGGAGCCAAGCGGCCTGCGCCCTCGACTGTACCCCTGGCGGCACCGCCGGAGCCGGTCGACATGCGGAAGCTCGTCCCAGACGCAGAAGTTCGACAGTTCAGGGACGGTGAAGTCATTATTGCGTGAGTAGCCGCCAGGGCCGGCATGGTGGGCGGTTTGGTAGGATGGCCCTTTGCTTCGACGGCTCCTGCATGCAATTTATTTCGACCGATCTTAACGCATTTGCAGCATTCCTCCGCTGACGTGCGTTGCGTGAAGTAAGCTGAGTAACAAGCTGGATTCATACGTCCATGCCTGAACATGGAAAGCGACTCGCCTCGATCAAACATCTTATGGACGCCTTTGGTTTCGTCACACCTCCCTCCTTGGCGCTTTCCTCTTCCGCAGCCAGGGGCAGCTGCCGGAGGGGCTGTACTACGTGCAGGACGGCTTCATCGACATGATGCTGATGCCCTCGGAAAAGAAGCTCGTGGCGGATGAGGACTTTGCTGACGTCATTGATGATGACGAGGATGAGGACGATGAGGCTGTGGTGACGGCCACTGCACAGGCACTTGACTGCCGACGGTAAGAAGGGCATAAATACAGCCGCGAAAACTGGCACGAACCGTGACTGTTTAAGGCGTTGGCCCAACGTGAATGTCCAGGACAAGTGCACATGCCAAGTTATACGGCTATTCCAGGCGTATGCATGGGCATGCACATAAACAAGCCTTGACTTGAACGGGCGTGCTGCTTAGGTGGCAGATTGCAGTCGGACAGGGAATCAGCAGTAGGCAAGCAAACCTCTTTACTCTCTTTTGTCCCCCTGCGCACCTCTACTGACCCCCTGCGCAGGAGCCCCGGTAGCGCCCTGGGCGGCGACGTCGGAGAGGGCAGCGGCGGGGAGGAGAACGGCGGGGAAGGGGAGGAGGAGGAGGGCGATGAGGAGGAGCAGAAGGGCATGGACGGCTTTATGGCGCTGTTTGGCTCACGGTTGTCAGACAGGTAGGAGGGGGGCACGGGCTGTGCATGGGCTGGGCAAGGGTTTACCGATTGTGGCATGGGTTGGACCGGTTGGCGGCTTGGGAGGAACCGCTCATGCCCATGTGGTGCTCCCTCTCCAGTTGTACAAAGGGCATTGCCGGCTTGCGCTGCCTTCCCCTGCCACAGGATATCTCCCCTGGGCTCCAGCCCCCTACAAACACCGCGCAACAACTCTTCCGGAGTTACGCCCCGCCACGCCAGCCAAACCCTCATGTCTCGCAACCACTCGGCGACGTTGGGACCTCGCTACGCCAGCCAGTCCTTAGGCGTCCGGCGTCCCAGCCATGCACACAGCGACTGGCAGGGCCGCTCGTACGGCAACGCGCCGGCCTCGCTGCCCCTGCCGCCCGTCCTCCAGCCACACCACTCTTTGCCCGTGCCGCCGACCTCGTACCATCACCAAAACGTAACGCCCCATCTCGGACCTTCTAGTTCTGGCCGAACCTACAGCCACCAGCACAGCCGTACGCAGTCAGCCTCGCAGAGCCCTGCCTTCGTTAACAGCACCATGCTCACGCCCCACCAGTGCAGCACCCCTGGTTCCCCGCGGAACAGCGCTGCAGCTGGAACCAGCATGGGCGGTGGCTTGGCGACGCAGAACAGCTTTTCAACAACCCCGGTGCAGGTGTCGCTAAACGGCGGGGTGCAGAAGCGGCTGCCGAGCTACAGTAGCAATGCCGGGCCGGCTGGCATGCTCAGCGGAACGGGTGGACTCATAAACGCCTCCATTAGCCCCTCACCACTAGGGTTGTCATGTAGCAACGCTGCTGACATTCTGGATGATGAATTCTCGGGGCGTGGGCAGCAGGAGTCGGGGCCCGTTAGCACCAGTGGCAGCATTGCCAGGGCGACGGCGGGCATGCTGCGGACGAACAATTCAGTGCGGGAAGCTCAGCCGCCGTTTTTGGTACCCTCGCCATACACGTCGCCGCAAACCAGTCGGCGGCAGCTGACGCAAGAACCCAGCTTCAACCCTAGACTGTCTAGGTGAGGTTCCGGCGGGGTTAGGTAGGGCGCCATTTGGTCACCTGGGAAGTGGTCAGACCTCAAACGCCCATGCCTTCAACCTATGATTCACGTAGCTGCTCAGCAAGCTAATCAGGAAATCCTTACAACCATGAGACTGAAATCCTATTGATCTTCAATACCATGGCATGACATCATGTCCGTTTGGGCTGTACGCGTGGTTTTCGCTTGCAGGCATGACAGCGGTATCCGCCAGCCTAGCCGCCTGTCCGGAGCAGACAGCTTCTCACAGGCGGGAACCTCAGCTCCCGGACGCATCGCACTGCTGGGTAGAGCCGCGTCCAACAGGTGAGCTCTGGGTTGCCATGTGCCCCGTGTCCCATGGACCTGCGTGTCCCATGGACCTGCCTGTTGGAATTAATGGAAGACAACAAGAGGGATGCTGGGGTCGAGGGGTTGCTGTTAAGGACGTGCCTGCCTTACGGGCCCTGTAGCATCACACTCACTCGCAAGTTGTTTGTCGCGGTATCCTGCATTCGCAAGGTAGGACACGCTGCATGAAGTCCCCTCCAAAAACAGTGAAACGCACGTCCCTCCATGCTGCCCATGGTGCAGGGCACGACCATCTATGGACTCGGACGAGAGCTCGGGCCACCAGGAGCTGCAGCAGCCCCAGCAGCAGCCGCACCAAGGGTTCGCCAGCCTCTTCAAGTCCAACAGCCGCCGCAGCCCATCCCTCCTCGGACCCCATGGCAGCCTGAGCCCGGTGCCAGCCTCACCAACCAGCGGCTCTACCAGACAGCCCAGCCTTAACGCAAAGTCCCAACCATCCCAAACAGCGGCGGCAGCCAAGGAGGAGGAGGAGGACCTGCTGTTCCTGTCACCCACGGAATCCCGCCGGCTGAGTGTGACTGCGGGCGGTGCTTCCAGCCGCAGGAGGCTCGGCGGGGCTGGCGTTATTGTTGGCGCAGCGCCGCCATCGGGCCCGCCAGGAGCGGTGTCTCCTATGGTTTCGGGGTCCCGCGTGCTGCCCATGGACATTCCCGGCATCCGGTCTGTACAGCCACACCCGTCTGCCTCTGAGGATACCAGCGCGGAAGTAGGCAAATCGCGCAGCAACAATAGCATCGTCAGCAATGCGGACATTAGCATGCATGTGTCCCCCCGAGCCGGTTGGCAGCGTGAGCGGCCTACACCGTTGCAAATACGCAGCGCGGGCGGTCCTGATGACGGGGCTGCTGCCGACGCGGCGCCTGCAGCTGGTGGTGATGGCAATAACGGCACCCCTGTCTCACCGGATCCGGCCGAGGAGATGTCCCCTGGAAACACGGCAAGCCACGGCCGTGCACGCGTCATGCGCCGGTCAATGACGCATGACAACATCTCGGAAGCGGGCGCGCGCGTGCCGCCGTCGCCTGGCGGCGGCGCGGTGATCATGTCGGCGGGAGGCCGCTCGGGCGGTCACGACGCGGCTCCTGGCGAGGACGGGGAGGAGGAGGAGGAGAGCGAGCGGCGGGAGCAGTTTGAGGATCGCAGCGTGCCTACTGTACGGCATGCCTACACTGACATGGACCGTGCATCGTCACAAGAAGTTCGCCCCGAGAACTACTTTGCAGGTGCTGACAAGGCGTACGCGTCGGGGCGCCTCAGGAGCCTTGGCGATGTAAGTAGCGTCTCAGGTGGAATGGGCGCGAGGAATGGGCGCAGGATGGGTTGCCTAGTAATACGGTACCTGCCCTCTCATGTCCTTTCTAGTGTTCGTACTGCTCCTAGGGGCATATGCTTTCCTCTGGTTTCTTCACCATGCTTCCTCTGCTTTCCTCTGGACTCTTCACCATGCTGTAACGGTGTTGCTGATGCACTGTGCATGTTCCGCAGCGAGCCATTGACCGCATGCGGCGCCACTCCACATCCTCCTACAATGCGACCTCGATGCTCAATCGTATACTCGGCGTCTCTACCGGGGGCGCGGCACTTGACAGGACCTCCATCCAGGTACGTTGCACAGGGATGTGCTACGACCAGTGTGCGTTGTTAAGCACAAGCCACTAGCCACGGGCATGTCCTCATGTGCATGCTGCCACGTGTATGGCCTTCGGGCTTCATCCTTGCTGACTGAAAGCTGCTGTGCATGCACTAAGACAAACCTATCCTGCCTCGCTCCTTGCTCCAACCGTACGCACATTGCCTCCCTCCCTGCACTTGTCGTTTTTTCCCTCCCTCACCTCCCTCCCTCCCTCCACCAACGTGTAGGAGTGGTCATCGACCAGCAAGCTAGCCCAGAAGGCCATCCAGCGCTCCGACTCCATGCACTCCCGCATGGCCCAAATGGTGCTGCGAGCCAAGCAACACGCCGTACGACGCAAGCGGCGGGGCTCCATGGAGCTCATCACCACACGCGGACCCGGCAGCGTTGTGGGCGAACTGTGCATTGACGGCAAGCCCGCGCCCAGCCCCAGCACGGTTGTGGCCAAGGGACCTGTGACCCTCCTGCTCATCAAGAACGAAAAGGTACGGTGTATTGCCGGCAGGGTCAACGCCGGGTGTTTTTCCATAGAGCAACCAGCAGATGTCGCGAAACGGGCCCAGCTGGTGCGGTACCAACCTGTATTGCGCCTTTATGCATGGGACCTATTGCACTCCTTCGTAAGGCTTGCAGGCTTTTAAGATTGGAGGCATACATGGGTCCCCGCGCCATGATGCTGCAGAGATACCTAGTGCCCCAATGTCTACCAAATTTATACTCCTCAATTACAGCGTGTGCTGTGCCCGTGTGCGTGGCTGCAGGTCAACAAGTACCGGAACCAGCCCAGCGTCATGGCAGCCCTGCACCGCAGCCAGAACGCGTCCATGGTGCAGGAGGCCATGGAGCGGTTTGTGGAGTGCGAGCAGGAGGTGGTGGCGGTGGAGGTCATTCGGAGGTGAGAAAGCGTGGTTTTGGTGAGGGGGTTCGCTTTTTGTGATTTGATGTGAAGAGCTCGTGGGTGGAAGATGTGTTGTGGGCCTGTGGCATGGCAGGGTGGTTGTGGAGGGGAGGTTTGGGCATACACCGTAACGGCCGAGGGCTTGGGGGTGTACCGGTACGTGCACGGGCCACATTGTTCTCTATGTCCGAACGGCTGTGCGCCCTTTTGCTACCGCTGTCTTTTTGTGCTTCATTCCTGCCTTGATTGTGAGGGTGATATGCATTTTACGCCGGCCCTTACGACGTCTCCTGCCTACACGTCCCCTCCCCCTTTGACTTACTTCCCTTGCCATGTAGAACCATAACCACGGAGCCCAACATGCATTTGGACTTGGGCGGTGACGAGTATGTCGCAGAGCAGCCGTCATCTGAGCGGCTGATGGCCGACATCTACAATGAATGAAGGACGGAGACGTGGAGTGTAGCCCCTGGGTGAGGAAAGACTGATGGGGTACATCCACCGCGTGTAATCTCGTGGCTCAGCTTACAACCAGTACCGCCAAGGGCAAGCGGCGGCGATACATGGGCGGGTGGACAGAGGCAGTCCCCACCTGCTGCTAGGCACTCAACGAGGACTTGGGTCAAGGTATATGTCCTACGCTGCATGTGACATCAAAAGCCGAATGTATGTGTCGGGTCGTTCAGCATGTTTGGCCAGAGGACTTTCAGGATACATGTTTTTCATGTTTTGCAATTGTCTGCGCCGCAACGCGCGTCAACTGTGGGGCAACGGCGCATGGTTGGCGTGTCATGGTCGGCAATGTGGGTCTACCATGCCGGGCTGTGGATGCACCATTTCTGGCAGTTTGTTGAATCAGATGCCATGTTGGCGCAAGGGGGTGCCGTCGTCAATACATAGGGATGACTCAGTAGGCTAGAACGCTTGCGCACGCGCCTTGTGCGCTTTGGGCGTCGTGGCAGACAAGACAGGCTAGCGTGGTCAAGCATTATTTTCGTAGTAGGATCCAAGGCAGGAGTGCCGCTTAAGCGTATTGTAGCTTTTTGGTGGTCTGCGATTCATGACGCAAACGAAAGGTGCAGTGCACGCCTCATCCGAGGTCGCAGTGTGAGCAAACTCTTGGACAGAATAGAACACGGGTGTAGTCGTAAAGTGGAAGGATGATAGCCAAAGCCAAGAATGTGACTAATTAGGTACTTAGAGCGTTGGGTATGTGCTTGGGCTTGACCGCACATTGGCTATAGACTTAGTTAATATGGGTTCCCTGACTCTGGCTTTTTAGCCTTATGGCCTCTAGCGACCGTAGTGGGCAACTGATGTGATCCTGCTGAATTGCTGCAATGCCCTGTGATCAACCGACAGTGCATGCATTCCCGTGATTTGCGGGTGGTGCCTGTGACCGGCTATATGTTACAGTCGTGCCCGTGACCGGCTATGTATGTGCTCCAACGGTCGCCTGACTGCGTGACTCGCTAACTTAGTGAACCCCTTAATCGGGATGCGTGCACTGGAATGTGAATGGCTAGTGACTGCCTGTGACAAAAGCGACCTATTCCGATCCAGGGGGGCGGTATGTGACGGACCCAAGGGCCACACCTAAGGCTGATGCAGGGCCCCCGAGCTGGCACCTGCTGCATTGCTTTTCAGGATGCCTTCTCTTACATGGAGGAGTTCTGGTCACACTCTCTGGTCACAGCGATAGGCGTGGTTGTGGTGTACCTAGAGGTTCCTAGAGGTCGTGACGTTTGCTTTCAAGAAGCTGGGGTTTGTGGCCTCACCATTGCCCGAGCGCCGGCGGGCTATACTTGCTGCGGAGTTTAATGATGACGAGTCTGCTCGGATGCTCATAACTCCACACGTGGCCGGACGCCTTGACTTGCGTCCTTGCTAGCTTTGCGTCTCTATGCACAGTTAGGTACACATCTCTTGCCGAGGCACGTCGCTAGGGCATGCCGACATATACTTCGTCTGTGCAATCACGCATGCAGGCGAATCTCATGACTGGGATGTGAGCTAGTAACCGCGTCTGACTTACAGCAAGGTGATGACGGGCTTGCAGCGATCCCCACCATTTGCACAAAAGCTGCCCGAAAGCAACAACTTGTCATACAAAACGCGCCCAAATAAGTATTACCGGCAACCAGCCGCACCGAGCACAGTCTATGACGGGATGGGGCCCACTGTACGGCAAAAACGCTTCGACAACCATGCTTAGCAGTTTATGTGACATAGCTGCTTATGTACTGCCAACCAGCGGCATAACTTCATTCCTCATGCCGATAGATAATCACGGACGAGGCTATAGGCGACGAATGCACCGCCCGCCCTCGGTCCTGGGTAATCTCATTCGTCGTACGGCTGTGCTAAGCCAGCCATAAAAAATGAATACGCGTCACAGAAGTTCTCTACAACAAAAACTATGTCCCGGCACAACCTGCAGACAATCCTGCCTAGAGGTCCAAACATGGTGCCCTCTCTAAAACTCTGGCTAGCGCAACAACAGATACGGTAGTCCAAACAACCCAACATAGCGCCCTGGCGCACACTCTCTGGCACACAAGCTCCAAGCTGCTGGTAGCTTGGTAGGTGTAACCCATGCCGCCAGCACATAACATAAAAGGGCACACCGACAGCTAGCATTATTACCCAACTCTCCCTTTTTGTTGGGCAAAGAGCCAACGAGTTTCCCAGCAGTTTAGCAGTGAGACCCAACATACAAGCGGGTGCGCAGCGTTGACTGAAAAGATTTAGCACCACCACCAACACCACCACTGCCCATGAAGTAGTGGGTCACGCGAGCGACTAGCATGCCTCCCGTCTCTCACCTGCAATGAATGCCCACATGCTGCTGCCAACGCTTTCCCCCACTCCCTACTCCCGAACGCCAACCGCGCCAAGAATTATATCCCCACTACACCCATGCAGATTAGCGTTTCACAGCGCAAAAACCGCTCATGCATTTGTTGGCATCACGGGAAGCCAACCAACCAAATGTACAGCAGTTATTGGAATAAGCACTGCGAGATGCGAAATATCCTGGTAGTGATCGCAAAGGCCCCCGGGGCAAATGCGGCGCGGCTATTTGTGTTATCAAGAGTCGCAAGGCAGCTCCTCTCACGAGGAATGCAGGGTACGGAAGAGTCCCAGCACCACTAAAAAAGTCAAAACCCAGAAATGTCACATGTAAATTGACTGGTTCAAGCCCGGAAGCCCACTTCCCAAGCTTGCGAGGACAGCAACGAACCCCTAGGTACATACCAAACATTACCACGCAACGAACACACGGCCCGGCTTATCGCAGTTACTACCTCCGCATCAGGCGATAGCTACAGGCAGCAGGCCCGTCTTTGGGGCTATGAACTAGCGCGCCTTGGCATTTCAACCCCACTACTGCGCGCAAAAAAAGCATGGCATGCGCACGCCTGGTCGAGAGTTCACGAAAGCACAAGCACCTGCACCCCCCGCTCGAACACACGCATATTTAAACCGTCCTTGTTAATTGGGCGCACACAGCACATTGTAGCGCCTGTTTCGGGTTGACTCATTAGTCGATTCTTCAAGCCGCAAGCATTTTTCGCACCCGCCCCCTACTAATCCCTCCCTCCTGCAGATTTCACTTTGTGCAGGCACTCGCAGACGTCAAACCCCCAAGTCGCCGCGCTGACCATTAGCCCGCAGCGTCACAGTGTGGGCACATCGCTGTGCCTGGTTTGCTGCTGCGGCAACTGCAAAGCTGCTGGCTACCGCTTCCCCCTCTTTGCCAATCCGTAGACTGGAGGAGGGGCCTGCTCCATGGTTGGGACCGCAGATGGCGGCACCACCACAGCCGGCGCGGGCGATGGTTGCGGACTTGGGTGCGAGGCTCCATCGGTGGTACCGGTAGGAGAGTTGGCGGAACTGGAACCCCCTGGCGAGCTCACGGGGGTTAGGTCTACGGGCTCAGGGGTGGGGTCGGTCGTTGCCTGCCCGCTACGTCCTCCAGTAGCGGGCGAAGAAGGAGCGGGGGTTGCAGGGGTTGCCAAAGGGGGCGGATTGGTGAGGCCGTTGTGGCTGGGCATAGCAGGCGGTTGGCGCAACGGTTGCAGCGTGGGCGAAGGCGTGGGAGATGTGGCTTCCCCACCAGAGTATGCGGGTGGTAGGTTTATGGCAACGGGAGTGTCAGGAAGGGGAATGCTGGCGGGAGGAGGGGCCGGTCTTTCTCCAGTCCAAGTGGGAGAGCCGGGTATGGAGGTGGTGGTAGGAAGCGGCGGCGGCGGTGGTGATGGCGGCGGTGGTGGAGGAGGCGGTACTTGCTGCGGCGGCGGGGGCGACGAGGGGATTGGAGGCGGTGGTGGGGGCGACGTTGATGAGATCTGAACTGGTGGTGACGAGTAGTCGTAGGAACAATCCGGGTCGTCAAAGTCTACCAGGCCATCGCAATCATTGTCCAAACCGTCCCAGCAGGTGTCTGCAACATTCTCAACTGTGTCAGTGAAGCGGCAGACCTTCAGATCTGCCCGAACACTCGTCTTGACGGAAACCCGCGCGGTCCAGAGCACACTGAGGTTCAGGGGCGAGCTGCTGCGCCAGGTGCCTCCCGGTGCAAGCGAGGCCAGCCGCACGGAAACCGTCGCATCCAGCGGCGAAGCACCCGGGTACCAGTAGATACTCACATTGCTGTTCAGATCCGCGGGAAGAATGTCGTACGAATCGGCGGATTGACGGTAGCCGACCCAAATGGATGGCGGGCTGATGCCGGACTCAGCCCCATCGCCCGCAGCGGCCCATGCTGCGTTGATACGCATGAAGGAACCCGAGCTAGTCGCGGGCGGGGTGGTGCGGCGCTGGTACTTGAGGTTCAGGCCCACGGTTTGACCGGGGCGTAGGCTGGAGCTGTCAAGCGTTTGTGCGGGGCTGTCCCAGCCAACCTGCCACATGTGGGGCGCGTTGAAGCAGCGGCTGGTGCAGCAGAAACCCATGGCGCAGGTGTCGTCACAGTACTCGCATTCCGAGGTGGCGGCGTGGCGCAGGTAGTAGTTGTGGCCCAGCTCGTGGAGCCAGGCCTGCGGGTTGGCCCAGTGGTCGCCGGACAACCAAGCGTAGCTGTAAACGCCCTGCGGAGAAAGAGGTGGGGAGAGAAGGATGAGACAGGATTCGGGGATGAATAGTATTGGAGCTGTGGGAGTTGCTGGCCTGTGATGAAAAATTAAAAAGCATGTGAGAAGGGGGGGGAAGCAGTTCGGCATTTTGCCATAAGCCACCCGGCCACTACTAAATCATGCTCACATAGGCTTACCCCTGCCAGTTTAGCTTAGCCTGTGCAATTCCTGTTACCCGCCTGCCCAACCACCCTACCGGCCAATAAGGTGGGCTCTCCACCGTTCGGTCCAGGTTGTGTGACGAGTTATCGACGGGTCCGATGGAGCCCAGCCCCGTCCAGGAGCAGTCCACGTCACCGTTCACCATCCACTCCCGCTTGTTCGCCGAGGTGACCACCACACGGTGCCGGTAGGCGCTGATGTCAATGCCGTTCTGGTCCGCCCAGTCCTCCGCAGCAAACTGCCAGCCCCAGTAGTCGCCCTCCTGGCAGGAATCCGTCCGCCAGCCGTAGTAGTCCCAGGTCGTGCCACTGTAGCGGACGGGAGGATTTAAAGGGGTACATAATCCGCATTAGGCTGGATTTTAAGATTGCGTATAGTCAAGCTTGGGGAAGGGAGGGTGGGAGGAAGCAAGGCAAGAAGCAATGGTGCGCAATTGCGTCGAGAAGGGAGGAGAAGGTCGAGCTACTGGGAGGGGAGAGATGGCGGCAGGAGATGGGTGGGAAACTGCTATCAAGGGCATAAGACGTCGCCCAAGACGTCGCACTCATTGGGTCGGGCGAGCAAAGCGTTAGGTAACAGTGTCAGACATTCATGCTGCAAACAAGCTATGCATACTAGCATTCTTCCGGCCTGTCGCTTTACCTGCAGTCTAGCGGGACGGGGCCCAGTATGAGGACATTGTCACGATTGAACCGGGTCCTGCCGTACGAACATGATGACATGTACGATTGGAGATTGTTGTTTGCTCTGTCAAAGAGCACGTCCTCCAACTCCTGCGGGGTGTGGAGCGGTGCAGTACGGCCATGGGCCATCACAGAGCAACATAATCGGTTGGAGGATCCACCAGTAAGGTATGATAGACGAGAAAAAAGCAAACTGAGGTGCCTGCAATACGTCCCCAATGTGTGTACGCTGGCTCCTTCCTGCCAACCCACCTCTACGCTCATCGCCGGCCCCTTGCCGCACATGTCCAAGATGAAGATCACTGTTGACACGTCATCCATTACCAACCGCTGTGAGTTGTACGAGAAAGACACGCTGTCATCGGACGACAGCTCAGCATCCCGTACATTTACAACCCCCGCCGTAGCAACTGAGCTGCTGCTACTGCTGGCCGGCTGCTGCGGGTCTAACAAGCGCCAGTCAAGCACGGTAAGGCTGCGCCTGGGGGCGGTTGCAAGGTGTGCCTGATGCGTGATCGCCTCCTGCAGCCTATGACGAGCAGTAGGGCCCGTCGAGTTGGCAGCCGTGCGTGATCTATTATGGCTGCCACTATGCAACACGGTTTCGGACGTCCGAGCGGTGTGTCGCTGGTGCTGTTGCACCTTTGTTGCAGAGGGTCCTGACGGACCCATCCGCCTACCACGCAGACGTAGGTCGCCGGTGACATGCGGCTTCGAGCCGGCTGAATCTAATAAGCGCCGCCGTGTTGCTTTGCCTGAGCCCTGTCCAGCGCCGGCTTGGCTGCTAGGATCGGCGACGGTACCTGCAGCAGCAGCACTAACTGCATCCTGGCTAGTCGCGACTTGCACCTCAACTTGGACGCCCGATCCAAAGCGCTGAGGAGGTTTGTTGCCATCTGGGAAATGCAGAGGCCAGACGTGGCCAGAGCTGTCGCGCAAGACGAAGTGCGTGTCCCGAAAACGAGCATTGTCAACCGCCGGTTCCGAAGAGTCATGGTAATCGACATCTACGACCACCAGGCGACCTGAGAGGGAAACGGAATGCATAGTTAATACGGAGACCTTCTCCTGGGCTGTTCATTGCCGCCGACCTGTGAACGGGCGGCTGTCGACAAGCAGTGTGTACCCCGACTTCGCGGTAGTTAGGAGCCCCAAAATAAGACCAGACGTCTAAATGCATATAAACAGTGAAGAAAGTGCGCGAAAAGTGCCTTGCTCAAGACCTAGCCAAGAGCACAGTTACCATCCCGGTCGCCACCATAGACTGTACCTTGCAATGTAAGCGTTGACATCACATCGCCGCAAATGCGTGCAGGCACGTAGGCAAGGATAAGAGCCAAAGCCAAAAGCTCTGGCACCATGGTACTTCAGACCTCACTCAGTGTCTGCTAAACGTCAATCAAGAAGGTCCTACTCCTGCAGAGGAAAACCCTTTTTAGATACGGCGTTGGCTGCGTTCATAGAGCGGTGGACAGCCAGACGAAGTGAGGTTAAGCTCGGTTGGTAACCCGACGCCATCCCCATCACAGGCTACACAACGAAAGGGTACCACGCATGCAACACGCTCCAAGCTGTTAACTACAGAGAAGTTTGCGACAAATACATATGACGGGCCGGAGGTTGAAAAAGGCCGCTTCCGCCAGCCTTACCTGCATGTTATTCAGCGGAGCGCATCATACTGGCTGTTTGAAACCGTTTATGCCTATCAAACGGATGCGGTGCTGAGGCCAGTTCGCTGACACCTTCAGCTATGTATGTGCAGTATTTTAACTACGAGACAGCGTGTTATTTGATGTACACCTGTATATTGATAACAGTCTGTCTTATAGGCATATGCATATATGGGAGCAGAATTGTGCAAGTGTCGCAAACGGGCTGTCGTACTGCAGTTTTTTCACAGACCGAATGAAGGCCATCGTCAGTTAGCCTAATGCTAAAAGAACAAGGGCGTGGAACAGAAGACACAGATGGAGCAGATGGAAAAAAGTGCAGAGTGAACATCAGCTTCAATCTAGGTTCCTAATAGGTATTAGTGAGCGCCTTCAACATACACATACCATCGGAGCTCGCCGTCTAATGCCGCGCAACATTCCTGTAAGTTAGGAACTCAATTTACTATAATTTGCACAAATGATCAGACTGAGAACCATCTATTCTGCCATGGAGTCACGCCCTTTCCCAGTGCCGTATTCTTATGACAAACACGGTGTTTAAGCCTCTATGTTGCGCGGGAATAGTATCATACTTTCCCTGGGGTGTTTTCAAGACAGACATATAGGTCAACACGCACGTGTTCGTTTAAATGTTGAGTTCGCACCACTACCGTTTCTCATGGCTTTCGGATGGTAATGAAATTCATCCTCCCAATATAGAGGCACGCGGATCCTCGTGTACACTTTAAGGTTTCAGCAGCGCTCGCGTCGGTTGGTTGCAGGCAGCGGTGTGCGCCATTCTAAACGGTTGAGTCGGTGGAACACCTTTGCGAAAGCTTACTTCCATGCCATGGAACGATTTATGCTTTGGAGTAACCTACTAAGCGCGCTCGAAGCGCGCACAGGCATTCCACGATTGCGGCACATACTGCTTTTCGTTTAGGACGGCAATATCCACCTGATTGATACAGTCATATAAATTTTCAAGAGACTTTGCGGACGGCAGAGCTGCTGTTTCATGAGCTCCAATCAACAGGTTACGATGGCTTCAGGCACCTAGAGTCGTAGGATAGGAAGTCTGTGTAGTTGAGTAAACCCACCGGGTATTATCACTGGTTGTCTGCAGGGTGCAATAATGAGACCTGTTCGGCTGTCAGGAAGCAAAGCGTCCCTCGTGCGACCCGTCGCGCATCCTGCCAACTCATCCTGCCATCTCGCACACTCCGTCGACAAACACACATCGCCACGCACGGCACGTCTCCACAACTCGACCAGAATCAAGATGCACATCCCTGCGTTGTACCACTCGCAGCTGCCATACGCTGCTCCCACTGTTCCAAGGCTTGCACACACAACATGTCAAACTCAGCATCATCATCATCATCATCATCATCTCCAACGCCAACCCCAGACGCCCTTTCCCTCCCATCTGCCGCTTCCCCAGCGCCCTCCTTCTCCTTAGCCCTGCAATGAACGCTGCCCACCACTTGAGCACCCTCCGTTCGCAGCCCCACCCGATCCTGCTTGCCATGACCCCCCTGGCTGACATCATTTCCCGCCGCAACTTTGACCGCCTCGCGGAAAACCGTACATGCTGTTGCTGCGGTTTGTTGGGCTGTTGCTGGCAGCAGCAGCTGCCGGTCTGGCTGCTGCAGCTGCGGGTGTGACGTTTGCAATTGCACCCGTAGCACAGGCGACGCTGGTGCACATGCCGGCGGTGCAGTGGCGTCCGCTGCGAGCTGCAGGCGGCATGCCTCCCACAGCTGCGGCGGCAGCGGCATGAGCGCGGAACGGAAGTCCCGACACATGGGGTCGTGGCAGCGCTGGCACCACACACCGCCTCGCAGGTCCACTGAATTCAGGCGGGCAGGCAGGCGGACGAAGGGATGCGGGTGGAGGGTGAAACGGGCGAAGGGAAACAGCCATTGGGGAAGATTAGCCAGGAGTAAATAACACAGAGCTGTGTCTTCTGAAGGGGAAACAGGTCACTGGGGCTCACAGCATGTTCGCACGCATGAACAGGAGGATGCCGGCTGCGAGGGGTTGTGAGGGTGGGGTGTGAGGAGGCGCTTCCGGACCCTGTGCAGGCTTTCATCCGTCCCTACACTGCTCCTCCGAACTCCAAGCAGTCCCATGAGCGCCCCTAGCCATCCAAGCAAGTCCCCCCCGATTGGGACTCCAGTCGCCCTCCCCCCTGACAGTGCTGTACGATAGGTGAACAACACCAGAGCGGTGTGCGGCACCTCCTGCCGTGCGGCCTCCCCTGCACCTCTACTCAGTCGGAGTCGGGATATGGGATATGGGAGCACTCCAGGTGCTGCACTTTCTCATTTATTACCGGTATTTTCCAACACCCTGTATCCCACCTTGGTAGTAAATCCCGTTGGAGCGGTGCGGCCGGCCCACGTTGGCGCACCAGCGGTTGTTGCGCATGGACAGCAGCAGGGTGCAGCTGGAGGGCAGCCACTGCCAGCAGCGCACGAAGCCGGGGACGCCGCCCTGAGGGCAGGCGACGTACGGCCGGGGTGGGGGTGGCCGGGGTGGGGGGTGTTAGCAGCGCGGTAGGTTGTAATACTGGGGTGACACCTTGCGCCCGGTCCGTATTGCATTCCGACACCACCCATGCAGCGCCTCACCTCACCACACACCGACTCGATGAATCGCTCAACAGACGGGAAAGGGGACGGACCGTACCGGAACCCCCCGCTGCCGCCGCCAACCGTAGCAGCTGCTGCCGTACCCGTACCGCCACCGCCGCCTGCCGTACCACCACCGCTGCCACCACCCCGGACACCACCGAGGCCTGGAAGCGGCAGCCGAGGGATGCCCCAAAACGCCGTGGAGGGTGGATGCATGGGGGCTTGCATGGCGGCACCACCACCCTGAGCTGCTGAGGCTGATGCCGCTGCAGCAGCAGCAGCAGATGCTGTAGCATGAAAGTGCACCAAAGCGGCAGCGCTGCTGCCTGGGAAAGCAGCGGTATTGATATCCCCAGCGACACCGCCGCCACCAGCCACAGCGCTGCTACTGCTGCCGCTGCTACAGCCGTCGCCCGGACAGTCCTTGTACAGTGTTAGGGTGCGGTCCACCCTGCCCACCACGGTAACCATGGTGGACAGGAACACCTCCCGGGCAATGCGGCGCTCCACCTGCTGCGGAAGCAGCAGCCCCGACCCGCATGCGCATGCCGCACCGCCAGGCATGCAGGGGGCGAGGGTGCCGCAGGTGCTACCTGCGATACACCGCCCGCCGGCTGCTGCTGCTGCTTCCGTTGCTGTTGCTGCACCCGCTGCTCCGGCTGCTTTTACTGCTTCTGCTCCTGCAACCGCCGCACCTCCCTCCAGGCCCAGCCGCCGCAGCAACGCCCCTCCCGCAAAGCGCCGGGTGAGTCGCAGCACGGCGGACTTACCGGCCTTGGAGCTCAGGTAGAGGCGGAAGGCCCTGCAGCCGCAGTGGTGCGCCAGGAGGACAGCAGCAGCAGCCGCAGCAGCAAGAGCAGCAGCAAGAGTGGAGGGGGTTACTGTCTCAACCGGACAAGATGCCCTTTGAGGATCGCGTGCCCCTGCTGCCCGGGCCTCCCAGTTGACATGCTGTTACTTAGGTGAACCCCTCCCTCGCCTGAGCATCCCCCCTGCCTGGGACTCCCGCCCGAATCACTGATCCAACCCGCGATTCTCCGACGCTTCTTCAACCCTTCCCATGTCACATGCCCGACATGCATCGGCGCTTGTTTCCATTCCTGACGACGCCCTTCACCCTCCTTTTTGCCTTCCCCTCTCTTCCTCTTCCTTTGCCTCTTCCTCTCATAGCACCAAAGCGTAACAGGTTACCTGGCAGCTCCAATAGACTGCTGCTGTTGCTGCTCCCAACCTTTTTTACTAGGAGCCCCTTCCACCCTTTGGGCCCTCGTTCGACACCTTTGTCCCCCAGCTCCCTCGCCGACTGCTCAGCGCCGCACGCACCTGTTGCGTGTGTAGACGGCGGGGTCAATAAACAGCGCGGGCGGGTCGGCGGGGTCCGCGGAGCGACGCACAAAGAAGGATCCGAAGCGGGCAGGGTCGGCGGCGATGCGCTCGAACAGCCGCCGCACGAAGGCATTCACATGGAAGTTATCCTGCAGTGGGTGATAGGACAGGGGAACAGGGGAGACCTACCGGTATAGCGAGTCGCAGCAACAGGCTGCGACGGTGAGTGGCCTCGTCTGAGAGACCTCGCCGCCCTTTGTCCACGCCTCCCACGTTTCACAGCAGGTCACAGCACCCCCACCTTGTTTTGTATTGTGGCACCTGCCGCCTCCTATCCCCATTGCGTCGCCCTAACCTGTGCTTCCCAGCGGCTTGGTCTAACATCGAGCCACCCACCTTGAAGGCGCAGTGCGGTATCCGCACGATGAGGTGTCGTGAGAACTTGGCGGGGGTGGTGCTGCACAGCTCCCACACCCAGCTGCAACCCGCAACACCCGCATCGCTGCCGGCCGCAGCCTCCTCGCTGTCAGCCGCAGCCCCTGACCTCTCCTCCCCAGCAGCAAGCGCAGCAGGAGCTGCACCCCGGCAGTCGCCCCGGTTCGCCGTACCCGTACCTCCCCCTGCCCCCGCTCCGGATCCAGGTCCTGCTGCATCCTCCTCCACGGCATCCTCCCCCAGGGCACCCTCCCCCAAGCCAGGGGTGGCGTCTGACCCCCCGCAACCACCGCCCCTCTCATCCACCGCACCCTCACTGCAACCGCCACAGCCACAGCCAGCGCTGCCCCTGCCGCTGCACTCCGCGGCAGCCTCGTTACCACCCTTTCCATGAGAGCCGCAGCCGCCGTAGCTGCTGCTGCTATCCGGCTGCTGCTGCTGCTCCCGCTCCTGCACGCGGCTCCCACCCGCACCCGCACCCCCTGCCGCCCCCGGCAGCATGTGTATCCCGAATGCGGCCCGCAGCTCCTCCGCCAGCAGGGACACCAGCAGCGCCACCAGGCAGTCGCCGCACAGCCCCGGGTTGTGCTGCGGCTGGAACTCCAGGTCTGACAGGGTGGAGACAAGGGGGGACAGGGGCGTGTTCGCAAGGGGAGGGGGTACGGCATTCCGGCAAGCTTTCTTAACACACACGCGCAGCGCATGCACGTCCTCCATGCAACCCCCCCCCCGCCCTCCTTCGCACTCCCCCTCCGCACCCAGCCTCACCAAAGTAAAGGTGGCAGGGCGCCCCCTCGCGAATGATCTCGTACAGGTGGCAGCTGCCCCCACCCCCCGCCGGGGCGCCGCTGTGCTCCACACACTCCGCCCACAGTCGCGCGGGGGAGGTGACCAGGAAGCGCCGCTTGCCGTCGCCGCTCAGCTCCACACCAAACACCCTGTTTTGCACCCCGCAGGGCACAGAGGGGAGGCAGCAGCAGGATGCATGAATGGATGACTGTTACAGAGGGGAGGCAGGGGGGCAGTCTGATCGACACCAAACACCCTGTGCACCCAGCACGGCACGGACGGGAGGCAGCACAATGCATGACTGACTGTTACAGTGAACCCAGACCAGAAGGCAAGCATGCAAGGGCCGGCGATCCGGGGCATGTGACCGCTGTGTTGGTACCCTTGGTAGGCTGCCAGGGTGGCACACGGACAGCTCCCCCCCTACCGGTGGAGCGTGGGGGGGGTCGGGTGTCCTCCTCACCAGGGTCCCTTCTCCCACCTTCCCTGTCAATTGAGGTCCACCCCCACCCCCACACCCCAATCCCATACGCATTACACACTACCCCATACCCACCTCAGCTGCTCCGCCCAGGCCCGGCCTCGCTGCTGGTCCAGGAAATCGAAGGCCTGCTGCTGCAGCCGGAACTCGGCACGCGGGGCGCAGCCCTGCAGCCAGGCAGGCAGGCGGGGGACGGGGCCACCGGGGCGCCAGTTGCTGGAGCCGTGCATCGCGCCTGCATCTTGTTGCTGTCCCTCTTCCTCTTCTGCGTCCCCTCCATGTTCTTCTTCTTCTTCTTCTTCTTGTTTAAGGCGTGTGGCGGGGGCTTCTTCGGCGTCAGTGGTTGCCGCGAAGTTGTGACTGCAGCCCAGAGGGCGTGTGCTGTTGACGTTACTGCTGGGGATGCTAGAGTCTTGGCCTCCAGCCGCTTCAGCTACGCGACCATCTGTGTTAGCTTGTGGGAGGAGGCGGCTGCTCGAGGTGTTCAAGTTGCTAGCGATGGAGCCTGCTGCTTCTGTCGGAGCTCCGGGCCGGCCGGAAGTAAGGGCGGGATTGGAGAGTTGCCTAGCTGCTGGTTTGTTGTAGAAGCTGATCACCACTCCAGGCCGTCTAGGTTTGCTTGGGGCTGTAGCACGTTTGCAAGGATGATGGGCAGTTTGGGATGCCTCGGAGGCTCGCTTGCAGCCAGTTGCATCATCGCGACCATATTGCGTGTCCGGTTCGGGTATTTTGTATTGCTGAGTTGCTGCAAGAGGTTTTTCTGCGGGCTTGGCAGATTTGTTCTGTTTTGGATAGTTGCTGTTCGTCCATCCGGTCATTTTTGGAGGCTGGACATCAGAACCATGTATCGGTGTGTTATACAAGAAAATCAGAGGTGTTACAGAGCTCTGATTGAGTCAAGGATATTTGTTTCCTTGCGGTTCTGTTCTTTTGGCGGGAATGTCGCCAGAGCTGTTCCACGTCAGGCATTGTAATGGTACAGTTATTAGGAAGATGCAATTCATAGTAAGTGCACTAGCAACGCGAGACACTCGCAGTCGTCCTGCTTGAATCATCCTGCAGACATTGCGATCTTCACCGTACACTACAGTACCGGTACTGTACAAGTACGCCCTTGATGTACATCTCCCTCAATCACCCTACTTAAAGAAACAGTCAGTGAACCATCTTACGTCGTTGTAACATAAGCAGCAGCAAACAAAGGAACTTAGCGGCGAGGGGAACCTCTACCCATGTCCACTGGTACCTGCCTACAGGTAGTGTACATCCGCGGAAGCCCAGGAGCCGCGTGAAGCTCCAATAAGGCTAGCTTGTTCTTCACCACAAGTGTCATCTCCACGTGTCATTGCTATGTGGTGTATGCGATGGCAGCAGGACCCGCTTTACTGTACACTATTTACTAATGCAACCAGACTGCATTACTAAGCAAGGCCTTCCCAAACGGGTAAATGACCTCTCCTTATCATGGTCCTCCTCCGCTGTCCGCTCCTTCCGCTCGTGCATACCCTACTTGCGGCTGCTGCGGGCTCGCTTTTGGGCGGCCTTGGAGATCTCCTTGCCAATGCCCTGCATGACACGGTTAGCATCGAGCATCGTGACAGCATGTACGGACGCTAACTGCCGTTCGAAAGTGTGCGCACAAGACAGGCTCAAGAGCAAAGCCCGTAGCCCACGAGTTAACAGCCCGCCCTTACATCTACCGTAGCCGCGCCCCGCCCACCTTGTTAATCTTCTCGATAGAGCTCATCTTCGCAGCCTGCTTGATGCATGCAGCGATTGCCCGGTTGATTTCCTCTAGGCTGGTCTGTAGGGGTCCGTGGTGGTTTGGGGGTTAGGGACTTTTAAAGGACGAGGCACGCACACTGTACTCGACTTTCAGAGTTATCCAGGCAGGTTGCATCAGGCGGTGTGGGCACCTGTGTGGATGTGCACAATACATAGTTGTGGGAGCACCAAACAGCGCCCACACCTCCCAACCGCTTCCAGGGCTGTAACCGAGCGCTAGCTTGAAGCAGCACAAGTGCACACCCACTGGAACCGGGCTTCAGGCAAACTCCCAGCAAACTACCACCACCAAGCAGGATGCTGGATTAGTACATTAGGGGCAGATGCACGCGTGCACTCCGGTTCTCACATGGACAGTCATTAGGCGGTCCGGTCCTCCTCCATTAGAGGAACCCTGGCGGTTGCAAGGGTTTATGCGCCAGCATACGCAGGCAGGGCAAGCACAGGCGAGACAAAGAAACATATAGACTTAACGATTAACAAATTAATCGTTAAGTCTATATGTATGCGGCTGCGAAATCATTTACCATGTCCGCGCAAGGCGTGTCTTTCGAAGCTAGCTAGCTCGGATGGATGTCCGATAGGCAGTCACTCCCGACCCTCGCTAAGCTTAAGCATTTCGTCGCACCTTTGGAGCAATCGGCTGAGCGACAGCCATGGTCTTTGTCGCAATCCTTGAGGGCGTCGACCGGCGCGTCGTCCCGATTAGCCCTTGCGTGCGTTGGCCTAGCTGCTGCGCCGCAGTAGCAGCACCAATCGAGCGCGTCTGAAGCGCGTTCATATTGCAGATACTCACGTAGCGAAGCTGGAGGGAAACGCGACAGTCAACTTGCCTACTGATTCGGCCTGTTGCGTATTTGCGTCCTCAACGGAGCGACTTAGTAGGTACCATGCTAACTTGGCAGCTATGTCGGCCTCAGTGAAACGCTCCTATCCACCTCTTGTCGAGTATCGGGCCGAGGTGTACTACAAAGCAGGTACTGCCAGCGCTCAGCAGGCACAGCACGACCTGCCTTGATGATGCTTCTGATTTCTCTTTAGCCCTTGCTCCTTTCGTCAAGATTAATTGCTACATCACGACACTTAATAGTACTTAAAGGGCCAGGCCACACGACTTGCGGGACTTTGCGGCCTTCTTACATTAGGTAACTGATGATAGACGACGATGGTTGCACTTGTGAAGTAGTATATTAGTTGTTGGGATCTACCACCTCGTACAACGTGGGCGCGAGCAGCGAGCATCGCTGCCGCGCCCGTAGATAGCCACCATGAAGTTCAACCTAGAGGGGCTGACGGTGTACTTTCCCTATGAGTACATCTATCCCGAACAATATCGGTATATGCTGGAGCTCAAACGCGCTCTGGATGCACGGGGTCACTGTCTTCTGGAGGTACGCCCACGACCGATGGTTACGACCATAACCCTTCCTGCCTCTGTGCACCCGATATCTTAGGCAATCCCTGCAACCCACAAACATGCACCCACCCTTCCTTTGCCCCATCTGCCCTCTCTTCCCTCCGCGCCTCACCCTCTCCCTCTTTCTTCTCCTTTTCCCCTCCCCCCTAACCCACTAACCCTCCGTCTGTCATGTCGATTCCTGCCGCCTTATTCCCCAATTTTGCCCTTTGTGGTTTTATTCTTTCATATGGTTTGGTCTAATTTGTCCCCCCCCCCCTTCAGATGCCCACCGGTACCGGCAAGACCATCACGCTGCTCTCCCTCATCACCAGCTACCAGCTGGCGCACAAGGAGGTGGGCAAGCTCATCTACTGCACACGAACCGTGCCGGAGATGGAAAAGGTACGACACACCCGCGGAGATGGAAAAGGTACGACACACCCGCGGGGAGTAGTGCTCGCCGACTCCCCCCCCCCGCCTTGGCACCCGGTTCCTTTCTTCTTCCTTTACCCACCCCCCTTTTCCCCCCTGCCTCCTCTGCCTCCCCTTCCCCCCTGCCTCCCCTGCCCCCCCCCCAGGTCCTCGCCGAGCTGGCCGAGCTGATCGAGTACCGCTCCAAGTACCTGGGCCGGGGTCCGGGCGCCAACGAGATCCTGGCTCTGGGGCTGTCCAGCCGCAAGAACCTGTGCATTCACCCGCGGGTGGCGGGTGGGGCGCGGGCGGGGGGAGGGGCGGGAGAGGGCGGAGGACAGGGGGAGGACGGGAAGGAGGAACAGGGGAGGGCCATGTGAGGCCTTGGGGCTGCGGAGGAGCATGGGATCGGTGGGGAAGGAGCGAGTTAGGACGGTCGGCACCTGCCCGGCAGTCAGGACAGCACAACCTCCAATCCTACCCGTACACCCACCCCAAAAAGCCCAACACCCGCCCCGCCCCCTCTGTGTGCCGCCTCGATCCCCCATTTGGCTTGCCCTAATTCAGGGTTTCTTATGTTGGGTCTTTTCTGACCCCCTCCCTGTGTGCGCCCCGCCCTGCCCTGCCCCCCCCTCCCCCTGCCTGCAGAGGAGGGCTCCCGAGAGAGTGTGGACGCGGGGTGCCGCCGGCTGACGGCCGCCTGGGTGCGCGAGCGGGCGGCGGAGCGACGCAACGCGGCAGCGGGAGGAGGCGGGGGAGGCGGGGAGGGAGGCGCCAGCGGCAGCGGTGGCGGTGGAGGTAGCGGTGGTGGCGGCAGCGGTGGTGGAGGTGGAGGCAGCGGTGGTGGCGGTGGAGGAGGGGAGGGTGGCGCGGCTGACATCGAGCTGTGCGACTTCTTCGAGGGGCACGAGAGGGCGGGGGTGGAGGCGCTGCTGCCGCCGGGTGGGTGGTGGGAGGGGGTGAGGACGGTAGGGTGGGAGGGGGTGAGGACGGTAGGGTGGGAGGGGGTGAGGACGGTAGGGTGGGAGGGGGTGAGGACGGTAGGGTGGGAGGGTGAACGTGCATGTGAACGTGTGTGAGGTGGGTGGGTGGCAGAGGGGTAGTAGCGGATCTGGTCAGCAAAGCCCGGGCGGGCGTGTCAACACACATGGACACGTGCAGCCCGGTGAGCAGGTGGGGTGCCGTACATGCTGCTCCCGCTCCCACTCCCGCACTCCCACTCCTGCACTCCCACTCCCGCACTCCCACTCCTGCAGGCAATCGGTTTACGGTTCATTCCAGCCCCTCTGCGAAGTATCCATCCGGTCGTCAACCAACTCCTTCCTCTCTTTTCACCCCACACACGCCTCATCACCTCGTCCCCTCGTCAGTCTTTTCCCACTCACCCCACTCCTTTCCTAACCCCTTGTAACCACCTCACCCCACCTCACCTCCCCACCTCCCCATGCGCTCACTGCATGAGTCGGGATATGGGATTGGGACTCGTTGTTTCACTTACTTAAGGTTTTCCCCACCTCCCCGCTGCCCCCCCAAAGGCGTGTACACGCTGTCTGACCTGCGTGACTTCGGTCGCAAGCGCGGCTGGTGCCCTTACTTCCTGGCTCGCCACATGATGTCGTTCGCCAATGTGGTGGTCTACAACTACCAGTACATGATAGATCCCAAGGTGTCGCAGGTAAGCAGGGAAGGCGGGGTGCAGGTGGGGTGCAGGTGGGGTGCAGGCGGGGTGCAGGTGATGGGAGGCTGCTTTCGCACCTGCTTTCTCTCTCCGCGTCCTTGGTGCCTCTACGGTCCTTGGTGCCTCTACGGTCCTTGGTGCCTCTACGGTCCTTGGTGCCTCTTTCCTCCGCACCCCCCGGTGTTTTCTTCTTCTTATCCTTCTCGGGAACCTCCCCAGGCGTGCAGTCATGCCCTCCTCCACCCAGTAACCCGCAATCTCCTAACCTCTATTAACCACCCCCACCCCACCCCATCCCTGGGTACCGGTGTTCTTCTCCCCCCCGCCCCGCCCCACCCCATCGTCTGTGTCTCATTAATGTTTTACCCCCCACCCCCACCCCCCCCCCACCCCCCCACCAACCCACCACCCCCAGATGGTGTCCCGCGAGCTGGAGAAGGAGTGTGTTGTGGTGTTCGATGAGGCACACAACATCGACAACGTGTGCATCGAGGCGCTGTCCGTCAACCTGCGCAAACAGACGCTGGAGGCGGCGGGAAGGAACCTGGGGCGGCTGAACAACGTAAGAGGAGGCGGGAGGGGGGGAGGATTAGGAAATTGATTAGCTGTATGACGAGGCTTCACAGTAGGCTGCTAAATATTGAACCCGGCCCAAGAAGGGGGGGGTAAAAAAATATAATGAGACCCCCAAGAGGGGGAGGGTCTCTTGGGGGTGTCCCCCCCCAAGAGACCCCCCCAAGAGACCCCCCCCCTCTCTGTGGGGGGGGGGGGTTACGGGTAACTCCCTGACGCTGCTGGCAGCCGCCTCACTTGCCCACCACCACCTTCGCAATATCCCGATGCACCTCCTCTCGGTGGAGTATCCCTTACACGGCCTGCTTCCCCATGTTTACGGCGCCCTTCCCACCCGCCCTGTCCCCATCGCCTTCCCTTTTTCGTGGCTTCCTGCATGGTGGTCGTCTTTCCTGACCTCCTTCCCAATGCCTGTTGTCACCGGTACCTGGTGTTGCCTGTCCATGTTACCTGTCATTGTCGCCTGTTGCTGCCTGCCGCCGGCCATCCCCCCCCCCGCAGTCCATCCGCAAGGCCCGCGAGGCGGACGCTGCCCGCCTGCAGGCGGAGTATAACCGACTGGTGCAGGGACTGGTGGCGCAGGTGGGGGGGGAGGGGGGGGAGGAGGGGGGGCGGGGTGCAGGGGCGCAGGGTTGTGGGGGGGAAAGAGCTGCACGAGGGAGGTTGGGGTAAAACGCACACACACACACACAGAAGTTTTATCAGGAGGGAAGGGAAGGGAAACGTGGGTTGCCGCTCCTTCTTGCCTCGTGGGCTGTTGTTCCGCAGCAGCTGTTGTAGCATGGTGGTGGTGGTGGTCTCGCATCCACCCGCCACGCTGGCTGCTGTGTTTTCCTGTCCTCGCCGTTTTCATCACACACTCCGACCCGCTGTCTGCTCCTCCCCCTCCTCCTCCATGCCCCTCCCAACCCCTCTCTACCCCCTCCCGCCCTGCAATCCTGTAATCCAGCCTAACCCAGTATCCCTAATCCCTCCCTCCCGCGCCCCCCTCCCAGGGTGCCCTCCGCGGCGGCGAGGAGTGGCTGGCCAACCCCGCACTGCCCGAGGATGTGGTGCGGGAGACAGTGCCGGGTGGGTGGGGTGGGTGGGTGGCGGGGTGGAGTGGGGTAATATTATATAAGTGAAACAACGAGTCCCCATCCCATATCCCGACTCATGCAGTGAGCGCATTCGGCGGGGTGGGGGTGGGTGGGTGTGTGAAAATGAGGAATCTGACGAGGCAACTGACGAGGCAACTGATTACAGCTTATACCTACGTATACTGCTAGGCCACGAACCAACAGCAACGCGGTTAGCCCTTTACCACAAGAAATCACCCCCTTTCCGCTCTGCCTCCCGCCCTGCCCCTGCCCCTCGCTTTGCCCTAACCTGTAGTTGTGGTATATCTTTGGCCCCCCGCCCTGACCCCCCTGCATCCTCGCCCCGCCCCCCCCCCTGTCAGGCAACATCCGGCGCGCGGAGCACTTCATGGGCTTCCTGGCCCGCTTCCTGGCCTTCCTGCGCGACAAGATGGCCGCCCCCACCGTCACCAGCCAGAGCCCCACCGCATTCCTGCAGGAGCTGCAGCAGCGGGTGCAGGTGGACGCAAAGACACTCAAGTAAGGGGGGGGAGAGGGGGGTAAAGAGGAAACAACTAACTGACTGAGGGATAAGGCGTCAACAGGGAGGGGGGGGTTTGGAGGGGGTTAGAGGGAGGGAGGGAGGGCAGGGGAAGGAAACGCCGCCGTATGCAAGTGAGGGGACACACGGGGGGGGGGGTAGACGGAGGGATGGTGGTTAGTAGAGGTTGGAGATTCCGCAGGGATGGGGACGGAGACGGGGACTGGACCCTCTTTACCCCCCCCCCTTGCGCAAGGCCCCCTCCGCCCCCCCCAACTTGTCTCATTATCACACCACAACATTGGAATTTCTCCCCCCCCCCCCGCCCCCCGCCCCCCGTCCCCCGCCCCCTCCCTCCTCAGGTTCTGCTACGACCGTCTGGGTTCGCTGCTGAAGACGCTTGAGATCGCCAACACGGACGAGTACACGCCCATCCAGTTGGTTGCGGACTTTGCGACGCTGGTGGGCACGTACTCCAAGGTGGGGGGGGCTGAGGGCGGGGGAGCAATGAAATGTGCAGCAACGACTTCCAATCCCATATCCCGACTCATGCAGTGGCAGAAGGGGGGGAGAAGGCGGGCCCTTACCAGACCAGACGGGGAGGGAAAGGGGTCAACGACCATACACCAGACCATAGGAAGCTGGTGCGGGTCCACGCAGCTACCCCTCCCCCCTCTTGTCCTTCCCCTCGTTCCATCGCAACTCTCCACGTCCCTCCCGCCCTCTGCATATCCCTCCGCCCCTGCACACCACCGCACGTCCCTCATCCGCACGAGTGCAAGGCTTCATACGGTTGGCTGGTTATGCTTCCTCTTTACCCCCCCCCCACCCCCCTCCCCCCCCCCCACCCCCCGCCCCCCCAGGGTTTCGCCATCATCATGGAGCCGTACGACGAGCGCCTGCCGCAGGTGCCCGACCCCGTGCTGCAGCTCTCCTGCCTGGACGCCTCACTCGCCATGAAGCCCGTGTTCTCCAAGTTCCAATCCGTCGTCATCACGAGCGGTGGGTGAAGGCGGGGGTGTGAAGGGGGGAAAAAGGTGAAGGGGGAGGGTGCAGGAGGGTGTGAGTTAAGGCGTTGCGTTATTGCTAGACTTTCTAGGCTACTTTCAGCCACGTTCCGTTTCGGTTTGCACCCCTTCTCACAGGCGGGTGGGTGGGCGAAGGGTTGAGGAGTCTGGGTCTCTTCGGGGAGCCTAATCGGGCCCGCCCGCTTCCTCTTCCTCCTCTGCTGCCCCTCCTGCTGCTCCTGCCCCTCTTGTGCCCCTCCTCCTCCTGCCACCCACCCACCCTCCCGCCCCGCCTCCTCCTTCCCCCTCCCGCCCCAGGCACCCTGAGCCCCATCGACCTCTACCCGCGCATCCTCAACTTCAACCCCGTGGCCATCCAGTCCTTCCAAATGACCCTCACTCGCGACTGCCTGTGCCCCGTCATCGTCACGCGGGGGGCGGACCAGGTGCGGGTGGGGAGGGCGACCGGGTCACTTGTACCGGGCCATGCCGGGAAGGGCAACCCGTAGTGAAAGACGCGGGGAGGGCGGGTAAGGGTAGACCGTCCCCAGTTTTCTGCATGGACCGCATCACATGGGACAGACCCATGGGACAGCCCCTGATACTTGGCCCTGGCTTTGTCATCACACACACACCCCCACCCCTTCAGATGGAAAGCGGTGCCCCTTCCCATTGGGCCCGTAATTACCCAACTTGCTTTTCCATCGCATCCGGCTCTTTGACATTAAAACACACAATGTGAAATGATATAAAATACACACCCGCTCCCGCCCCCCCGCCCCGCCCCCCCTCCAGATGCCCATGTCCACCAAGTTCGAGATGCGCAGCGACCCGGGGGTCATGCGCAACTACGGGCGGCTGCTGGTGGAGCTGGCGGCGGTGGTGCCGGACGGCATTGTGGCGTTCTTCGTGTCGTACCGCTACATGGACCAGATCATATCCAAGTGGCATGACATGGGCATCCTGCAGGTGCGTTACGAAAACTGGCCGCAAGTGGGGGTGTGTGCGGGTGTGGATGTGTTAAGAAAACTGGCCGCGAGGCGGAACGTACTGTGTGGGTGAGGGCGTGGGTGGGCAGGTGGGTGGGGGCGTGTTGAGGAAACTGGCCGCGAGTCGGGGGGCGCGGGGGGAGTGGTCCGTAGCAGCTTCTTTAGCCGTTTTTATTGCAAGACTGGGTTTGCCAGCTGCGTGCGTCCTTCTCTTGCTCGCTCCCTTCACCCCTTCTTTCCATTCCTACTCCTACACCTACTCTGAACCCAGCCCATTGCGCTAGCCCCATCATCAACCCTACACCTCTCCCCTCGCACAACGGTTTTGTTTTTTCCCTACATATGTACATGACTCTATACATATATACCGTATGTATACCTTATATGTGTATCGACTTATACCGGTGTATATTTAGATTGTATATGTACCGGCAATGGTACCTGTCACCTGGTTTGCCATTGCCATGCAACACAAGTCATCTTCTGCTTATTCTTTTCCCCGCTCCCTATCCCCACAGGAGATCATGCAGCACAAGCTCATCTTCATTGAAACGCAGGTGGGTTCCCGCGGGTGGCGGGAGGCAACACACGCGGGAGGCAAATACCACACCGGGTATCAAACCATAGGAAACACCACAGCTTAGGGGGCAAAGCAATGGGGATAGCAAGCGGCAGGGTGGGGAGGGGCGGCAGCAGCGCCCTTCGACCGCCATCTCCTTCACCCCCTCCCCCTCCACCAGAGATTGTCAGCAACTTGTATCATTATCATACCACACTTTGGAATTTCTTTTTTCCCCTCCCCCTACCCCTTTAAGTGGATCCTCATGGCTCCCACATCCCTCCCTGCCCCGCCCTCTCAAAAACGCCACCCCCTCCCCCGCTCCCCCGCTCCCCCGCTCCCCCGCTCCCCCGCTCCCCTGCTCCCCCGCTCCCCCGCTCCCCCGCTCCCCCGCTCCCCCGCTCACCCGCTCCCCCGCTCCCCCCCTCACCCGCACCCCCGCTCACCCGCACCCCCCCTCACCCGCTCCCCCGCTCACCCGCTCACCCGCACCCCCCCTCCCCCGCACCCCCCCTCACCCGCTCCCCCGCTCCTCACCCGCACCCCCCCAGGATGTGGTGGAGACCACACTAGCGCTCGACAACTTCCGACGCGCCTGCGACAGCGGCCGGGGGGCGGTGTTCCTGTCCGTGGCGCGAGGCAAGGTGAGGGAGAGAACATCCACACCCACACCCCCATGGTGAAGCCACCGTGTCATACTGCTCTTACAGCTCCTCAGTTTCCTCATTCTTACCCACCCACCCACCCGTTGTTTCACTTATTTAATTTTTTACCCACCCCACCCACCCCCAACCCCACCCCCAACCCGCTCGTCTGCTTGTTTCCCAGCCTCATTTAACACATGGGGCATTCTTCTTCCCCCCCCCAACCCCCATTGCTTTGCCCTAACTTGTGGTCTACTATGGTTTGGTACCTGGTCTTTGACACCCCTCCTGCACCTCAGGTGGCGGAGGGCATCGACTTCGACCGCCACTACGGCCGCGCCGTGGTGATGTTCGGGGTGCCCTACCAGTACACCCTCAGTCGCATCCTGCGCGCGCGGCTGGAGTACCTGCGCGAGACCTTCCAGATCAAGGAGGCGGACTACCTGGCCTTTGACGCGGTGCGGCAGGCGGCGCAGTGCATGGGGAGGGTCATCAGGAGCAAGGCGGACTATGGTGAGGTGGGCGGGGTGGGTGTGGGTGTGCGGGGGATGGGGGGGGGGTTTGAGGGCGGAGGGGGGGTAAAAGGTATAATGAGACACTGACGGGTGGGGTGTGGGGGTTTGGGGTGTGCGGGGGTGTGGGGGGGGTTGAGGTGTCCTGACAGGGAGAGGGGGAGCATGCGTGCATGGTTTGGTCGAATGCAGGGGTTGGGTGCATGCAGGGGAAGGAGCCCTGTGGTAGGGAGACATGTGCGCTGCCTCCTATCCTGCCCGGCTTCACGTATCTCGTTTTCCCCCTGCCCCCTGCCCCCCCTGCCCCCCCTGCAGGCATGATGATCTTCGCCGACAAGCGCTACCAGCGTCACGACAAGCGCGACAAGCTGCCGCAGTGGATTACCCGACACCTGCGGGAGGCGCACATGAACCTGTCGACCGACATGATGGTGGGGGGGGGGGTGAGGGGACAGGGGTTGAGGGGGGCGTGTGGGGGGGGTATAGAGGAGATGGATATCTTTCGTACAAGGTGGCATTGAAAGCTGCATGTTGGCGTGAGGGGGCGAGACAGCAGATGGATGTTCCGCACTGGGTGGTGGGGCGTGAGGGGGTCTGCAATACATGTAATAGCTTCTCACGATCCTCACCTCACTGTTGCCGTACACGCTTCTGTCCTGCCGTACCGCTCTCTGTACGGCACTCAGGTTCACGTGGCCCGGGAGTTCCTCCGTTCCATGGCCCAGCCGTACGACCGGGGCGCGGTGGGCAAGAGCCTGCTGAGTGAGGCGGCGCTGGCGGCACTGGAGGCGGCGGGGGGGCTGGAGGGGGCGGGGGCGGCGGGGGCGTGAGGGGAAGGGGAAGGGACGGAAGGAGTAGCAGAGGGAAGGGGCACAGCAGGCAAAGAGGAGATAGCTGGCGATGGGGTATGTGCTGAAGAGTGGTGTGATAACTCGGGGCGCGTGTGTTGTAGTGTTTTAAAGAGAGGGATGCAGCTTGGTGCGGTTGACTGTCTTGCTGTCGCCATGTGCTGCTACTGAAACATTCGAGTTGCTTGGCTGGGCGGATGAGCGAATAGAGGCCTCGAAGGGCTTTTGCAGGTGCTTGCGATGAGTGTTGTCTTGTTTGGCGTGCGTACGTTAATGGGCGTTGGGCAGGTGTGGATGCGCAAGGAGGCTGACCGAATTGTAGACAAGCTCTCTTATATTGTTTGTAGCAGGAAAACCGCCTTAAAACGTATTAGGACATTCGGGATCTCGGCAGGTGAGGGGAGGTGACAGCGCAGGTTTAGTCGCACATATGGCTTTTACTGCTTGACTTGGATGGGTAGCAAGGATGGCATCCAGTGCTTCCACCGAGGGGAGCACTGGAACATGAAGGACAGAATGTGAGCGATAGAAGTGTTGCAGGACGTTGGCCTGTTGGAAGTATACGGCAGATGTGGAATGTTGCGGACCAACGGCGAACCAGGGGTGCAACAACATGTGCAATACCTAATAGGGTCTGGGGCACACTCCAAAGGCACCACATTTGCCCAACCATATATAGGGGGGATGGTATGCACATGGAGCGTGTAACCTGGACGCCGTCCCTAGGGTGGGGTCGGCCGTTTACTTGCTGCCTAACGAGTGGATGTACGCAAAGCCACTTACTATTAAGGCCATAAGATTGTTTGGATTGCATGAAACAGATTTTTAATTACGTAAAGACGCAGAAATTGGCAAATTGCAGTTAACTGCCGTGCCTCCGCATGGTACGGCAGTTTTCGCGCCAAGCTGTTTTCCCAGGAGTGAGGCTGAGTTAACATTCTTAAAGTGAGCTCAATTGCCGTGTTTCCACTAGAGGCTTGGGTTAGTCAAGTATATAGTTTATACGCCGCCGACCCTTACCGCTAGTTGAGGTAACAATGGCCGACAGCGACCCCAGGAAGGAGATTATTAAGAACTCCATTCGCGGTGTTCCTGATTTCCCCAAGGCGGGCATTTTGTTCTGGGATGTCACCACCATCATGCTGAACCACGAGGCCTTCAAGCATACGATCGACCTGTTCGCGGAGCACTACAAGGACAAGAAGGTCGACGTTATCGCTGGTATGTAAATTCGTCGAAGTTACCCACATGCGCCTGGACCCGTTATACCACATTCGTGCCATCGTCTGCAAGCGCCGCCTAAGCTCCCTTTACAACCGTGGATCGCATGCAGGCTTTGAGGCCCGCGGTTTGATCTTCGGAGCACCACTGGCGCTGGCCCTGGGAGCTGCCTTCGTACCGCTGCGCAAGCCGGGCAAGCTGCCAGGTGGGTTTGCCTGGGGCCGCCTGGCTGCAGGCATTGCCATGCGTCGTATTCCCGTGGCGTGTGCTAAGGGGAGTTTGGGGGCTGACCAACAGGCGAGAAGATCTCGGAGGAGTACAAGACGGAGTACAGCACGGACAAGATTGAGATGCACGTGGGTGCTATCCAGCCAGGACAGCGCGTTGTGCTGGTAGGTGTGGGGAGCCAGGGCCGGTGCCTGTTCCATGGTCAAGTGTAGTGTGGAACCAACACAACAGACAGCTTAAAACCGTAAGCTTGTTCCAAACCCGCCGCATAGCGTACGTCATCCTCTTTCCCTACCCCTGCAACCGCGAGTTAAAGTACCAGCCTTGCAAGTCAACTAACTACGGTGAATGACTCGAGCATCAACAAGCCATACGGCGTCCCTTTGCGCTTTAAGTGCCATCCTTATGTCCTTTCGTCACCAGACCGTCCTCCATTCCCTTGGCAAATCCACAGGTGGATGACTTGATCGCCACTGGCGGCACGCTAGCAGCGGGCATCAACCTCGTCAGTAAGTACGCTGCGTTTGCCAATGTGCATGGATCCCATAAAGCCACAGCTGCATTATGACGCTGTGATGCCGTGCGCACGACAGCATGGACGGGCGCGAACACAGCAGCTCCCACCCGTCCCAACCCACGCCTCAGTCCAGCAGGGGACATCTCGCCACGTTACTATCCCACCAAGCTCCTACTAACAGCTAACACCTACACCCTAGCGAATACGTAGCCGCTTCGTCCATTTGCATCATGACAAGCATGTCTGCATGTATATCCTGTGCATGTCATTCGTTAAGCTATCATGCCACATGAGGTACCGGTATCACGTCAAAGTCTAAGGCCTACAGCTACCTAACCTGCTACACCACACACCCCCTCCGTACCCCCACTACGGAGTTAGTTGTTTCCTCTTTACCCCACACTAACCATCACGCCTTCCGCACCACCGCCCCAAGGAAGTCGGCCAGGGTCACCATGCCAGCGACTGACCCGTATCATGCAAGCGCTTACTCCCCTACCCGCTCCCTTCACCCCCAACAGAGAAGGCCGGCGGCGAGATTGTGGAGGCAGCATGCGTCATCGAGCTGCCCTTCCTCAGAGGCCGGGAGAAGATTGTCGACACGCCGCTGTTCGTGCTTGTAGAGAAGGAGGGGCTATAAGGGGCTTGTTACACCCGGCCTGTTACACCAGATAGGAACTGGTGCAGCTAGGCGCCAGTACGTGACAGTGCTTGCTGCAATCCACGTCGCCGTAAGGCTGCCATCCACCATGAAGGGCCCTCGTGAGCTTGCACCCTGAAGAAGCGGTGCATATTAAAAGGCGGCAGCCAATGCCTAACTCTATTTCCGGGTGTAGTAGAGGCCGGGGGACGAAGACGTCCTGCTTGGCAAGAGGTGAATTCCCATGGTTGTACCGGCACCGAATCGCATTGAGGTGCTGCAGTACACCGTGCGAGTGATGGTAACTGTGATGAGTAGAGATGTTGTCATCGAACTATAGGGCTATAGATATTGCTGCAAGCGCCACGGCAAGCGGCCGTGAGACGCACTGGAAGGAGTGGGTGCGGGAACACCCACCGGGGCTGCAGCTGCTGCGGCTATTTCTGCCTGTAAGGGCTGGCACGCTTTAGTGCAAGGGACATCGTGCTGACGAACTCCTCCTTTGTGAGCTTGGTCCCGCTCCTGATATTCACGTCTGATAGGTCTGCGGACGGCCCCAGGATGACCTTGAGCGCACGGTTTGCCTGCTCCCCGGTAACGGTGCCGCGGTTTGTAATGTCGAACATCCCAAACATGGTTTCGAGGTCCTGCTCTGTTATAAGAGTAGTTGTCCCGCAAATTTTGGCGTTTTCGAGGTACTTCACGATGTAGTCACGCGGGCTGTCCGGCTTGTAGAAAAGGAGCTCCGCGGTGATGGCCTACATGAAAACAACTTCGTCATTTTACACAGTTATTGATGTAAGAGGACATGCTACGTGCCCATCCCAAAAGTGGGCTACATGCAAGTTGAACGATGCCCGCACCGACCTCAAGCAGCTGTGGAATTTTATTGCTTTCAAGGTACGTTTCCGCTTGTATCCTTGGGTCCGCCATTGTAGTAGGAGAGAAATGTGCAGGCGTAGTTGGTATTGGGCACTGGAATTTTCTATTCCTAGTTTATAAGAGTTACTTGCGAGGCAGAGAAGGGTTATCAATACCAATTGCGACGTGTCTAAGCATCATTTTCTCGCGCTGGTCGCGACGTGAGTACCAGTGTGGATATGCCGTACATCACGGCATTCGGAGCGTGTGTTAAAATAACTGGCCGCGAGTAGGAACGTGTGTGCGTGTCCATACCTAGCGTGTGTTCCCAGCAGCGGCAATCGGAACTATTGGGGCATTCAGCGCAACAGGAGCGCCAGGTGAGTGCGGTTGCATAGGTTATAGCCCCCCAGTGTACCCTCTCTTAAGGTACAGTTCCCTCTGCTGACCAGTATCCTTTATCTTTTGTAACCCTTACGGCCGAGCGCCTTAATGATTGTTGCGTGTATCAACAACTAATAAGGCAGCCCATCACGCAGGATAACGACCAACGAGCCCGCCAACACACGCTGGCATGGCATGTGCCCGAGTAACACTGTCGGGTCAATAATATCAAACCAGGGATACATGCAGACCCCGAGCAACTCCGCAATGATGCGCTCATGTTAGAGCCGTACGTCAGGACAAGTCCTCTACAGCTTTACCCGTACACCGTACAATGCCGCAGGCCCCACCAACTCGCGCCAGCAAACACAGTGCGGAAGGCCTACCTATCCTCCAGTAGCGCACATTACAGCGCCGAACTAATCCACGGTGGCACATGAAGTATTGCCCCCACGCGCCTAACAAGCTACGCACAGCAATTAGCAACTTACTCCAAGATCCGATGTTCGGCATCTATAACAAACCCGCTAATTCCTGTTACGCAAGGCTGGATATCCAAGGACGACCACCTAAGGCGGCGCCAAAGTCCAGCTGACGCGCCAGCCCTAGAAGCCCCAACCGATCCTAACATGCATTCCTCTTCACACAGCAACCTTCACATAGCGACTTTCCGGAAGGCTAAAGCCGGGTCCCCAAAGCAGCTATTTCGCCAGCGACTTGCGCAGAGCCTCTGACACCAGCATGCCTGCGTATTGCGCCCCCTCCTTCCCCTCGCGTATGTCTTTCCGCCGGGCCGCCAGCAGCATTGAAAAGTGCAGTTGCTGCTGACGCTTAAGAGCCTCCGTCTCACCAACACCATGCGCTACAAGGGTCTCCGTCTTGAGGGCAAGGTTGAGCTGTAGCTTCCCAACGGCCTCATCGATGGCTGAGGCATTCAGGGCATCCAACGCAGGCGCTGCAGGTACAGCGCCAGAGTCGCTGCTGCCTTCCGCCGCTGCCGCTGACGGCGCGTCCGCGGCTGCCGAGAATGCTCGAAGTGTGCTAGGCAGGCGCCCGACACTCGCTAGTTGCGCTGTAGGGGTGGGTGAGGAAGCGGGTATGCGGGCATGGAAAGCAAGTGAGCGCAGCGCGCTCGCGATGTACTTTTATATTTATTTCAATGTTGCAGGAAACCACCCGTAATGCTTAAGCTAAGATGAGTGGCGGCACAATGCAGCCCAACCTAACTCACCCCGACACAGTGCAGAGCATGACGATACCAGGAGAACCGAGTTCATCTTGCTATGAAGATACTGTTAAGAACGACGATTGGGTCCGGCTAATCCCACGAACTGCTTGATGATTGCGCGATGTAGAGACGGCGAACGCTTGAAGGCAGGTCTAATAGGTGCAGTAGAACTGGGAAGTATGAAAAAAAGAACATGTTCAGCATGTTCGCCTCTTCGCCATGCTATGCAATGTAACGTGTCGTGGATTTGTCGTCCATGTACTTTTGAACCATGGCGACGGCAGATACCCGCAAATCACAGCGACCGTTTTCCAGAGTCAATCGCATATTGTATATGTTTTCTACCGCCTAATCAAATGCTCCGAGCGCGTTGCGTTGACAGCCTAGCCTTAAGGCTACGACCGTAGTTGCTTCCACGCGAGGACATAATCCGGCTCATGTTTCTAGGATGGTATTGAATTACGCTTAGCTCGTGCAATCTGTAGCACGGCGAGGACAGGTCGTTCACTATGTCAAACGCAAATGCCGTGGTCGCCTCGCTTGCGGAGCAGCGCAGTATTAACGTCTCTAACTCCGAAGACGACCTTTCAAAATTCATAGAGGGTGCGTACTAGTCGCCCGTTGAAGTAATGGCGCTCCGAACGGGACCCAGGGGACCATTTAACATTCTTTACGCAGGACTTCGCGCGAAGTACGGAGGACTTCAGCCGCTGTTCGCAACAGCTAATGGACATGCGGGGGCTCCTCAACCATCGGGAGTTCCTGTGGGTAGGTCATTTGGCCAACTTTGCAATTTCCATCATCATTGCCTTGGCGTGATCGGGTCATGCCGCTCTCTTACCTCGACCAATACAAATCCCGCAGGCCATAATGAAGCGGAACAAGTCGCGGCAGGGGCAGGCCGCGCCGCAACCGGATCCTTCATGCCGGAGGACACGTCCCTGGCGGGAACTTCTGCCTTTAACGACAGCAGACTTGCACAGCTCCGATCCAGCCTGCAATCCCTTCAGCTCTTACTGCCGCCACGTAAGACCACCGCTGCCAACCTACTCGACAGCTTCATGGCCGTGTCAGAAGAGCATTCCGCCGCACCTGCACCACGCCACACAGCTGAAGGCACCCTGTTGGAGGATGGTGATAGCGCCACATCTGCTCCGGAACCAGTGGGCGCGCTTGCTTACGCTCCGGAGCCGCTTACTGCCTCTATATATGACCTGAGCACAGATGACCTCGCTATCCCGCATGCCGAACTGTCTCACCGCCCAATCCAGCTGCAGAGGGGATCTCCGCCAGAGGCTGCGATTACAGCACAACAATACACCAACAGCTCAGAAGTAGTCCCCCTAGAGCCGCGCCTCGGCGCCGCGGCAGCAGCAGCAGTGCCCACGCAGCCAGCAGCTGCTGAGCCTGGACGCACAGCTGTGGATGCACCCCTGGATGCCGCCTTCATGGAATTGGCCGCCGGCTACCGCCGCCGCTCTTTCCAAGCGGGGCCATCTCTTGAAACCTCCGCCGCGTCGTCGGCTGGAGGGTACGGCAGCGGGTGTGGGCTGCCTGCGCCTCTGCAGCCAGCGCTGCAGGAGGCGGTTGTTGAGGGCCACCAGTGTGGTCCCGAAGAGTGCGGTAAGGATGGTGGCTTCCCTGTGCAACCCCTGCATGCCGCACCAAGCGTCTACATCTATGGAAACCAGGATGCGCTCTCTAGGCTCGCCCAGACGGAAGTCGCTGCGCAACCGCAGTCAGCAGCGCTACCGTGCACCCAGACGAATGGTCTTGGGGCTAGTCAAGGGGCGCGCATGGAGCAGCACTGCGCTGCCACGCAGCAGCTGGGTTTGGAGAACGCAGGGAGCAGCGAGGAAGTCTGCCTGCCGCGGCTGCTGCCCTCAGCCGTGCAGCCGCACACAGCGGGAGGTGGGGATACGGCCCCCACCGCCTCGCCGGGCGGACATGCAAGCCGCATGGGTGCTTCAACCGGCCCGTCCAGTCGTGAGGCGTGGCAAGCCCCGCAGCTGCCGGTCTCGTACACCGGTGACATCTCGGAGGGCGGTGACGGCGGCCCTCAGGGGTCATTTGCGTGGGATAGCTACCCTGGTGGCGTGGCAGCAGAGCCGTACGGCGGCGTAGCGGCGACTCCAGCATCCGTTGCACCCTTAGGGTCGACAGGCGTTGAAGAGAGGCTGTTGGATCCCAGCCGCAGTTCCGAAGGCAAGGCTCATACCGTGCAAGCCGCCATCTACACAGACCCCACCTCAGCTGACGCTTTGCTGTCTAGACAACAGCTGGACAACGCTCCCAGCATGCTCAGGACTATTGCTGAAGGCGCTTCCAGCAGCTGCGAGCCGGCAGCTGGTCGGCATTTCCTGCTTGAGCGGCCTAACGGCGGCGGTTCCGCTGGCGGTTGGTCCTCCGGCGTGTCGGCAGGTGGGGCGGGCGCAGGCGCCACACGCGAAAGCAGCGCAGCATGGGAGAGCGCGGACGAGGTGGCGGTGGCTGCAGAACGCAGCAGCAGCCGCTGGGCGACGTTGGTTGGGGGTCCAGTGGCAGGAGCTGATGCGTCAGTAAAGGCTGCAGCGGATGGGAAGGAGCAGCTCTGGGTCGAGGCGGAAGCGCTGCAGAGGGAGGATGACGCTCGGGCCGAGCCTGACGGGGGCTGCTTTGCTGGTAATGAGACGTTCAGCAGCCAGCAGCTGCTGCAGTCTGGGGACGGCAGTGGTAGCGCCTTGCAAACAAAGGACAGCGGCTTTGCCGTGGAGGCTATGGTGGTGGGTTTCGGAGAGGACAGCGATGGCAAGTACGGCATGCGGTGGGAATCCCAAAAGGTGCAGTACGACTCACGGTACGACACGCTAGGGGAACGCGGTGGAGACGACCAGCTGCTTGGGTGGTCCGGGCTTGCGGAGGATCAGGAAGAGTACGAGCATCACCATGCGCTAGCGGAGGAGGAGGGGCATTTGCCTGCGAGTGTCGCAGACTTGGACCATGACAACCATCACCACGACAGCGGCACAGACCACACCTTGCATGAGCCGGTTGCCCCAGCTGAAGCTGAGGAGGGGGGGCAGCAGCAGCGGCAGCGCCGTCGGTGGGCCAGCCCGCCTGCCCCCCGTCAGCCTGAGCTCGCCTTGTGCTACCAGGAGGAAGGTGCTGTTGTGGGCGCTGGCAGCCCGGCCGAGGAGGCGGCTGCTTCGCCTACGGTCATGAGGCCTGAGAGCGGTGGGGCCCGCTGTCACATTAGTGGCCATCAGTTTGACTGGCGCCAGGAAAGCGCTGAGGGGGTATTGGACGGGGATGCGAGGAACACGGGCTTAGTCGTCGGTAGTGCGCGTGGCGCATGCGAAATCCAGGGTTCGGATGACACTGCTTCAGAGGATGGACCTTGGCCCGAAGCCCAGGGCGCCAACACCGAGGACCCCGTGGTGCGCAAGCCGGCAGCTGATGAATCAAACGCAGCATGCGGCGAGTCGGCATGCGAGCGTGACGGCACGACCTCTGCCGTGGAGGACTCTTTGGCCGCCAACACCATCCGACAGCAACCACATCAGCTTCGGCAGCTGCAGGAGCAGCAGCGCCGCCGTGCTGTGGTCGTTCAGCGGTCGCTGCGGCTGCTGCCGCCATCGTCGGACCCGTCCTCACCATCACCACCACAACGGCCTCCTCCGCAGCAGCAGCAGCAGCGGAAAGGTGAGGAGCCGCCCTTGGAGCAGCAGCAGCCTGCTGTGGTGACCTGCGGGCCGCCAGGGCATGAGCTGCAGGCAGGTGGTTCGGAGGCTTCTGGGCGACTTATGCGGCGTCATGCGGATGCCGGCAGCGAGCCCGCAGTTACCATTTTGCAGCCGGACGACGAGGTCCTCCATGGCTCCCCGCTCAAGCCAGCAAGCCAGCTCCATCTACACGCGTCGGCAGCCGTGTGGGCCCCGCCGGCCGACCAAACCGCGCTGCACCAGTGGGTGCCGCGTGACATGCATGCTGCACCTACTGAGGCAACTGCAGAGACTTCTTTAGTGGCTAACGCTGCATCCACAGTCGCCCCGGCCTTGCAGCCCAACCCAGTCCCATTTGCGACGGTTGCATCCAACCCATGTGTTGGGACAGCCCCGGAGGGTAAAGCAGCTGGTGATGTGCACGCGGCGGCTGCACCCGGAGATGCCAACGGCCTGCGAGGTAACGATACCGGTACCGGCGGCAGCAACGGTAGCAACGGTATCACAGCCGGACGTGGGGGCGTCGCCTTCTCGATCACCCTGGAGACCTCTCGTGCAACAACCCCGCCAGCGCTACCCTCCGGCTCCCCACCGGTTGCATGGCCGCAACCCCCTGTTGTTGTTGCAGCAGCCCTCCCCGGCAGCACCCGCGGAGCCCCCATGCCTGCATTGGGCTCCTGCAACCCTCTAACAGACCCCACCCCTCCTCCCTCGGGTCCCTTGGACTGGGAGCGACTCAACCGAAAGCTACGCGAAGCGGGGTTCACGGGGTTGACCTTGGCGGCTGCGTGCTCCTCTCAGGGGCAGCCGTCGCAGGAGGCGGCAGCGGTGCCCGAGGCCGCGTCCTTGCACCGCTGCCTGGATAGCTTGCTTGAGCTGTGCGTACGGCGCAACCGGGTGGTTTCGGAGCTCCTGGAAGCCGCGGCGCAAGCAGGGCGTGAGAGGGATCAGCGTGAGGCGGCCATGAGGTGCGGCGGCATGTGGGGTGGTGGGGGGGGGGGTAAATTAAATGATAATTGCATGTGGGGTGGGTGAGGGGAATACGCCCCCGGCGAGAGAAGATTACACGGGTTAGGGTGCTTGGGGGCTGCCTTAGAAGCCCCAACACATCTGTATAGGTCGGGACCTCGGGATGCGCGGTGATGTGTGGGTACTGGAAAGGGGCTGGGTGAGGCGGACAACCGGGGCATGCATGTGGGCTGCTTGCTTGCGGTCCAGAACCCCGTGTGGTCGTGTCATGCTCTTCCCTGGGGCTCTCCATCAGGGCAGGCTGGCAACCAGCGGCAGGCCTAAGCTGTGCAGGCAGCTGTGTAAGGGTTTGCTGGTGTTGCCCGCTAACCCCCTGTGCCCGCTGTGTCACCACACTGTGGCCCCCTCAGTGAGTTGCAGCGGGAGGCCGGCGCGGCTCGTGCGGCTGCGGAGCGAGCGCGGCGGGAGCTGGCGCTGCTGTCCTCGCAGCAGATACCCAAGGTATGGTACGGGTTCGGGT